CAGAATGAAGCTTATAAGTGTGTGTAGCAGCATGGTCTTCTTACCCCTTGAGTGTCGTGTAGTCATTAGTTTCAAAGGCATTTTTTTGCAACCCAGTTTCAAAATCAAGCTTTTTGTTTTGAATTACGAACATATCTATAAACACCAGAATAATATATTTACGACTTCTCTCTTCTCTGCGTTCCATAAAACCAATCTCACGAAGCTTTCCTCTATAATTTAGGCTTAGAAGCACCAACCCCACCGGCAGTTGCACTAGCATTGATTTCCAAAGTGCCATTTTCATTAGCCTCCTTCAAATCATTACCAAAAAACACAACCGTCACAGTCAAATCATCACGATACCTCCTCGATACAGGGTTAGGTATCGATATAATCATTGACGTTTGCTCTTTCGACCCTCCATTCGACAATGCATTTCGAATTAAATGCGTCGACACGTTTTTATCTTGCAACAAGAAACTGCCTCCACCGGTAGATTTCCTAATTGGTTTCTTACTGGCCTTGTCCATGGTGATGTCTTCCACCTCAGGAAGTTTGTTTTCACCAACTTTGCCGAAAAAGTTCCAAAATGACTTTTGCGGCTTAACCATCTTTTCCCTTTCCATCCACTTGACTACTAATCCAACAATTTCCTCATTCGTCAACATCTCATATAATCCATCACTTGCCATGACCAAAAAATCATTATTGTCGGGATTGATTTTTGTGGTCGTGATAACTGGTTCAGCTGTAACGTATGGAGGAGATGTTAAATGGTTGGGTAGCCTCTTGCCAAAGAATTGCTTATATATACGTTCTTGTATTGAAGCGGGAAGCTTGTATCGACAATCACCAAAAGCCCTAGTGGGTTCAAGACTGCCCAAGACACGTCCATTTCGTATAACTTTTGGCTCATCTGGATGTTCACTAATGATTCTTGCCACCTCAGTTGGATTTGAACCGGTTTGATCGATGCTCAACTGTCTAGCAGTCCAATGATTATTCTTGAACGAGCCCAATATGGCTCTAGAGTCTCCCGTCACTGCAACTTTAAGCATTTTGGAATTTGTATCGTAAAACGACAATAATGCACAAGATCCTGATAATGCAGGCATCAACAATTCCGCAGCTTTGGCTTTATTTCCATCAGTGAGCAATTTTTCAATGTTTTTGTTGACAATTTCGTGATCCAACTTCAAAAACCCATTCCTTATGGCTTGGTCAATAGTGGCACTGTTTGGTACATATCTGAGATTCTCTTCGCCTTGCACAGGTTTATAAATGGTACCCAACTCATTTATCACATAATTTATTAGCTCATCTCTCAATTTGGAACTAGTAGTCCAACCACCATGCCCATCAAACACGCCAAAAAATAACCAATCAGTAGTGGTTTTAATGTTATTATCTTGCAAAATTGGTACTTGTATAATTTCTTCAGCTCTATCATCTTCAATGGGCGAGTTTGATGGCAATTGACATATATCATACCTCATGACCCCCTTGCCACGATTAACAAAATAGCTTTCTTCAAATTGGCGCAACTTTGCATCAACTTGTTCATCATTCAACAAAAAGATGCCTTCTTTGTGCTGTTGATGGCTAATGCTATTCTCTTGGTGCATTGAGGACGTCGAAGTCGAAAATAGCTTCTTGTCCTCCAACAATTTTGGTTTTGCAAATGAGCCTGCCGTGGGGTTTGCTGCAGTTCCTGCTGCTGCTGCTGCTGCTGCTGCCGCCGCCGCCGCCGCCGTGACTTGAGATGATGGGGGCAGCAGTGGCAATGTATCCAAACTATAGTAATTTGATTGGTTGAAAGCAATGTATGATCCAACTATTATGATGCCAGACACAAGAGCCACATTCTTGCTCTGTTTCAGGTACTGTTGTTGATCAGTTTTGGGAAGTGATCGGAAGAATGTCTTTGATAAGTTTAGTAACTTGGAAGAATTGATTGATGTTTTGGAGGTGGACGATATAAGTCTCTTGCTGATTGTTTGTAGTTGTTTGTTGGTGAGGTATAGAAACTTCGGTCTAGTTGACAACATATGGGACATTATCGGCGGTGCTTATAAGATAGAATTTAGGTGATGGTGGTGGTGGTGTGTGTGTGTGTGTGTGTAATATACTTGGTAACCTATAGAGTAACAACACCAATAAGCAGAATGCAAACCTATGAAATTTGTTTGAGGGGTGTTAGCACTGGTAGGAATAGATGCAACAAAGGGTGATTGTGTGTGGTGATTTTGTATAGACACAAGTTTGTATAGACACAAGTTGTATATATCAGATGCTATGGGATTTGTTGTCGAGTGGTTATGAGAGAAAGAGAGAGAGAGAGAGACTGTGACTTCTACTTCTCCAATAAGAAATTCTACTTTTTATCTGTTGCTACTGCATATAAGAATATTGTAAGCTATCCATTTACATATATGTAATTGGTATAGACACGCACAATCTAATCTGTAAAATGGCGTCTGTCTTTGGTGTAGTGTGGTGTAGTGTGGCGTTGTGTGGTGTAGTGTGGTCACACATCATGGCACATGTAATGGATATCTCCAAATCCAAAAACAGCCTCAATACCATTACTTAAGAAGATTGAAATTGAAGCGCATCCACAAACATTTCGCTTGGCAAAGTGTTATGGCTTCATAGTAGGCATCTAGGCAAAATGGTTGTAAAAGTGAACTCAGCAAGAATAGATGTGTTAAATTGGCACTGTGGACAAGACCTTGTCGCAGGTGACAAAATTTGCAATTTCGTGGTACACATTGCATCTTTACCAGCCACAAAACTTGTTTCCGTCAATTTGACTACACTTTAGTCTATGAAGACTCAGTTTACACAGTCTAAAACTGAAGCCACTTACCCATCCCAGGTGGAAAAAGAGCACTGAATGTCTCTTGATGCGAAATTGTGGTGGCTCAGGTGGAATCGACCAGAGCTCTAATGTTGGCCATTTCTTACTAATGTTTGCTGAATATTCACCAATTAGGAGCGAGGGGAGGTGTCGATTATGAATCCAAGCTTGGGAAAGTCAGTCAGAGTACAGAAACAGATTTCTGAAAGAAGAGCACAAACTTGAAAGAGTATGTCGCTTTTCTGGCTTATAAATACAAGCTCCATGTCCTTCTGATTAATGGTTGCCCTCATTCAATATCCTTACCTTCAAGGACCACACCGACAACATGAAATCCTCCTCAATTTTTGCTACTTTTGGTTTATTAGCTGTTTCTTAAGCAAGTTTGGTCAAACGTGGTGGCGGCGGTGAAGATTACTACCCTCATCCAACGCCAGTCACACCACCTACGCTGCAACATCCAAAACCGCAATACCCTGATAAGTTCACCTTGGGTGTCAAGATTGACGGTCAAATCTGGTTAACATTCCAAGAGGGAGATGGTCAGCTTGAATATGATCATATCAAGTACTACCCACCTTCCAAACCACAATGGGATGGACACCGCCAAACTTTTACTACCCAGCCAGTTACTGAAGACGGTTCCGAACCTACTTGTCATTCAGGTTGGAAACGTGGCTATGGTGATGGCGATGGTGATGGTGATTCTGACGAGAATGGAGCTAACTATCACCCAAATGCATTTACTATCAGTTACCAGTCTTGGTTACCAGTCTTTACTTTGAAAAACACAGTGTTGAAGGACTCTCACGGGAAAATTGGTTCCATAGTTGCTAATCACCAATTTCAATTTGATTACCCTGTCCAACCTGATGCTTTATACACCAGTGGCTTTTCAATTGTGTATCAAAACGGGTATCCTTTGTTGGCATTGAATGGTAAAACCACATTTTGGAACTCACAAGCATCCTCAACCATTTGGAAATTGTACGATAAACCAATCACATCCAATTCAAGAAGCGTCGAGCTCGTTGTGATCAAGGTTAGCTACTAGTTCTGTGTTTTTGAGAGGGGTTCAGCTAAAGGATGCATTCTTAGTGCAGTTTTCTCCCACATCGGTCTTTGAAGTCGATTGTCTTCTTATTTGTTAGAACAGTGTGGAAGGCTTATTTCCTGGCTTATTTGTGTTGTTCCTCGTTGCAAACTGTTTGCAATTGCTACAGTTTGTGGTCATTCGGTTGCTTTTATTTCTTCATATCTATAGTTGATTCCTTTAGCTAATGAATATACATCGCACTTTGAGTGTGTTAATAGTAAGCCAAAGTGTATCAATTCGATGGTTGCAAAATCTCTCCTGTCTCTCCCCTCCTTATGCGCATCAGCATCATCGCAATTGCTGTACGATGAGGAAATGGAGACAACAGAACCAAAAAAATTGAGGAAAAAAGAAAAGAAAAAAAAAAAAAAAAAAAAAAAAAAAAAAAAAAAAAGATTAATCCATAGAATACGGAGGGAGTCAGTGCTCATCACACTAGCGCATCTAATCATGGGGAAGCTAAAAAAGGGTAGAAAGAACCAGAAAGCAAGATTGAACCCAATCGCATCCAAGTCGCAACAAGATCTCAAAAAAGATGAGTCAACTAGAACATCAAAAATTCAACCCCTTGTAAACAAGCTTCATTCCACCACACCAAATGAAAAATCGATGGCTTTGGGCGCAATAACCATACTTTCTGAAGATGCTCGTATGAGAAGCTTACTACTCAAAGAGAAAGTGGTGTCTGTCGTGATGCAAACTTGTTTGAACGACTCCAACGATGAAATTATCGTGGAAGCATATGGATTATTGAGAAATTTGGGAATCGAAGAAGGATATGATGTGACGAAATATTTATGGAGACAGGGAATATGGACAAGCATAGAGAGTGCATTAAACAAAATTGACGAGTCATTTAAATTTTTATTGGAAAAAGGGAATGTCGAGAAGGATAAATCCAAATTGCAACTACTATATGATTTTACGGAGAATATATTGAGTTTGATATTGGTTCTTGCTAGTGGAGATGAGTCAATGTACGACTCAGTGCTCAGCAAGATTGACCCTATACTTGACTTTGTTTTGAAAATCATTGATGGACACATTAATAGAGGCTTGAGAGTTACAAACAAATTATTCGACGCATTGTTGGAGTTTATTTATGAATTCTCTACTGAGTCTGTTGAGTTTGTCGAAAAGTTGGAAAGATTTGAACATTGGGATAAATTGATATCTTTTGTGAATGAGTCAACCAGCAGTTTGGCAAAAGTTTACGTCGAAGGTATCAAGTTCAATAATTATGAAGTGTTGGAGTCAATTCACGCTAATAAGCAAGTCGTGTTAGGAGAGATCTTGCACAATGTGTTTGCCATTGTAACCAGCACCGATTTGCAAAAACTTCAGGAACGCATCGAGTCCATCGCACATCCAAACAATGCCAATGAGCCAATTAAGAAGGACGCAAACACATTGGAAAAAGATTTATCAGGGGGAAATGAAACCAAGGCAGAAACCAAAAGAGATTTATCAACTATTGAGATTGGCTTGAGTATTATTACTGCAGTGCTCGAATACTTGTCAATTAGCGAAGACGCCCCAGAGAAAGCTCTCAATTTGTCAGGGACTTTGCAAACGGTGTTGTTTGAACAGATAGAGCCAATGTTGGTTCAACTTTTCAAGTTTGAATTGAAGGCAAATATTTTGCAATTGGGAGAGCAAATTGTTGGTGCGATTAACAACTTTTCCTGGCTTATATTGAGTAGTGAGCACCTTCCAGTCTCTTGGTTTGAGAAATCATTGCAGTTGTGGGATATAATACTATCGATTCAAGATGAGAACCTACAGCTTGAAAGTTTGGGCATCCTTTGGGCAATTGTAAAGAGTTTGGGCCCACAAATTGTCGACAAAATACCTCCCGAATTTATTTCAAGACTTCAGCAAGTACAAGCAAACAATGGCAATGCAAATGCATTCTTGAACGTTATTGGTTTATTGGGATCTATTGCCCCAATTGTCAACAACATCGAGATCACTTTTGAGATTTCCCAATTTTTAATCAATTCATTAAAAGCTGCTTGTCACGAGCCTCAAAGCGCAAGAAATTTGGAAGTTATTATTGAGTCATTAAATGCCATTTATGATATTTTTGGAGATAAAGACTTTGATTATGATTATCCAATCTTTGTACAACACAATTATTTGACGTTATTGAGAGACTTTGAGCCTAGGATCAAGGAAATCTACAAAAGGGTTGACAAAAGTAAACAGCCACACATGAAGGTGAAAATGGAAGAGACATGGATAAATTTGGACAGATTTATACAGTATAAAGCCAGTGAAAGGGAGTAAATAGTCAACTCGCAATGGTAGAGATTCTACTCTATTAACTGAATAATATGCTTGTCTTCGCGACTCAACAAAGATTAGGAAGTAGCCCCAGTCGTAGTTTAACTCTTGCACAAACCAAGCATTCAAGTTCAAACGTTATTATCCCGTAACTCCTATTTTCCCAACAAAACTAAGTACTTTTATACACAGCAATAACCACCATCAACTCTGATATCAGAACCGTTAGTGAAACTTGATGCATCACTAGCCAAGTACAAATAAGCACCAACCAATTCGTCAGTTTCGGCTTCTCTTCCCATTGGTGTAAGGCCCCACCATTTAGCTCTTTGTTCAGTCGGTATTGGTGCTGACAACAATGTGTTTGTGTACCCAGGACTCACTGAATTGACTCTAGCAAATCCAGCAAACTCAACCGCCAAACCCTTGGCCATATGCATAACGGCAGCTTTTGCTGAATTGTATGCAGTTTGGTAATTTGGAACGTTGTTAATGTGGGCTGACATTGAGGCAGTAATGATAAAAGATCCCGAACCCTTCTTTTTGAAAATTTGTCCGGCATATTTGGCGCAGTAAAAGACACCATTAACGTTGACATCAAATACTTTTCTCCAGTTTTCAGGGGTGGAATCTTCATTAAGAATGGACCCAGTGTACCAAGCAATACCAGCATTGGCAACAAACACATCAATTGTTCCAAATTTTTCTTCAATCTTGGCAACAACTTCCTTAACTTGTTCAGCGCTAGTGACGTCAATTTGGTAAAATTCTGATCTAACACCATAAACAGCGGTCAATCTCTTACTCAATCCATTATCGCTATGAGCATGGTCCAAAATTACAACATCGCCACCGGCTTGAGCGTAACCCTCAGCAATGGCAGAACCAATAGCACCAGCTCCACCGGTGATGACTGTGACTTTACCCTTTAAAGAAAATCTCTCTGTTATGTTTTTGGACAAGTTGAATGGTTTGGTTGGAACCTCTCTGTTGGTATCAGTATCTGGCTTGATGAGTGATTGATATGGTGAAACGGTCATTATTGAAGTAGATTTGAATATAGTTTAACAGTAGCTTTATGATTGATAAGAAAAAATAAGCAATGAATGAATAGGTGATGTCTTGTTGGAATTCTACCAAAGTATTTATATGCTGCTGATGCGCCTCATCGTGACTGTATATATGTTATATACACATAGACTTATATTCGGTGAAACTCCATATTTGGCATAAAATGAGATTGTGTTACATTTGCAGATGATTAGGAGTATCGTTTCTTTTTCTGGTCACACTGTATTTCTTGTTTGTGTAACTTTCGGAAGAACTGAACCATCTCGGTAGAACAACAACAACAACAAGAAACAACTGACATATACAGAATGTCAGTTTAACTGCAAGGTATCAGTTATGATGTAATAAACGCTTGTATGTATTATTGACTCAACTTACTATACGCATATTATTAATTAGAAACACCAGGAGAAGGAGTCAGGCGTGGTATCCCACAATAAGAAACGCTAAAATGTTTGAGATCCCTTGGTCGCGTCTGATCTAGGCTGTAACTGCTCCACCTGTTGATCCAAGATTCAAGACATTGGCATGTACCACTACCACCTTCACTCCAATCCAACAGAGCACTACAATGGATAGAGATGCGCGAGATGAGAGAAAGATTAGGATGTAGATGTCAATTGGACAAACAAATATAAAAAACATAAAATGTAGCAAAGAATCGAAACTATCAACGGACACATCTCCGCTTCACGTCTGATTCATTGACATCCACAAAGAGGGCAGACTCCAAACTACCCTCTATCCCCTTTTCCAAAAACAAACGTCCAACAAATAACTCAACTCAAACTGAGTAGAAAAAAATTGTGTAGTAAATGCAAATTTTTTGGTAACTCGCGCTGCAGATTATGACCAAAATTGGGACCCATTCGGAGGGGGGGGGGGTTTTGACAAGAAACAATGCGACATCATGGAAAGAACCATCACAGGCAAGACTTCACTGACGAGTTGAAAGATTGTGCTGATTTTTTAAAATGATACAATGTTTTGTTTTTTTGTTTTTTTTTAAATTATTTTGATCTTTTAGTAATTTTGATTTTTTGGGTACAACGGTTTTTAACACACAATCAATCGTTCAGTTTCGTGGCTTCATTACAACTCTGGGTTTCCCCAAGCGCGAACCCATCCGGTGTTAAAGGAGAAGCGGCCCCATGAAAGACGTTCCTAGAACGGTCTTGTGATACTCACGGGGTGTCGCTTTGTTTCTCCCACCAAAATGGTGGCTCAGAGGTCCCCCCAGTGTCTTTTATGCTTTGCCATAACTGATGTACTCTCTTCAACGCGTCTGCCGTATTCTGGTTTGTCCTTTCCTCATTGCACATGTGTTGGACTAAACATGCAGAGGGTTGTATTCATGGCTGAGTTTCTGTCTGTGGGCTTGGGAATACTTCTTGCGGCACGGGTCAGCTACCTTCATCTCTGGTCATCAATTATCGTGACAGCTCCCGCCGAAAATGCAACAACTTGCGTAGTATCCCAATAACTTCTGCCAACTTTCAATGAAACTCACATCACAACCCTCTATTCTTAAGATTCAGTCCAACGTCGCCACTGCTCTTGTCAAGGTTTTCATAGTATGTCTCATGTCATCAAGTACCAACAACAACAACAACAACAACAACAACATCATCATCATCATCCTCAGGTACAATTGATTCATCCAAAATCTCTCAACATGACATATTCAACTGAGACAAATACCATTCTCCGATTCCTTCAAGTTGGGCCGATGAATTCTGCTTGTTCAACTTCATCGTCATCAACACTGATACATCCTCTCTCCGAGTCCATCATCCAGACACGCCGTTCATATCTCTCGGGTGCTGGTGCAGTACGTTCAAACAACCACGCCACACTGCTGGACTCGTCAACTTCACAAGGAGTATCAATGTGCCTATAACTTGAACCACTTGGTCTGACCATCAACAGGTCTTGGTCTATAATCCGTCTGCCACAAAAACCGCGCATACCAAAAAAAATAAAAATAAAAAAAACAACTGACCAACATCTTGGTCAAACTCCAACATCGAGGTGTAGCAAAACAACGTCATCCAAAACCTCATTGTTGCCATCAGCGGGAATCGACTTTGGTTCTTCTTCTGAACATGGTTCGGACCCTTTCGCAAAACTTGCGCCACTTTGTCCTCCATTCTTGTCCAGTATCCTGAACCCCGGTGCCATTGTTTCCGAGCTGGCTGTTTCCAGTCTGCGGCTCCAGAAGGTCGATTTCTTCGAATTCACTTGCCGACCCACTTTCAGCTGGCATCTCTTCCTCGCCTGGTTTGTCAGTACGCTTTCTCTTCTGTCTACCCTTGCGTTTGCCTTTCTTGCAAACATCGGACACATCTGCGGTTGCACCTTCATTTTCACAACCAGCTTCTGCAGTGTCAATTGCAGGGGAGATCATAGCGTGTTCAGAATGAGGATGATTCAACTCATGGCCAGCATAAGGAGACAACAAATCGTCATCACAATCCTGGGCATTCACAGTGGCGTCAGCAACACGAGCACGCTTCTTGAAAGGCTTCTTTACCTTGCTCCAAATCCTCTTGAGTCTGGCATTCTTACCCTTCATTGGAATGTCTTGGGTAGCAGGTCTTGGTGGAGGGGGAACAGTTATCAATTCAGGAATCTCACTTTCAGGAGCAGCAGCTTCGCTTTCAGGAGCAGCAACTTGTCTCTCAAGACAGGCAGGTTTTGTTTCAGAACCAACAGCTTCAGCTTTAATCCTTGTCAATTCTAAATCTTCTCTCGTCAATCTCAATTCCTGCCTAGTCAACTCTAGGATCTCTTTCGTCAAAGCCAACTCCTCCTTAACTGCCTTCAATTCAAGTTCAGCTTTCAGACAAGTTGACACCAGTGGCGAAGCTTCAACCTCGTGCTGAGCATTCTCATTATTGCCTTCGACAACAGTACCAGTAACTTCATTGCTATCACGATTTTCGATTGGCAATTCAATAGCTCCCGAGTTCGAATTCGCTCCTGGGTCATCAACGCGGGTGGTGTTGGTTGCAGTACAACACTCTTCAGCCTCATCATCGACTACAAACAACTCTTGATCTTCATCTTTGTAGTCGTCGGCATCAAACAAAACCACTACTTCACCCGTGGTTTCAAATCTCATGCGCTTTTTCCCAAACAATGACCTCAACTTGTCCTTGAAGGGAGGCTTCTCCGAATTGTCTGTCCCTCTGGTCTCACAGTTCGCAGTCTGCTTGTCCTCGGCTTTGGACTTCATAGCAGATCCAATCTTGGACCATTTCTGACTCAACCTTGCCTTCCATTTGGCTTTTGGTTTCAAGTCACTTGCAACAGGGACAGTTTCAGGAGGAGCCAAGCACGTCTCTTTACAATCAGCAACATTTTCATTCTCATTGCTGTTGTTGCTGTTGTTGTTGTTGTTGTCGACTGACTTCAAGTGCTGTTCACCCTCACTTTTTTCCAATTCAGGAGGAGACTTTTTCTCGGTCGGGATTTCTCGCTGTTCAACATCGACAGGATCAGGTACTTCCGGCTCGTCCAGCTTATCCCCTGTCACACTTAATGGGGCTTCGGAGCTGGTGATCTTTTCATCTGGTGCGTCTTTTGTGCAACTCAATGGTGTTTCAAAACAAATTTTTGACTCATCAGATTCGTCTCTTGCCGGAATGTTGCATTCATCCTGCAATCCAAATTGAACCTTGTTATCAACGGGAACTTCAATCATCTCAGTTTTCGAATTCGAGGTGATGTGTTGCTCGAAAACTTTCTCATTTTGAATTTCGTTGTTTACATGGTGGTTTTGGTCTTGGTGGTGGTGGTGATTATGGTGATGGTGGTGGTGGTGGTGGTGGTGGTGGTGATCATCATTAGTCTCGGACTTGGAGTGATCCGGGACCAATTGGTTAGTTGCATTTGCAACTGGGACTGGTTTACTACTCGTCATGATTGTGAACATTTTCATTTTATCCACTGAGTGGCGAGTAACGATAATACGCAGGCTACGTGTGCGCTTAGTAGCGGCGTATTGGGGTGACATGATGATGAGGAGAAGAAGAAGAAGAAGAAAGGGAAAGGAGGAGGAAGAAGAAGAGGAAAAGGGGGAATTCTTTTATGATGTGTATTTGTGGACTGAAATTTTGATATGCTTCGGGGGAAAAACAGAGCACTTATTACAGAAAACTACCAGGAAGAAGAATGAGTGACTTGAATTGAGGGTAGGAGTGTTGATTATGAGAGTTGACTGGTACGTATCGTACATAGGCTGTATAGGTACATTATTGAATTGATGTGATGAATCTAAACTATATTATCTGAGTAAACTAGTCACTTCCGAATCGTTGGCATTGTAGTGAAGCAAGACTCTTTGAAAACCATGGCTGTCTTTATCTTGTGCTCACTTCTGACTCTATTAGCAACAGACAAGCATGCATTTATGGATACGATTAGTCCTGTGTGCCTGTTTCGTGTCCCTCCTGTGTCTAGCTTGTGCGAACTCGATTTTTTGCAGCACACATTGCAATACATCGTAAAGAGTATGTAGTTTGGAATGACGAGTGCAGGAACGGCTGGTTTGTGAAAAACAATTTGCACCACATCAGTGATGTTGCTCAACTGTGGATTTGAAGTGGTTAATGTGTTGGTGTCAGATGGTGTGTGGTGAAATCAGTGTTTAATTGAGTGTATACTCTGGTATGGATTTCTGTTCCTAAATCGCACAAATACAGATTTTGATAGAGTAGAATTATCACAAGTTTTGACGCAAGTACCAGAGTCAACTAAATATCAATCATACCTCTTAAATTATTGACTATCATAGCTGTCTAAGAAGTTCCTAGAAAGTATACAACCTTCGCCACTGGAAGCCACACACGTGACAGTTTCGCCAAAATGCTTTTAAGAAATGCTCAATTCATGTGTTGTGACGAAACTCCATTATTCCACACACAGGACAAAGTTAAGGGATTCGAGATGAGTATAAACACGGAAGATTTAACCTTAATCTGTCGAAAGGAAGAAATAGAAGAAGAAGGTAGAATATGAATATGAATACGTTTCCCACCCCATGTATTTGCATAAATTAGAGATTTTTACGTTCTCAAGAAAGCTCCAAACCACACTCAAAAAGAACTCCATAGCCAGCGTATCCCAATCAATAATTACCAAATCTTCTGCTTGGAAGGTATTGAAAGAGTCAGTTACAAGTCCATTTAGTGTGTTCCTTTTTGAAGCCAAATCACTACACGACAAAGATTGGATCAAGAAAAAAAAAAATATAATCATTGTGACAACTTACGATTCCACCGTTCAAGAAGTACCCAAAAAAATGTCATCCAGCGGAGGCAAACTCGTTGTTGGTGGAGTCGCAATTATAGCATCGTGGTGGTTCGGAGTTAATTTTTGGAAACCCCTCATTTTGTACGTTCATCATCACATCTAACAAGCACCACCATAACTACATTAGTGGTGAAATCTTACCTTCAAATTACTAACCTCATCTGCGACCTGCGCGTATAGAGAGCAATTAGATAAGGACGGAAACTTGAAGGACAAATACAAGTCGGAAATCCCCCGGGATGAAGTGGCGTCATGGTCCGATTTGAAACAAAAGTGGGCGGCTGTTGTTGATCCAGAGCTGAATTTTTCGAGTCTGGATAAGGCTAGTTTGGAGGAGTTGAAGGGACATTTGGAGGAGAATAGACCCAGGGATCGATGAGTCAATGATTGGAATGGCTTGGAGAGGGAGCGAGAAAGAGAGAGAGAAGGGTGAGGGGAGGGGGTTGTGATTGCTCTAACGAGTGCAAATGGCATATCGCGTATTGACGAGACCAGTGCACCCAGGTGTTGTAGATATTGTATATAGAGCATCAACACATTGGTAATCGCTTTCCATGTTGCTAGCCTCTAACATCGTTTACATGATCATTATAAATAAAACTAAATTTGTTATTGAATATATACGTTAAACAACCATGAAACAAATAACTAGAGAAATATACAAGAGGAGATAATATTGATAAATAATGTACATTTAAAAAAAAAGAAGATTGTGGAAAATCCTTTCTTTGTCTCTCCCTCACGCTTATTTCTTACCAGCTTTTTCAGCAGCAACGGCAGCCATCTTGTTCAAGGCTGAACCGTACTTGAACCATTCGATTTGTTCATCGTTGTAGGTGTGTGACAATTCGGTTTCCCAAGCTTCACCATCCTTTGGATGAACTCTCATAATGACATTCTTACCTGGAGCCAATTCGGTCAAACCAAGCAAATCAATTTCGTCAGTTGGGTTAATCTTGTCATAGTCAGCAACGTTGGTAAAGTTCAATGGCAACAAACCTTGTTTCTTCAAGTTGGTTTCGTGGATACGGGCAAATGACTTGGTAATAATGGCAAAACCACCAAGGAATCTTGGTTCCAAAGCAGCGTGTTCTCTAGATGAACCTTCACCAAAGTTTTCATCACCAATGACAACCCACTTGTGACCAGAGTCTCTCAATGCAGCAGCGGTTTGTGGAACACCATCCCATTTACCAGTGTAGTGGTTCTTAACTTCGTTGGCTTTACCATTTTCAGCGTTGGTAGCACCAATCATATAGTTGTTGGAAATGTTTTCCAAGTGACCACGGTATTTCAACCATGGACCAGCCATTGAGATATGATCGGTGGTGGTTTTACCAACAGCTTTGATCAAGATTGGCAATCTCTCGGCATCCTTACCATCCCATGGCTTGAATGGGGTCAATTTTTGCAATCTGTCAGAGGTTGGTGAAATGACAACTTCAATAGAAGCTCTGTCTTGTGGTGGGGCTTGGTAAGTGTTTTCACCCTTGTCGTAACCCTTTGGTGGCAAACCGAGACCAGTTGGTTCCTTCAATTTGAATTCTTTACCTTCAGAGTCAACCAAGTAATCGGTGATTGGGTTGAATCCCAAGTCACCAGTGATGGCGTAAGCAGTAGCCATTTCAGGAGAAGCAACAAAAGCGTGGGTAGCTGGGTTACCATCGTTTCTTGAAGTAAAGTTTCTGTTGAATGAAGAAACAATGGTGTTCTTTTCACCCTTTTTAACATCTTGTCTATCCCATTGACCGATACATGGACCACAAGCATTGGCCAAAACGACACCACCAAAGTCTTCGAAAGTCTTCAATTGGCCATCTCTGGCAATGGTAGCTCTAACTTGTTCTGAACCTGGGGAAACAGTGTACAAGGTCTTGGCTTTCAATCCGTGAGCTTCGGCATCCTTGATGATGGAAGCAGCTCTGCTCATGTCTTCGTAAGAAGAGTTGGTACAAGAACCAATCAAACCAACTCTGACATCCAATGGCCAGTCGTTGGCAATAGCGGTTTCTCTCATTTTAGAAACTGGAGTGGCCAAATCTGGAGTGAAAGGACCGTTAATGTGTGGTTCCAAAGTGTTCAAGTCAATTTCAATAACTTGGTCATATTCACAACCTTCATCAGCCTTAAGGTAATCATTCTTGTATTGTTGAGCAAATTGAGCAATATCAGATCTACCAGTAGCTTCCAAGTACTCATCCATTGACTTGTTGTATGGGAAAACTGAGGTGGTGGCACCAATTTCAGCACCCATATTACAAATGGTACCCATACCAGTACAAGAAAAGGTTTCGACACCTGAACCGAAATATTCAACAATGGCACCAGTACCACCCTTGACGGTAGTAATACCAGCCAATTTCAAGATGATATCCTTTGGTGAAGTCCAACCACTCATCTTACCGGTCAAGTTAACACCAATAATCTTTGGTGCCTTCAATTCCCAAGCAAGACCAGACATGACATCAACCGCATCGGCACCACCAACACCAATAGCCAATTGACCCAAACCACCAGCGTTTGGAGTGTGTGAATCAGTACCAATCAACAAAGCACCTGGGAAAGCATAGTTTTCCAAAACAATTTGATGGATAATACCAGAACCTGGTTTCCAGAAACCCAAGTTGTACTTGGCACAAGCGGAAGCCAAGAAATCGTAAACTTCCTTGTTCAAGTCAATGGCTCTGGCCAAATCCTTTGGACCACCAACTTGGGCTTGGATCAAGTGATCACAGTGAACGGTTGATGGGGTAGCAACTTGAGGCAAGTTGGCGGACATAAATTGCAAAATAGCCATTTGAGCAGTAGCATCTTGACAAGCAACTCTGTCTGGTCTCAATTTCAAGTAAGATTTACCTCTTTCGATATCTTGTCCATGAGGATCATCCAAGTGACCGTACAAGACCTTTTCAGCATAAGTCAAAGGTCTGTTTAATCTGGCTTTGACAATGTCAACATTTTCCAAGTTCTTTTTGTAGTTGATAAAAGAGTGGTCTTCCAACAAGTTTTGGTGGACTTTTGAGTCTCTGTTGATAGCAGAAGCCAAACCACGGGTGGAGACAGAGCGTGGGTTTGCTCTAATAGCTGTTCTTGAAGCGGACAACATATTAGATTTGTCTAGTCTTTTGTGAATAAATATGACTGAAAAGGCTGTATTTACCTGATTCTTAATTGAAACAAGAAGAAAGAAGAAAGAAGAGAAAGAAAGAAAGAAAGGAGATTCGGAGGAGGAGAGAAATTGGAAAATTTTTATACAAAAGAGTTGAAGGGAGAGAGTGAGAGAAATAAAATAAAAAAAAAAATAAATTATAGAAAATATAAAAAAAAAAAAACATAAAATGCTTAAGGAGTAAAAGATAAGTTAGATCACAATGTTGTTGTACTCCGTAGATTGTTATCATCTTGTGTGTCTATGTCCTCTCCAGTATGTTACGTAGCTCTTCCATCTTACTCAATCAGTTAATCTCCCAACACTATATACTTTAATTACCGAGGTTAAAAAGATCAAATGTCGTTGTTCTCCTCGTTGTGTTGTATTTATTTTTTTTTTTTCTGATCATTTACCTGTTTTTGTGTTTACAGAATTGTTAGATGCATGTTCGGTTCCGTTCATTGAATTTGGCTGAAATCAACCAATCAGAGACTGTAAATTTATAATAATGTTCGCGTTTTTTTTGGTACAACGTGCACTACTGCCCACTTTTTCAATAGAATGCAATGAACGTATGTACAATACACATCCACAAAAGAAGCATCTTACGGCAAACTAGACTACTTGTCCAAAAAGAAGAGAACTACTGCCATTGCTATGTTTGTTAATAAACATTAACTATAAAGAAAGTGTTTGTTAAACCCTTCGCTTATAAACAAGTGGTTTGTTCTTTATGTAGATCAAATAAATAAAATTATAGATATGTTAGAAGCTTCTCTCTCTCTCTCTCTCTCTGCCCCAGATTTCAAAATTTATTTTGTTTTTTTTTTTTTTTAATTTATTTTGTTTTTTTGTTCTCTATTGTTTATTTTGCTTTATTTTATTTACACTTGCTCTTATTGGTTGAAGTAAGTCGTCAAACACCACCACCACCACCACCACAAGAGATGGCCCCAACCATCACCACCACCAATCCCAAACTTGAACCAAGACTGCGATTTCCAGACACATTTACTTGCGACAATATCTACTCATCATGACCCTCTCAAATGTATGAACTCAACAATGATACTTCAAGAATCGAAGACCACCGCAATGTCCTCTTCTTCAAGTTACCAGAGACGGGATAATTTTCAATCCTTTTTTTTTCTTAGTTTTTTTTTTTGCAACCATATGCAAAAACAAATAAATCTCAACTAACATACGCACAAAATTTTTCTTATTCTTTATATAGCTTAGCCCTGACATGACAACTACCACGCCATCAATTCAAGATCACCTCTTCAACACTTCCAAAAAAAAAAAAAAAAAAAGAAGAATAAGATCATATCTGTTCACCAAAAAAGAAAAAGAGTCAGCCCGACGCGGGACTCGAACCCGCAACCTTGAGATTAAAAGTCTCACGCTCTAGCCGATTGAGCTAGCCAGGCGAATTTTTCTCCAAATTTTTCTGAATGGCCAGCCGGTAAATTTTTTCTTATCATGTGCAGCTAGTAATTTGTACTGCGGTCTGGAAGTGAAATTAACGTTACAGCAACCACCAATTAAATTTTTTTTAGTCCATACTGTTCAGAGCCTTCACCTGATTCCCCACCTTTAGTTAGAATTGGAAAAGGTTTGCAGTTCATTTACGATTGTACTTTTTTTCTTTTCAAGATGCCAATCGGAGTTCATGCCATCATGGAGAGAGAAGAGCAGGGAGAATTTTGGCTGATACAGATACTGAAGATTCTGTAGGTAAGTGGATTAGCTGTACAGATTTTGCAGTTAAATGATGACGACTAAAACGATAGAACTATTTCACCGTACATAAGGAAGCAAACCGGATAAGGGAAAGCTCAATACCCGCCCACAGATTCAATATATGATTACATGTTACCTTCTTAATGCATGTTAGCTTCAGTACCACAGCTGCGCCAGAAAAAAAAAAAGACAACCCCATGCACAATGCACAGATGCATAAAATGTTGCACAACTCATGTGATCAAACAAAATTGTCGGAACATAAACGCACACACACGTTCTTTATTTGTGCGATCCGCCGAATCCCGTGGATATTTTAGCAAATGTAAAAAAAGAAAAAGAAAAAGAAGAAGAAAAAGTATCGTCTCCTTGCATAAAAAAATTTGCCCTTTTTAAAACTTTCTTCAAGAAAACACTCTTTGATCCTCTTCTTCCTCTTCTTTGATCAACATCGATACCAAAGCTGTACACAGTACCCGTTACATCTAGCACAATCAGTTGTTCATTGAAGACTGAGAAAGGGGATCACGAGTAGACAAAAACACACGGCATTGCAAAACCACACACAAAACTAAGCGAAAAAGAAAAAGACACACACACACACACACACGCTTCATTCCCCTCCTCCTTCACGGCCAAAAAAAAAAAAATATAGTCACGGATAAGTGAGATGCAGTTGATCAGTGGTGCTTCACCCTTCCTATTCACCAGAATGAATGTATTCAAAAAGCCAAACATACGTCTCAACAACAAAAGCACCACTACAAACGGCGATAATCTGCACAAATCAAAGAGACTGCGCGATGATGGCGATTTGCCTACATTGCTCACAATCACTCCACAACAACAACGTGACAAATTTGATGAATTGAATGAAGTTGAAGCAAATAGGATTGTTGAAGGCTTAAACAACCCCACGGAGTCAATCTGGTCACTCACGGCTGCAATATCGAGAAGAAACAAGGATCGGAACCGGTACAGCAATGTTATGCCATGGAACGAAACTAGGGTCAAACTACCCGTCAAGAATGAGGCCACCTATTCAGACTATATAAATGCATCATACATCAAGCTTCAAATCAAAGGCGAGACTTTAATCAATCGATACATTGCATGCCAAGGTCCATTAGAAACGACAAGAAATCATTTCTGGTCAATGTGTTTTAATGAGCTGGAGAAACAGGGGAACGATGTTGTTATTATCGCAATGGTTACACCGTTGATTGAACAAGGCATGACCAAATGTGATAAATATTGGCCGGAACTAGGCGATTCATGGTCATTCAATCGGAACAATCTCGAGGATGGTATTGCATTGGAGGACTTGACCGTGAAAAACGTCAATGAAACATATGACCCCAACGAGGATTACTTGTTGACTGAGTTTGAACTAAAATCAGGCATCAAGACTAAAAAAGTGTATCATTTCTATTACTATAGATGGGCCGATGCCAAAGTTCCCCCCTCCACTGCACCTTTAGCTAATCTATCGCGACACATTGATGAAATCAAACAAGCTACCACTGAGTCACTTGAAAATCAACCAGTTCCCATAATTCACTGCTCAGCGGGCGTTGGACGTTCAGGCACGTTCATGGTGTATGATCATTTGTTTCGTCATAGAGACAAGTTTCGTGCTATTCTAGATACAAATCGTGCAAAGGATTTGGTTTACAAGGCCGTGTTTCAGTTGAGGACTCAAAGAATGATGATGGTACAGACTGTTTACCAGTACCAGTTTTTGTATGATGTGGCGAAGGAAGCATATTACGAATAAAGAAGTTTTGATTAGTCAGTGGAAGAGTGCGATGGAGAGCTTACAGGAGGATTACATTTTCGAGTAGATTTAACATACGTGAGTTTTAATATAGTAATAACTAATGATGCGATGGGATCGGAGTTGTAGTCATTATGGTCATTGTCGGTGGATATTTTGGTGACCAATTTGTTGACGTGTGCTATTTGTGTTGCAAAAAACCAAAAAAAAAAATAAAAAAATAAAAAAAGAGGGATCTTTACACCAAAATTGAGAAAGGAGGCATTTACACTCTCAAGAAATAAAGTGATTTAAAACAGAGCACATATCGATGGAGTCGGCTATAAACTCTTTATTATTATCTTCACAGAAGTTGCGGTTCAAGATCAACCTGGCATTGTTGGAAAAAAATAGCAACGGAAACACACAACCACTAACACTCTTGGCCACAACACCAGTATTGTCCAAGTTCATTCAAAGGCTCATTGAAACAAAGAGTCTCAACTGCCAGCCTAACTTGAATGCCGATCTTTTTGTTGAAAAGCACATGGGGTGTCCATATTGGGATCTAAACTTTACATCCAAATACGCAGTCGAAGTGTTGCAATTGCTTGCGGAAATCCAATTTGCAACGCATAATCAGATCCAAATTAGAGGACCACTCACCCAGTGTTTCAAACTAGGTGGTACATTCAGCAATGGCATCATATCTATTCATAAAGTTAAAGTGAATGACGTATTGTTGGAACGAGTGATTGCGTGTGACAAAATCGAAAGCATCATTCACACACCACAATTGGTAACATCCGATGAGATTCCGAATCGTGATAGATATCAAGCAGAAAGTAGTTGTAGAGGGCCAGATGCTGAAACAGATGCATCTCAACCCAAGACTCTGGTTTCAACAACGTTGTCCTTCAACCGGCACCAGATTAAACGAATTTTGGGACCTGGTGGAGCTAGGTTGGATTCCATTCGTCTACAACTGAAATGCTGGATTCATATTGATCGGAATCCTTTGGAAAATTGCATTGACGATAGCTTGAGGTTTATTAGTAAGAATAACACCAAACAGGTAATAAGCATCAGTGGATTGAAACCAAATGTTGATATTGCAATTAATGAGATTTATAACTGCTTAGAGAGAGAGAGAGAGAGAGAGAAAAGACTGGCTTCTTTAGGGAGTAGCATTAGTTCCTCTTGAATATAAAATGCTATTGTAAAGTCTGTCTCTTTTATAGTGGTTGCAAAAAAAAAAAAAAAATACTAGCCCACTAAAACTGTGGTTAACAGCCAGTGCAGGTTATTTACGTAATGACTTATCTAATATGTGCAAAGCGCTACCACATTGAAAAATCAAAAAAAAAAATTTTTTACTCTCTTTTTGTGTTACTCTGAAAATTTTCACTCTCTCTTCGTCCCTTTCTGCCAAAAGAAAAAAAAAAAAAAAAGTTTTTCATTCTCCTCCCCCCCTAAATAAAACCATAAAATTTTCTTTCTCTTCTCTTTTTTTCAACTTTCACCTAGTTTTTTTTTTTTATATTAACTACTACTTATAACTTCACTATAATCATGGCTGACGGTGTTTTCCAAGGTGCTATTGGTATCGATTTAGGTACTACCTACTCATGTGTTGCTACATACGACTCAGCAGTTGAAATTATTGCCAATGAACAAGGTAACAGAGTTACTCCTTCTTTCGTCGCTTTCACTAGTGAAGAAAGATTAATTGGTGATGCTGCCAAGAATCAAGCTGCTTTGAACCCAAAGAATACTGTTTTCGATGCTAAGCGTTTGATTGGTAGAGCTTTCGATGATGAATCCGTCCAAAAGGATATCAAGTCATGGCCATTCAAGGTTATCGATGTCAATGGACAACCTCAAATTGAAGTTGAGTACTTGGATGAAACCAAGACCTTCTCCCCACAAGAAATCTCCTCAATGGTTTTGACCAAGATGAAGGAAATTGCCGAAGCTAAAATTGGTAAAAAGGTTGAAAAAGCTGTTATCACTGTCCCAGCTTACTTCAACGATGCTCAAAGACAAGCTACCAAGGATGCTGGTGCCATTGCCGGTTTGAACGTTTTGAGAATCATTAACGAACCAACTGCTGCTGCCATTGCTTACGGTTTGGGTGCTGGTAAATCTGATAAAGAAAGACACGTTTTGATTTTCGATTTGGGTGGTGGTACTTTCGATGTTTCTTTGTTGAATATTACTGGTGGTGTTTTCACCGTTAAAGCTACTGCCGGTGACACCCACTTGGGTGGTCAAGATTTTGACACCAACTTGTTGGAACACTTTAAGAACGAATTCAAGAGAAAGTCCGGTAAGGATATCTCTGGTGACGCTAGAGCTTTGAGAAGATTGAGAACTGCTTGTGAAAGAGCAAAGAGATCATTGTCTTCTGGTACTCAAACCACTGTTGAAATTGACTCATTGTTTGATGGTGAAGATTTCTCTGCCAACATCACCAGAGCCAGATTCGAAGACATCAACGCTGCTTTGTTCAAGTCCACTTTGGAACCAGTTGAACAAGTTTTGAAGGATGCTAAGGTCAACAAGTCCCAAGTTGACGAAGTTGTCTTGGTTGGTGGTTCAACCAGAATTCCAAAAGTTCAAAAATTGTTGTCCGACTTCTTTGACGGTAAACAATTGGAAAAATCCATCAACCCAGATGAAGCTGTTGCTTACGGTGCCGCTGTTCAAGGTGCTATCTTGACTGGTCAATCAACCAACGATGAAACCAAGGACTTGTTGTTGTTGGATGTTATTCCATTGTCCCTCGGTGTTGCTATGCAAGGTAACGTTTTTGCTCCAGTTGTTCCAAGAAACACCACTGTTCCAACCATCAAGAGAAGAACCTTCACCACTGTTGCTGACCACCAAACCACTGTGCAATTCCCAGTTTACCAAGGTGAACGTGTTAACTGTACCGAAAACACCTTGTTGGGTGAATTCGACTTGAAGAACATCCCACCAATGCAAGCTGGTGAACCAGTTTTGGAAGCTATCTTTGAAGTTGATGCTAACGGTATCTTGAAGGTTACCGCTGTTGAGAAGTCAACTGGTAGATCCGCCAACATCACCATCTCCAACTCAATTGGTAGATTGTCCACCGAAGAAATCGAAAAGATGATCAACGATGCTGAAAAATTCAAGTCATCCGATGATGCTTTCGCCAAGAGACACGAACAAAAGCAAAAATTGGAAGCTTATGTTGCTTCAGTTGAATCCACTGTTACTGACCCAGTCTTGAGCGCTAAATTGAAGAAATCCGCCAAGGACAAGATTGAAGCTGCTTTGTCTGACGCTTTGCAAACCTTGGAAATCGAAGACTCTTCGGCTGACGACTATAGAAAGGCTGAATTGACCTTGAAGAGAGCTGTTACTAAAGGTATGGCTACTCGTTAAGTAAATCTTAAAAATAAAAAAAGGGTAGTTAATCTTTTATAATCTGTACATTTTTTTTTTTTCACGTTTCAAAAGAAGAACCATAAAAAAAAAAATTAGTAAAATACAAAACATTGCAGGGATAAGTAATATTCACAGTTGTGTAATGTGTCGTCGACTCTATTCATCAAGTATATAGTTGCCTAGTTTATCCATCTTGAGGTTTTTGTCACCAGCAGATATAGCAGCTATGATTTTTTCATTCTCCTCATCATGGGTGTTGCTTTTGTTGTTGTCACCAAATTCTAGATCCTCCTCGTCATAAGCGAACTCTGCGTCCTCGTCTTCATCCTCGTCTTCATCCTCGTATTCGTCCTCGTCTTCACCCTCATGCTCCTCTGCATCATCTTCAATCTCCGACAATTCATCCGTCTCATCAGTAGTTATTCTCATTCCCATCACAGCCTTCTCCAAGTCCTTCACTTCTTTCTTACCTGTCTTCTTTTTGGCATACCCTGATGCTTCGACTTCCACATCCAACAGTTTTTCTCGAATCACATCACGTTTAAAGTTGGGATAAGCGTACTTGTACCCATCTCCATACCCATCGGTGTCAAACATGGTTGGATCATGCTCTGGATGGTACTTGAATTTCTTCTTGAAAAAATCTCGTATACCCTGCACATCTCTCTCGAAATATGACTTTGCATCTACATGTTCAATAGATACACATTGGGGGAAATCAATCACGACAAAATCACTTTTCTTATTGGCATCTGATGGGTCTCTGATGATAATGTTGAACTCATTGAAGTCACAATGGATCAAACCCGCATTGGCGAGCTTGACAATAAAACTCATGAGGTCAGAGTACAATTTTTTGTAATCTAATTTCCCAATGTTGCTCATGTTTAGCTGCTTCATTGGTATACCTTTTATCCACTCCATCATAACGCAATGCCTTGAGTAATCAAACGGTTGGGGCACGTTGAATCCATTATCGTAAAGTATCTGCATAAACTGAAACTCTTTTGCTGCTGCCAATCGTGACAAGTACATCCAATTTGAAGTATGTCTATTTTTCAAATAATCACGATTGTTCTTCACCGTTTTGAAAGAGGTTCGACCAAGACGATGGATTTTCAATACTTTTTGCACACCTGCAGGATCACTGACCGAGTATATATCTGACTCCTTTCCAACACCAATGGTTGAGCCCACTGAGTACAACGTATTTCGATTCAACATTGATTTCAAGGCAAGATAGTCATACCCGTTGTAAGTCAACCTGAATCCGTCGTATGTAGCATTACGTAACCTGGCAACAAGTTTCAATTTGGCCAAATCTCCAATGGCTCTTTGTGTACCTGATGGTGCTTTCATACCCGATATGGAATGGATCATTTGGGTTGGGACCAATTCATGATTTCTGGAACCTAATTCCACGGCTTGTAAGACTCTAAAATCGTCCGAGGTCAAATACCTCATGTGAGAAGTGTCCAACTTCATGATAATTCCGCGATGTTAGTTGTTACTTGTTTATTGTGGAAAGGAAGAAGAAGAAGAAGAAGAAGAAGAAGAAGAGGAAGCTCAGAAGCTCATCCCGATAAAGTGCAATATTTTTCGAGAGAGAGATGGAATGAGGGTGAGCACAAAACGGAGTTGCAACTTATCAGAGAAAAACTCTCTCACCCCAAAAACCTCAATAGTGAATACAGCAACAGGCCATGAGGCACAGATCAAGATACAGCACACTGTCAAAAAACTTTACCAGAAAGCGCAAGAGGCAGGAAAAGTTTAAAAAGTTTGTCAAGAAGGATATACAGCCTCTTGAAGCTAAATATGCTACTCATGGGCAACTGAATTTGAACTTCATCGATACTCAAATCACAACAACAATGTCATATCCATGGAGTAAAGTCACACCCAACCAGCTACAACATCTGAAGTCCACAAAACCATTAAGGACTCTAGTGCATATATGTGCCGAAACAATTGCCTCGCAAGCCCACAAAATCACCCCAGACTTGATGACAACGTTGCCGTGGTCGATTTGGAAAAAAGTGTGGACAATGATTCTAGCCACCAACCAAGACTCACTTCAAGTATACACCATTTTCCTACGCCATTTTGGTCATTTCACCGATTTCAAGGGTCATAAATCCCACATCACAAATGTTCGTGATGAGACAATTGCGTTTACGCAAGTACCACAGAATCGACTACATCGAATTGAGACTTTATTCGCAAATGTTCTTATACCTGATATGACCCAGGGGTTGGCAAAAGTTGGAGCGAGTGTCATTTTGGATATGTCGCGTATGCCAATGGTGAGCAAAGAGGAATACTTTCTGATTTTTAACGTACCTAATTTGATTTGTCTCGATTTGTCCAACCAGGAGATCGATGTCATATTCTTACATCATTTGGGCTCGTGTATTGCCACCGGCACCAAACTCAACCAGTTAGTGCTAATAAAATTGGCCAATACAAAAGTGACACCACTAGCTGTGTTGAAGTTTCTCAATGCAATTCTGTTTCGAGGTTGCAAACTCGCTTACATTGAACTTGATTTTGAAATCAAGCATAGGCATTGGAGGCTCTTAGATCCGGGCAAATTGAAAATTGTACAAACAATGCCAATGGGGTTAAGCGTGAATGCATTAACCAGATCGGACACCACTCTGCCCCACTCACCAGTTTCCCCTCAATTGAATAAACTCCCGCTTCTTGATATATTCATAGCAAAAGAGTCTTACGATAGTACATACAACATGGAAGATATTTGGAGATCCCGAAACAGGGCGATGAATAGCATCAAAAAAAGAACAACTTTCGTTTATGAGAAAATATCACCCACCGAGTGGCCCTATGAAAATGGGGCAGCGGATTTAGAGGAGAAACCACAAAGACAGAAAAGGGCACTCAAAACAAATGCCAGAGACTTTTTCGAGTTGTAAATGTATATTGTTTTTGTTATTGGCTCTCTTAAATCCATATGAACCTATCATTAAGAAGTCGACTTCCCACGGTTCAATAATGCGAGTAATCCTTTACCTGGATTATTTGATTGGTCCTGTTGACCAATGGTCGATCGACTGGATGTAGAAAGATTGAAATTTGGTTCTGCCAAATGTACTGTCTCTTGCTTGTCCCCTGTTGGACTGTCTAGCTGTCCTGGTGGTTGTTGACGTTGTTGCTGTTGTTTTTGATGCTGTGGGAATGTGCCACTTGGGTAGTATGGTTGATGTGACTGCTGTGTATGCTTTGGCTCACTATCACCACCAACAACTTCATCGTCACTGTCAACATCAAAATTGGTGAAAGTTTTAGGAAGCGAATCATCGTCGAAAACGTATTTCCCATTAAATGCGTTAAAGTTGTCAAAGTCTTCAAAATCTTCAAAATCATCAAAATTGTCCACCTTATTTGGTTCCTGGTGAAGTTTCTGAGCAGGATGCGTCTGATCTTGCGGGGTTTGCAGAACATTGCCACTCGTGGAATCATATACACCACTCAAACTAGGAGATGATTGTTGGGCATTATTCTTTAGTAAAATGTCCCTCAATGCACTACTGGCTGAAATATCGGGCTGTTGACTTTGCTGCAGCTGTTGATAGGACTCAGGATGAGACAGTCCCCAATTTTCGGAAACTGGAGACGCAACTGTATTTGACAACGTGGCCTGATTACTACCAACTTCTCTGTCAAATTTTTGAATGCTAGACAACGCATTGGGTGAGGTTATACTTGGTTCTTTGTCTTGACTGCTCCAGATATCTTGATTTATACCACCTTTGCCACCATCACGTTGGTTTCTTCCAAATAAGCTGAGTAGTTTGTTGGCAGAGGCTGATGACTGCGATTTGTTTTGCTGCTGTTGCGACTTGTTTGCCCAGGTTGACGAGTCAACACTCAAGGAGTCATGAGACTCAGTAGTGTTAGGCTTTTTGAGTAAACTGAGGAAATCTCTAGTTGGCGACACCACTCTAGGTGTGATGTCATTATCGCGTGTTTCCTTGTTCAAAACATTAGCAATCGTACCGGCTCTTTTCTCATTGCTTGCCTCGTCGTGGCTTTTAGATGGTGTCTGTCTGTGTAAAAAGCCAAGTAATTGCTGTGATGCTACGCGATCGGCTGAAGGTTGTTTTTCGATTTGTAACGACGCATTTGCATCATGTTCTTCGACAGGCGCTTCCTTTTGTGACTGGTTGACGACTTCTTTATTTTGTTGCGAATCTGAGGCATCATCCTGTCTCGTACCATCATTTTTGGGCTTCAAAAGGTTTAGAAGGTCTTTTGAATCTTTATTGTCCGATCTCTTGAGTAATTTGATCTTTTGTCCCACAGCAGGTTGGCGTTGATAAGAGGAGCGAATGGACTCCTCAATTTCATTGGATGGCTGTTGACGCAGCAACGGCCTCGGTATATCCTTCTCCGCTGGTACGGATTTGTTCAATCCCATCCTCTCGAGTTCAAGTTTAGTTTTAGCTATTTCCTGACTGGGGCTCGATCTGTTGCTTATTGGGCTTTCGCTTCTTGAAACGCCATTACCACTAGCTGTTTTGTCGTTCTTAGATTCTGTGGGTGCCTTACGTTTGGGGAAAACACTCATTAGTTGCTGAGCTCTTGATCTGAGATTACCAGAATCTGCCTTTCCGGTTCTAGCTGCACCACCATCTTCACCTCTTTTATTTTCATTTTTGGTTGTCAAGATAGATAATAGTTCCTTTGAATGAGTTGCAGGTCTTGTCAAACTATCCGGATTAGGTGGGATTTGTTGATGGTATTGTTGATGTGGAGGTAACAACCCAGGATGGGGGAAATGTGGCGGTTGTCCAGGAACATTAGCCGGAGGTTGCATGTAAAAAGGAATATTGGGGTATGCACCACCAGTGAAAAACGGAAGTTGATGTTGAAGGTGAGGTGGAAGCTGAACATTAACCATTGGAGTAACACCAGAGTTGTCGGCTTGTTTGTTTGCTGACTCATCATGATTATTTGCGACTTGCGATGTAGGTTTTGCACTCTGCAATATGTTAAGCAACTCCCGCCCGGCATCCACATTCTCTTTACGTTTGTTCAAACCCATCAATTTCTTCAACTTGATTTCAGCTTGTTGCATGAGATCCTCTTCGCTCATCACACCCTTGTTCTTGCTTATCCATTTCATCACAGGCTTGATAATTGTTGCCACTATGAAGAAATTATTTGGATTGGACTTCACCTTCTTTTGGACGGACTTGATATCAAACCATTTTATCTGGGCAATTTCATATTTTGACACAGGCTCAAATTGGATGTCTTCGGATACGTTTTTCACGAGAAAGATCTTGTAATTCTTGCCCCTGATTGTCCTTTCAACATAATCGTTCTTGTCTATCAATTCTGAGCAATTAAACCCAATTTCCTCTTCGGCCTCTCTCACTGCACAATCGACGTCGCTTTCATCTTTCGAAATTTTCCCTCTGGGAAATGACCATGCATTTGATTCCGTCCCTTTCACCAACAACACCTTTGTTAATTCCTTGTTGAATAAAGCCACACCCCTAACCGGGATCGTGCTCTTGTATTTGCCGAATCTTGCCAACGCATCGGATGGATCTCCCCATTTCCAAATCAAAGGGCATTTCTCTAAAAGCTTCGAAGCAAAAGCTTTCATTTTCATAGAAGGTAGGCTAGGGTCCAATTGACGTACATAGTCCAAATAGAACCAATGGGCCTCCTCCACTTGAAAAAATATTCTCTCTATCGAAGACAAGTCTTCTTCAGGTACATTGACAACGAATCTTACTAAAAGGTCTTCAAGTACGCGGTCCAACAGCTGGTCGAGCAAGCCATCTCTTAGCTGTATCGACATGGTAATATGCTATGCTATGATTTATAAAGATTCTTCCTTTATGTGCAATTTCGCGGTCGGTTTGAGTGTAAGGGTGGGGTCACTTAAGGGCAATATGATTTCTTTGAACTCAACCAACAGTCAAAAAATTTTGTCGCCCATTTTTTGTCGTTCCAAACAACTACACCATGAGAACACACGAGGTTTTACAATACATCCGTTAGCAAAAAAAAAAAAGAGCTTAGGCAATACCCCCTCCCCCCCCCTCCTCTCCCCTCCACCACAAAATGAGTAGTTGTCCTAGGCTTATTACAAGACAATTGAGCACATCAGCTCACCTTCTTCAGCAAAGGTCACAACCTCGATTTGTGGATACGATAAAAGAGGTGTCCAAACCAGCGCAAGAGGATTCCTACAACGTCACGCGACCCCTTGGGTTGACTAAGCCAGTTTTGCTAAACCACAAATTGTCCGATACCTACTCCTTTTCGAACATTGTAGGAGAACTATTTGGTGCTCAAGCTAAAGAAAGAAGGCAGAAGAACCTCGATTTTGATTTGAAGCACTCTCCAATTTACGATATGAAGTCGTTTCAAAACACTAAAGGCAAAATATTTAAGCCTCCCATATCGTGGTTCAAACAAGATAAATCACTTTACTTTCCTGACTTTATTGCAAAAACTTTAACAGGGGAACTGAACAGTCTATATGATGTGCTCAACAATAAATACAGCATAGTGAGGTTATATTCCACGGTAATCGGCGAGCAATGTTCGAGATCATACTTTAAGGTAGACAACGAGGACTATTACAGCACAAACTACAAGAGCTTTGTAGAAAAGTTTCCTAATTTCCAAATAATTGATATTAATATGCCTTCCAGTTGGATCAAAGGTTTTGTTTTAAATTTATCATTATCCAACTTGAGAAAGATGATATCTCCCGAGCGTTATCAGAACTATTTCATCTTACCATTACACATATTAGCACCAGAAATAAGAGAGCAATTGCATTGCGATAATCAATGTACGGGTTACATATATATCATTGATTCTTTTGGTAAAATAAGATGGGCAACAAGCGGCTATTCCACTCCGGAAGATCTTCAATTAATGTGGAAAGTTGTCAAAGGATTGGAAAAAGAAGCTACTCAGAAAGTAAAAAGAGTATAGTGCAGAATGCAACTAATGTAAATAGATATAAAGACGCTCCGACTTGCATGAAAATGGTGTTTCTGGCAGTATGATGGCGTAGCTGCAAAACACAAGATCACATGGTAGCTGTCAGTGACGATAGTAGATCATCGAATCTCGCCAAATTCTCTCTCTTTCTCTCTCTCTCTCTCGTTCACCTCTTCTCATTTCATTAAACCTCAAACTTTTACACTTCAAATCAGTGGCAACAAACAAGTATGTTAGATCTCTTTTCAAAATGATGAATTACTTCAATTGGGAATCTCTCTGACAATCCAAAAACAAAACTTATGGAGAAAACCAATATAATTGATATCTGATTTGAGTGTCGACTTAATAACAAAATTTGAATACTAACTTTGCCACTAGTGCCAACAATAGTACAGCAACGGGATACCTACGTCTCTGTAGAGTGGACTTAATTGATGGCAGCCTTTTCTCAAGAAGTGTAGCAGCTTTTAGTTAAGGGAAGCTGTACGTTTGTAGTCTTGGCATGTGGAGCTCACACGTTGGCTCCCACTTACATCGACCGTGGAGCCACTGTCTCCTCCCAAACAAAACTCTGACCCATCTATCGTCTTCCTGCACCACCCTACCCTCACGACTATTAACCTCTATATGCTAGATTCAAAGTCAAGCATTACATTCGAAACCAGTAGGGCTAAAGCCCTAACAAATTATGTAAGTAGTATTATGTTACACAAAATACTTTCGCGCTGTTGTCTCTCGCTCGCTTTGGTGATGCATTTTTTTTTTTCAGGTTTCAATAAATCGCAGAATACGTCCTGCTCTTGCTTCTTTAACAACGTCAACTACTAGTAACCACGTCAAGATGTCTGCCCCAATCAACAAGGAAAAGTTAGAACAAGAACCAGAACAACAAATCCACAAAATCAGAATCACCTTGACCTCTACCAAGGTTAAGCAATTGGAAAATGTTTCTGCCAACATCATCAAGAACGCTTCTCAAAGCAACATCGTTAAGAAAGGACCAGTTAGAATGCCAACTAAGGTTTTGAAGATCACCACCAGAAAAGCTCCAAATGGTGAAGGTTCTAAGACTTGGGATGCTTACGAAATGAGAATTCACAAGAGAGTCATCGATTTACAAGCTCCAGCTGCCACCGTCAAGAAGATTACTCAAATCACTATTGAACCAGGTGTAGATGTTGAAGTTACCATTGCTGCTTAAGCGAGATTTCCATCTTTGATATTTTGATTATACCGTATTTGCTGAGAGGATTGTTTAAACATGTTGTGAAAATTGAGAGTGCATTTGCTATCTGGCCCTCTAGATGCGCCGTATACTAACCATATACTGACGTTGAAGACGCATTATCAGCGTCTGATAGAAGTGTCTCGAGTGAATGGGAGGGTTTTTTTGTTCTTTTTTTTTAAAAATATTGGGACGTCAAAACATCAAAATTGAAAATAGTACAACAGTTTGTATATTTTAATGAAACTTTTAATCTAGGTTAAAGCATTGTTGTAGACGATAATTAAAGATAAAGGAGAGTTTTGCTACATTGGGTAGTATCGAGAGAGTACTCATTTCCTGGTGAATCATAGGAAATTACGAACATGCCTTCACTAAATCTCAACACGTTCAACATTGCCACCGCCAACATCTCCACCATTCAAGAAAGAACTGTCAGAAGAAAAGATGCGCGCAATGTGAGAGGAATATTGGGACGTAGATGTCAATTATGAAACATATAAAAACATGCTAAATAGCAAAGGATTGGAACCATTGACACCAGCAGTCCACCGAACGACTGAGTATCCTTCCTTTCTTAACTGACAACCTCGAAAGCAGTCCCCACACTTCTCACAAATCACTTTCAGATAAACAAACAAACAAACAAAAATACAAAAAATTGGGTAATAAATGCAAAAATGGTAGCCAAATTTGCTTGAACTAATTCTTCTAGAGATGCTTACATTGTGATAATAGAAACTATACTAATGACAATGCACATTACTATACTTGAATTAATAAAGGTTTTACTAACAACAGCCAAGTGCAATATCTTGACTACTTGTATTTACTTACTTTCTATTGTTTAATTTGTAGCTAAAACATTACTTTTGAATCCTCCGTCAAGTCTGGAAGTTTTTTCCTGCAATAGAAATATATATATATCACTATGAAAAAATAAAAGCTGATTAATGACCACACTAACCATCCATTTTTTAATGACAGATGAAGAATTGAGATAAAAGCATAGGGGTGAAAGCATGCTGAATGAACGCTATTGACACAAACGCAAAGTTTGCAGTCAGATAGACAGAGAGAAAGAAAGAAAGAGAAATTGGTAGCATCGATAAGCGGCAAAAAATAAATTTTCTGAAGTCACGAACTTTAGCTTACAATATTAACGGCAGTTCCAACCGCTTAGTCGATTGTCATTGTTGGAGGACTCACTTTTGCAATCCAGATTCTGTTAAAGGTCCAGTATCAGACTTTGTTTTATGTGCTAACATCACTCTCACAACTTGCATACTCCCCCCCTTCCCCCAAAAAAAAAAGAAAGAAAAGAAAATTTCAAATGGCTTACCCCGAGTTGACTTGTGGGTTGCGATCGGTTTTGGTGCCGATGGCCCCTAATAATGAAAATGCCTTCAACCCCTGCTTTTTCACAGCCATGCTTTCTATTTTTGCAATGTTCACTTTTATTTGGGGAGGTTTCACGTTTTGGCGACAGTGGACGAGTCCCCATCATTCAAATTACCAACTTGCGAATGTAGGAATTTCATATTACACGCGAGTCGCTTCTGTATTGCTTCAAGTCATTTTGTTTGCCTATATCAGCAGTTTTGTCAGCATACATGAGAGGTTGGCAGATCAGAAAATAATTGCATTCGGGTTGACCACATTGGCAATGCTATGCGTCATTTTACCTTTGCATATATTGGAAAATTTGAAGTCTCCGATACAGCTAGACATATTGCTTGTGTTCTGGCCATGCTTCACCGTTTTTGCAGGTGCTTTGTATTTTCAAGACAACTACACCGATTGGGTGATCATTCAGCTGGTGAAATCTATTCTGCTCGTTGAAATCGCCGTGATTGCCAACAGCATCAATATATTTGTATTGGAGTATTTCAAATGGTCACCGAGCAAATACTTGATCGAGGAGTACAAAATAACAGGACACAAAGATTTATTGGAGCAGCCAAATTTGCTTCAACGTATAACATTCACCTGGATGAATGAATTGATCGTCAATTCTTACAAGAACAAAACTGTCACCAATACCGAATTACCAAATACGCCAAAGGAAATCTCCACAGTTTATTCCACTGCAATTTTACAAAAGCATTGGTATAATGGAAACTTACTCACCAGTTTGTTTAATTCTTTTGGGAAAGGTCTCTCTGTTGCGTTTGGGTACGAACTAGCTGCTAGAGCACTTAACTTCACTCGACCACAGTTATTGAGGTTCCTCATCTTATTTTTCACCATCAAGAATCCGCCATTGCTACGAGGAGTGCTCATCTGTGTGGGGATATTTGCAAATACAGTGGCACAAAATGCCTTGAACAACAAGTACATGTTGAGAAATTTGGAGAATATTTTGAACATAAGAAGTTCGCTAACGTCGATGGTCTACAAGAAGACACTAAAATTGTCAAGCGAAGCACGATTGAGCAGCTCGTCAGGGGACATTATCAATTTGATGTCGGTTGACATCAATCGAATATCTTATGCAATGACAAATATAAGCACCTTGATTATTGCCCCATTTGACATCATTTTAGGATTGATCTCCTTGTGGCCATTATTAGGAGTATCAACATTTGCTGGATTTGTGGCAATAATCGTGGCTTTACCCATCAATGCAGTATTGGTCAAGTACATAACGAACTGGAACAGGCAACAAATGAAACTAAAAGATGAAAGAACGGGAGTGATTAACGAAATTTTAACATCGATTAAAAGCATCAAGCTTTTTGCGTGGGAGAAGCCAATGTTGAGAAAATTGTCAAAAGCCAGAAACGATCACGAGTTGAAGAATTTGGTCAAGGTTCGTTTTTACAATCAGATATCAAATTTTGTTTGGTCTTTGATACCGATCTTGATGAATTTGCTTTGTTTTGGCTCGTATGTTTTGACGCAAAAGAAACCATTGACGTCAGATATTGTCTTTCCAGCATTGACGTTGTTGAGTTTAGTGTCGAATCCGATATTGGAATTCTCCGAGACAATCAACTCTTATATTGAAGGGAAAGTTGCTCTAGCTAGAGTGCGCAAATTCTTGGTCAATGAAGAGTTGGATCTGAAAGCCATTAGTAGAGTAGTGCCACCGCTGGCAGATAACTCTGATGAATATGTAGTAGTGGAGATTAAGAACGCTTCCTTTTATTGGACAAGGCCCAAATATCAAGATGATGAAGCGGATGAAGTGCTTGATGATGAATCTCACGCATTGAAAGATGTCAATTTAGAAGTGCCGAAGGGGAGTATGTCTTGTATCATTGGCAAAGTCGGAAGTGGAAAGACCTCGTTGTTGTACGCACTTCTCGGACAAATGGTTTGCATAAGGGGGGAGTTGTCGAGTAAACCTGTAATCAAGGTGCATGGATCGGTAGCTTATTGTGCTCAAAGCCCTTGGATCATGAATGCTTCTGTTAAAGAGAATATTTTGTTTGGATGTAGACTCGAGCCCGAATTCTACAGGATGACAATTGAAGCATGCCAGTTGGAACAGGATTTGAAGATATTGCCAGATGGAGATGAAACGCAGGTTGGAGAGAAGGGAGTCAGTTTGTCAGGTGGACAAAAGGCGAGACTAGCACTTGCAAGAGCGGTATATGCTAGAGCCGACATATATTTGTTGGATGATATCCTATCAGCAGTGGACTCCCATGTAGGCAAGAAAATTATTGATCAAGTCTTATCCAAAAATGGATTGTTGGGCTCTAAAACAATCATCTTGTGTACCAACTCGATCCTGGTGTTGAAGTATTCAGATAGTGTTACTATGATTGAAAAAGGGAAAATAGTTGAGTCAGTTCCCTACTTGGAAGTGGACCGAAACAATCATCCAAAAATTTATAACTTGATCACAACTTTTGGGAAAGATACAGGAGAAAATCTGTCAGGGACAACCTCAACCCCATCAAGCGAGCTTGAGCCACTTTTGGTGCCAATGTTAAATTCCGATTCTCAAACGTTGGAAAATAATGGTAAAGTTACTACTTTGAGACGCGCCAGCATTGAGTCCTTCCATTGGGATCCATTGCAAAAATTGTTGCCCAATTTAAAGTCCGGCCTGACTCAAGAACAAAGCCAAAAGGGAAAGGTCAAATGGGAGGTTTATACCGCTTACATCAAAGCTTGCTCAATTGGGGGCATATTCGTGTGGATTGGATTTATCATCATGTCAAATCTTCTTTCCATAGGAAGTAATTATTGGTTAAAGCACTGGACCGAAGAAAATTCTGAAGCTGGGGAGAATAAAGATATTTGGAACTTTCTTCTTGTTTATGCGGCGTTGGGTGTGGGTGCCACATTTATGACTGTTGGAAGGTCCTTGATAATGAGAATGTGGCTCGGTATAAATGCGTCGAGAAAGATCCACAACCAGATGGCAGCAAGGGTCATTGGCGCACCTATGGAATTCTTTGAAAGAACACCCGTGGGGAGGATAATGAATCGGTTTACAAATGATATCAATAGGATCGACGATGGAATCCCCTCGATTTTCCTGGCGTTTATTTCGCAAATCAGTCGCACTGTGTTTACCCTTGTTGTAGTAAGCTTTGCCATTCCTGCTTATTTTATTCTGATTTTGATTTTGGGGGCCATATATGCATATTATGAAATTTACTACGTTGCCATTTCGAGAGAATTAAAGAGGTTGGTGAGTGTGTCGAGGTCTCCCATATATGGTCATTTGGGAGAGAGTTTGAATGGGATGGACACTATCAGAGCATATGGTCAAAATGAAAGATTTGATTTCATCATGAACAAAGTTGTTGATTTCAATTTAAAATCTCAGTATATGCTTACATCGATCAATAGGTGGCTTTTTTTCAGATTGCAAGTTGTGGGTGGTTTGGCAGTATTGTCTGCTTCTTCGATGTTGATTTTGAGTGTCAAAACTGCTCATCCATTGACATCTTCCATGGCAGGGTTTTTAATGACATATGCATTACAAGTTACGGGCTCCTTGAGGATAGTGGTTAGACAATCGGCTGAAGTGGAGACTAGTATTGTTGCTGTTGAACGATGTTTGGAATATACACAATTACCGGTTGAGGAAGATGAACAAAAGCAAGTTTTTACGCCACCCCTTGATTGGTACAAATGTGGAAACATTCAATTCAATGACTACTCTACGAGGTATAGAGAAAATCTTGATTTAGTTTTGAAGAATGTCAATTTGACTATTGCTGAAGGTGACAAAGTAGGGGTCGTTGGTCGGACGGGTGCTGGAAAGAGCTCGCTTGCTTTGGCAATCTTTAGAATCATTGAGCCCGTTGAAGGAAACATTGATATAAACGGTATAAATACTAGTGCGATTTCCTTGCATGAGTTGAGACATCACCTAAGCATTATTCCACAGGATTCTCAATTGTTTCAAGGAACAATAAGACAGAATTTGGACCCATTCAATTACTATACCGATGATGAGATTTGGAGGGCGTTGGAGTTAGCCCATTTGAAGGATCATATTGCTCAGCTCAATTCTAATGAGGTTGATGACGCGGATAAGAACGATCTCAAAACGCATGTTTCGCATTCCAATGGCAACAAGCTATTGTGTAAAGTTAATGAAGGGGGCTCAAATTTCTCAGCTGGTCAACGCCAGCTCATGTCCCTTGCAAGGGTATTGTTGAAAATGAATGAGTCGCAAGTTCTCGTGCTAGACGAAGCCACTGCAGCGGTCGATGTAGAGACCGATAGAATCATACAGGAAACTATACGTAAGGAGTTCAAGGATAAAACGATAGTGACAATAGCTCACAGACTAGAGACAGTTATGGACAGTGATCGGATCCTAGCCTTGGATGAAGGAGAGGTTGTTGAATTCGACACGCCAAGCAAACTAATTGAATCCAAGCGAGGAATATTTTACGGATTATGCGAACAAGGAGGGTATTTATAGAAAGTGGGTAGACGTGGTGAACAACATGATAGAAATTATATATTAAAAGTTAGTAAAAGGTTGCAAAATAAAGAGATGAAGCAGTAGCGTGTAGCGAGCATTGAAGATTATACAAAGGCGGCAATCTCTTTCTTTCTCCAACAAAAAAGCTTCTTAGCGCATTTATCATTCTCCAGCACAACACACTGTACAGCACCACCAACAGGTCAAATAAAAAAATAAAATAAAAATAAAAAAAAAATAAAAAAAAAAAGAAGTAACTACCAAGAATAGGAAGAGATATAACACATACCATATTGCATCTTACAAGACTCTCACCCCTTCATCAATCTATACACATATTCATATTCATTTCGGAAAGAAACAAATACTTTACAATGGCATCAACAGCTCAACATGCTTCAAAATTCACTAGATTCTTAAACTCCGAAACTGGTCCCAAGACGGTACATTTTTGGGCACCTGTTTTCAAATGGGCTTTGGTCATTGCCGGTATTAATGATTTACAAAGACCCGTCGAAAAGTTGAGTGGTACTCAACAAATTGCCTTGTTTGCTACTGGTGCTATATGGACAAGATGGGCTGGATTCGTCATCAAACCAAGAAATCCATTGTTGGCTTCAGTCAATTTCTTCTTGGGCGCTGTTGCTGGTTACCAATTGGTCAGAATTGTGAATTACAGACGTGACGTGGGTGACTCTCCAATGCAAGTGTTCAAATATATTATCGATGGAGATCCAACGAAGCAAAAGGAGCAGACTGCACCTGCCACTGCAGCTGCCGCTGCACTTGTTGAGAAGAAGTAGAAAGCGACGCAATTTTTTTATTTATGCCTTTGTATAGAGCTTATTAGGCCGTATAAACGATTATACAAATATATATATTCATGAATCAATTAGCATCTCATCTTCGTCGTTCTCCGGTTCTACTGTTTGTTTGGCAGTTTGAGAGTTCCCCGCAAGATTGGAATTCTGAAAATTTGGGTGAATATAATTCTCGGCTGTATCAAGTCCATTGGGAGGAGCGTCCGCATTTGATCCGTTTTGTGTATTCTTTCTTTCGTCCCCTGCTTTATCGTTGCCTTCTCCCTCCTCCTGTTCAATCTCCGTTGGGGGTTCAGGACTCCCCCTCACCTCCACTTCATCGCCGTCACTCTCCTCATCGCTGTCTATGTCGTGGCGCCGCCCAACCTCTTCTCCGTCTCGGTCTGCGTCTCGGTCTTCGTCTTCGTCTTCTTCTTCATCTTCTTCTTCATCTTCTTCTTCATCTTCTTCTTCCTCCCTCACCTTGTTATCCTCGGCTTGTGCCTCTTCCACGGTATCAATAACTTGCTTAACCTTAATATCAAGGAATTCTTTCAACTGATTATCTCTAACTGACCAGGTTCTGTTCTGTGTTTGAATTTTATTCTTCATCAGCGTTAATATTTCCAAATGCACCCTTTTTTCAACTCTCAATCTGTATTCAATGTCGATCAAGTCCTTTATAATTGAAAACTCGGGAAAGAGTTTCTCGCCACTGTCAGCACTCAACGAAAACAACTGCACTAGTTGCAAATTCGCCATACCATACAGTCTCCCTAGATCTAGCAATTTCTCGTTTCCATATTTCTCCAAAGTCTTGATACTTACTGTGAAAGTGGGTATTTGGATTGACTTGGCTAGAACTTCATAGGTTTTACTAGTCTCGTTCAACTTTTGATTGGACTTGGCTACCTTTGCCTCAACTTTATTGTAATTAACAATGTCGCCCTTGATGAATTGACGTTTGGTTTCGTCTTCCCAGTTCGTATATTCTTTATGAGATTTATCCAACTTGAACGAGTCCATGATGTAATTCCTTTTTGTTAAACGGACCTGTGTTGGATCTAATGTGCTCTCATTTTGCAAAAGATCTTTACTCAACTTTAAGAGGCCGTGAGCTGAATTGAAAGAGTCAAGGTTTCTCTCTAGACTACTCAGAAGTAGTTCTATTCTCTCTGTAGGCTCAACCGATGACATCGTACTAATATCTTGACGTGTTGGTAATACTTACGAATCGTTCTTCTACGAGGTTTTGTTAACGTGTTTTTGTTTTTTTTTTTTTTCTTTCTTTTACAACCAGAACTTCACCAAAACAAGCCCACCACCACACGATACAAACATCATAGATGGCACATCAGGTAGACTCTGCCGAATTGAACACGCAATTGCTGAATGCGGTACATCGATTGAATGCCCTCAATCTTTACCAGTCTGCAAAATGGTGCGCAGAAGCATTGAATGGGATGCCGAGGCTGGAGCTAACGGGAGGAGTTGCACCTGTTCAATTACTAGAAGAAGATGACTATGCCGACTATCCCAAAGTTCTACTAGCCCAGTCATATTTTCACTGCAAAGAATTCGATAGGGCAGCTCAGGTGTTGGAAGGTTGTAAAAGTGGGAATGCTACATTTCTACGTTTGTACGCGACAATGATAGCTATTGATAAACGAGCCACAGAAGATAGTGATGGAGTGATAAGCGTTGGATCTGGTGATGCAGAGTTTATTGATGGAAGTGGTGGAGGCAATCCCAATGATTATACTGGTCACGACCAAATTCCAATGAGAGGCAATCACGGCCAGGCCAATTCAAAACATATCAGGATTTTAACAGAATCGGAGGAGTACTTGTCAACCAGAGAAACCCCATTCCTTTATTATTTGAATGGGATAATTTATCGTAAGAAAAAGAAACCACAAATGGCCCAAAAAAACTTTTACCAGTCATTGGTACTTTTCCCGTATAACTGGTCGTGTTGGAGAGAGCTAATAGATTCTTTTGTTACTTATGAGGAGGCGCAAAGCTTTATCCAGAAGGTAAAGAGGAAGAACGAGTTGTTTGCCAGCACCATTATGTTCCAATTTTTTGAAATGGTTGTGCTACAGGAATCGCATCAAAGTCTGAATAGATTGTTTGAATTGGTAAATTACTTACTGGGTCTTTTCCCAAACTTTACATTTATCAAGGTTCAGCAGTTTCTTATTGCTTACCACAACTTGGACTATTATCAAGCGGAGTCTATATTTGATAACATTTTAATAGAGGACCCATCGAGATTAGAAGATTTGGACACCTACTCAAATATGTTATATGTGATGGAAAAGAAATCAAAGTTGTCCTACTTGGCACAGTACGCGTCACAAGTGGATCGCTTTCGACCTGAAACTTGTTGCGTTTTGGCTAACTACTACTCGATGAAGAGTGAGCATGAAAAGGCGATAATGTACTACAAGCGTGCACTAATATTGAATAAAGATTGCCTAAGTGCTTGGACGCTCATGGGGCACGAATTTGTGGAGTTGAAAAACTCTCATGCAGCGATCGAATCGTATAGACGAGCTGTTGACACAAACCCCAAGGACTTTCGCGCTTGGTATGGGCTTGGACAAGCATACGAAGTTTTGGATATGCATTTATATGCTCTCTATTACTACCAAAGAGCTACAAACTTGCAGCCACTGGATAAGCGAATGTGGCAAGCTATTGGTAACTGCTACGAAAAGATAGATCAGTTGGAGGATGCAATAAAATCGTTTGAAAAGGCCTTGTCTATTGGGAAACTATCAACCGCTGGAATCGGGCAATACCTTAACGACAGTACCGTTACTTCTATTGAAGGCAATTTGCACCATATGGAAGACCTGGAGGAAGCGGTTGAGCCGCATATTTGCTATCGTTTAGCAACACTTCTGGAAAAGTTGGGGAATGCTGGCAGCACACTCAAGTATATGAGATTGTGTTTTGCACAAGAAGCTGAATGGGGTGTGAGTGATGAGACGTCAAAAGCTAGGTTATGGCTAGCTAGAAAGGCATTGGAAACTGGGAACTTTCCAGAAGCTTATGAATTGGCCAAGGATTTGAACAACAGTAATGTACATGATGTGGAAGAAGCAAGGGCGATTGCACGCGACGCTAGAAATAGAATGAAGAAATAGCCAACACCAAGCAAGGGACATAAACAAGGAAATGTCAAAAAAAAGAAAAAAAAATAAAAATAGAAAAATCTTAACCATGAGCCAGATATCCGCTAGACGTACTGTATGCTGAGTTTTCACAATAAATACTCCTCAATTTCGTACCCCGATGATCTTCGTAAATCCCCCTTCCCCCTGACCCCACACGTAGTATATCCGGTCGCGTTTCTCCACATTTGATGGGGTTGAAGAAGCAAAAAAAAAAAAAAAAAAAAGGAAGCGAAAACCAGCCCTTTGATTAATGGAGTTCAACCACCACTCTCTCAACAACCAATGTCGAAACAAGAATTCTTCTCTTACGAAGTCATTGGAAATGCGGCCGTCATCACGTTTAATAACCCAAGAAAGCTCAATTCATTTCCGATACCTCAGTATAATGTTTTGGCGAGACTCATAGCCAGAGCCAACGATGAGAAAAGTACCACAATTACTCTCATCCAATCAACCGGAAGAGCGTTTTCAGCAGGTGCTGATTCAAAATTTGTTGGTGAGCAGGACACCGCCTTTGAGACATGGTTGCAATTATCGTTCATGATGCAGCATCATTTGACACAAACCATCATGGATCATAAAAAGATTTTAGCTGTGGCATTGAACGGGTTTGCTGTTGGATTGTCGGCATCGTTAGTCATGTTGTGCGATTTGGTTTATGTACATGATGTAACTAAAACTTATTTACTTGCACCGTTTTCAAATATTGGCATTGTTGCTGAAGGTGGAGCGTCGGCCACGTTGCCTATGAGGTTAGGTTGGTCGAAAGCATCCGAAGCTTTGCTTTTATCCAAACGTATATCGGGTGAAGATATGTTGAAATCAGGACTCATTAACAAAGCTTACGATGGAAAATTCAGTTCAGCTGAGGAATTCAATAAAGCGGTGTTGGATGAGTTGCAAACTGCAACGGAAAGCTTACATGCAGATTCAATTTTTGGAATCAAAAAGCTACTCAAGGCTACATTTAAGCCAGAAATTTCAAAAGCAAACTCAAAGGAAAGTTACGTCGGTCTTGCCAATTGGACAAGTGGATTGCCCAAAGAGAGGTTCAAGAAATTGAGCTCGGGAGAGTTGAGACATAAGATGTGAAAATATGAAATACACGTATATATATATATATATATACACAAAAAAAGACTCTAACTAAACACATCCTCTTGATTTGCCTCCTCTTCATTTCCAATCTCCAACTGAGCAAAATTGGTGAAATGTATTGGTCGGTGAACGGCATCGTAGAACGACAACGGAATGTCGACTTTCAAATTGTACAAATCATTTGCATTGAAAATTGCACCCATGAAAAAGTAATTCCAAATCTCATCTTCAGGAACCATGTAAGTTCCAATAACCTTATCGGTCATGATCAACTGACTCTTTTTGGAGAACGATTTTTCAAATCCTTCGGGTGAATCGGACATCATGTCTTGGTTGGATTTACCCCACTGGTATCCTTTCTCAGATAGTTCAAATGCAGAGAGCGTAACTGACCCTGGCGTATACGAGGCTGTCATGTCAATAAACCTAGGATTGTAAACCTCCATCATTCTACTCTGTGTTGTAACATCATTGGAGGTCATATAATCAAAATTCTGTGATTGACTGTGGATCCAACCTAATAACTCCAAACTCTCATCTTTCAAATATCCATCTAACTCGGGCTGCGTTCTGGGAAATTGAATGGAATTGGTGCTTCCTAATTGAGGTACAAACACCAAACACTTGATTTCCTTCACTTCATCGTGTCCCGAGGGAGACTTACCATACAAATAAGCACCCACTTGAATTCTCAAATCTGATACTTGAATGAATTTTTGTAAAATGTTTTTCGGCATAACGTAAGTGAATGAGTCGTCATCAACAAATTCTTCTGAAGTGACATAGATATTCTTTGCTCGTAAATGCAAATTGTTTGCTGCCAATGCACGGTTCCTCCATTCATTACGTGACGAAAATGTCGCTTGTTCGTAATTGGTTGTCGTGACAGTAACAATTTCTTCACCGTGAATGTTTGTCGAGACAGATTTTTGTGCTGTTATTTCTTTATTCTCAACTTGTCCGCCGCTCTTTTCAATTTCAGCGATCTCCTGACGTCTAATAGTAGCTTGTCTCACATCCTGACCCAAAATCAAGTCTCTGATTTCAGACTGGGTCAATGACTGCACATCCAAATTGTACTTTTTGGAATGCTCCTCAAGAATTAAATCTCTCAACCTACTCTCAACTTCGATCCATTGTTCGTCCGTTAAAGACGGCCAAATGTGATGACTTTCTGTGATGACATCGCTGTTTGACCAAATTATTTGCTTGGTGGCGTCTGAATCAAACCCCAAAGCCCTCAATATCAAAATAACCCTTGAAAATGCAGTGTATGGAGAGATTCTCGTAAGCCAATCATCATAAAAGTTGAAAAGCGCCATTTGCGGCTCGTTTGCTTTCAAAACAATGTCCGACAATTTGTCGATTTTCATCGCTGAGGCAAATGGCAAGTGCAATTCGGAAGGACGGATCGAAATGTTTGGAAAATCCAACATATGCACTTCAAGTGGATCCATCATACCCTTTCTTGAAATGATAAGTTGCTTAGGCTGCTCTTCTCTTGGAAGTGACTTTACCAACGCTGTCACTTCTTCGGCCGCTTTCCATTTTGCAAGTTGACTCAACCGTTTTTGGCCCGCCCAAACAGAAGTGTGGATTATCCTCAAATACAATTGACCTGTCTTTGGGTTCAAAATAAAGACACATCCGTTGATTGGCTTTGTTGCAAGATTTCCTTCAAACGTCTTGTGGACTGTAACTCTGTACACGTTGGTATCGTCGATAAATAATTGAGTCTCGTTGTTAAACAATTCGGCGTAGTTGTTTGAATTCAAAAATGCCTCCTGTGGCTGTGCATGATACAACTGTAACCCTTTTCTGATCCTCTCTCTCAAAACGTATAAAGCGGGGTTAGCTTTCATGATCTCTCTCATGGCATTATGAACCAATGGTTTCAATCCTGGGAACCAATTGCCATATACGTCGTACATGTTGTACGCCAAATCTATAGCAATAATTATACCAGTGGGTGAGGGGTATGAGCTTGTACCATCTGTGGTGTAGTCAAGGTACTTTGATCTAGCGTATCTCGAAATGTCATGAGAGTCGTAGTCACCATAACGAAGCTGCACATCAATCCAAAACTTCTTTGCAGGTAACACCATCTCGTCATTCTTATCATTAAGAAGTGATGGCTTGGACACGTTCCATCTATAAGTGCTTGTAAGAACAATATCAGCCGTTGAAGAATTCATTCTGTACGATTTACGTGGATGAATTGCTTGTTTCTCCACATTGTCAATTTGCAAAACTTCCAATTCTTTATCTAGAACCTGACACAAGTCCTGGACAACGCTCTCGTGTATCTTTTGCCAAAGATGGGCACGGAAAATTTGGATCAACGAAATCTTCAAGGTGGGGATTTTACCGTGAAGGAAAATACCAGTCAAATCCAACTGAACCAAGAACCCAACATAAACATTGGCTCTATTGATTGTAGGAGACCACCATAAGGTGAAACGACGATTTGGAATTTGACTCAACCCAGATCTTTGCGCGTTGGTCAACTTTTTAAATTTCAACGAATCTTCAAACCCGGATGCCTTCTCCCAGAACAACCCCTCCCATGAATCAAACCCAGTACCCTTGAACAATGTGTGCTCTAAAATGGTTTCTATACCACCCAAAGCTTGAATCACATCAGTTCTGTAAGCATTGAGGTTCCACAACTTCCCATCGTGATGATTATTTGTCCATGCAAAAGGGTTGAATCGACCAGTGCTGAAATGTTTGAACTCTCTACGAACTCGATGTCCCTTGTCATATGCCAAAGTGTGTCGATCTTTTTGAAATAGGGTACTTATTCTAGGAATTCCCCTGTCCCAGTTGCCTTCCATATCCTCAAATGTCAAGCGTCGGTTCTGCTGAAGAGCCTCTTCTCGTTTAATTGCATATTCTGCCCAAACTCTTTGGGAGTCCAAGAATTCATTTTCCCATGTTGTAACATATCTAAAGATTGTCGGTATCATTTTTTCCTCTTGATGCGACATTCCAGCCTTGAAATGAGTGATTCCGGTATCAGTTTGCTTGGACCACCTCAAATCTGACTCTGGTATAAGGACGTGAGAAGCACTTAGCATCCCCAATCCACCTAATTCCTTTGGAGTGTAAAAGACAGCTGGTGGGAACCGAGTGGGCATTTTCGAATTTAAGCCCATCTTGACTCGGTTCTGTATCTTTGTTTCGCACTTTATCAACACCTCCAATAGCGATGGAGTAGCAATAGCAGCCTCCCTAAAATACGTCACTAGCGCAATCAATGCCGTGTTCCACTTGGCGGCAACTTTTGTAAATGTTGTTGAGCCTGACGACATTAAAATCTGTCTGATCCTATTATGGAAGTTGTCAATAGCCGCTTGGGATACTTGCAAGTAGGCCCTTGCTGTTCGTTCCTTGGACGAGTGATCCACCAAATCCCACACATTCTCTTGCGAAGACGAAGTTTCTTTGGCGCGAATTTTGGGTAATATCCGAACTTCAAACCCGCACATTTCAAACAATAAGTTGGGGTTGTCACGAGAATATACTGAAGAAAATGTGTCCTCCCATTCAATAGTTGTTAGCGATTTCGGGATGCGTGATTTAATTTCCCAAAACACAGCTTTTCCAAGATTCACGTCATGTCTTATCAACCTCATTCTAGCGTCTTTGGGCCAGCAACGATGGTTGTTGTATCCCGCGACATTGGAATGATTCGGGTCGGGGTTTTGTTCCAAAAAATCATCAATCAACTCATCAGCCTCGTCGCTTTCAAAACGGAAAAAAATATGAATCTTGTCCATATAACGAGAATAGAGCCTAATGGGGGAGGCACATTGGGTCGCAACATCTTTAAACTGGAGGAAATTGTTGGGATTATGTGGCGGACCTGCTAGTTCTGTTGCTCTATCCAAACCAAGAATGAGCAAATCAACAATCAACCCATAGTACTGGTAAACAAACGATGAAAATTGAAGACCACGAACAATTCCATATTGATTCACATAGTTCATATCCTTGTATGTGAGATTGACATTATTCTTGGCCGTAATGTAGTCAGCAAGATTAGTATCCATAACCAATCTCAAGAGTCTATTGACCAATGTAAAGTCAATCTTGTCGGCAAACTTTGACAATTTCGTCTCCAACATTACATTTGATTCGCCCTGTGATGTATTCCAAACGTTTTGTAGGTTATTCACCCCTTGACACCATTTGTAAACCATTAGAGGAGGAATCTCGTCGTCCGCAGGTTTGACCCAGTTGGGGAACAATTTCCGCTTATCCGCTTCATACCACAAGTATTGATCCAAATATGCATCGGTGATTTTCTCGATTGGGTCAACTGCGTATGAAGGAGCCAAATGACTATAAAAGTCCATCATGTCCAAACCAACCTCTTTAAAGATCCTCTGTGTGAGTAAATGCTTCTTCACTCGTGCCAAGCATTCATGTGGATTGTCATAAGCTTCTTCAATCAAAGCTAATTCCTCTCTTTGTGCAGAATTCATCTTGGCATTGGCATTGAAGTTTGCTTTCAAATTTTCCAAAGCCAATGTCAACAATTTAGTGTCGTGTTTGTACGATATGGGAGGGAATGGTATGGGGCTGAACTTCCTACTCTCCAACCAGCTGACTGTGGTTTGAAAAACATGTATTGCCTCATCTGGAGAAACAAAGGGTCCATTCTTCCCGAAATCGGCTTGTCTTTCCAGCTCATTCTTAATCCACAACCTAGTCAACCGACCCAAATTCTTTTTGGCGACAGTCTTTTCAACGTGGGTCCCCTTTCTAATACGTTCGCGATTGTAATGCGCAACTGAGATCCAGCCATCAGCTTTAGCCTTGACGTATCTTTCAATGATCTTCTCAATGGGCTCAGGCAATCCTGGCACTTTCCATGGTATGTTAGCTTTCCAACAACGCCAAGCTTCACTCAAGTGCTGGAGTATAGTTTTCGATTTGCTTTGCTTCAATCCTTCCGGGATCATGTCCAATATATCATGCATCACTTGTGCTCTCAATTCCAAATCATAGTATGAATCTACTCTTTGCTTGGTAATTGTTTTCGCAACGTCATTCTGTCTTCGGCCTTCAAATTGTCTTGCTATCAAGTTACCGAGCCACCTCTCCAACAAGGGTATTGTCCCTCTCAAGAAAAATATCCAAACTTTCCATGCCGGTTGCCAAAACCCACATCCGGGACCTTTTCCTATGAGTTTGTTGAATCTTTGGTAAACAATGTGCTTGTAATCCTTACATTGACGAATTTGGTGCATCACTTTATACTTGTACCGATAAATACCCGTCAAATGACCCAAGTGGTTCAAAACGTAGTAGATGCCATCAGCCAATTGATACGCATCAACGTTTCCCAATCGAAACTGTATATGGCAGTCCACTATTATCTTGATGGCTCTTAGTAATTCCCGAATCAAATGGAACGCATTACCAAATCTCGACTTCTTCCTCTCTTTGGTGGTTAACGTTTTAGTTGGTTTCAAATTGAAATTGTAGTCTAGATGCAAGTAGGTTAATCCACGCTTGTGTATCAACAAGTTAAGCATATTGAACCCTTGTCGACAAACTTGTAGCCCCGCCTCCACCCAATCAATGCGTGTTTCTTGGAAATACTTTGTGTTTCGCAAGCTCTTTAATAAATTCACTTTTTTGGTGGCCCTTGCCTTTCTGGTCTTTTTGCTTTTAAGCTCATTCAGGACATAATTTTTCAATAATTTTTGATACGAAACCCTCACCTTGAGTGGACTGCCTCTTGGAGCACGATTTTTGTACCATGATTTTGTTATAGCGACATCTTCTGCTCTCTTGGTTCTACCACTACGTATGTTGAATGGGTATGGTGCAGATAATAAATCAAGCGATGACTTAAGGCTAGGAGGTTCGTAGACGGATGGAGGAATCAGGTTGCATTCTTGTGAAGCAGTGAAAAAAGGTCTTACATCGACGGGGAAATTGTCCACAGTCGTCTGTTTCCTCTCAGTAGCCAGCTTTCTTTTCATCACTGGATTATAGCTTGTATTGAATGTAAACGCTGAAAGTCCATCACTATTTTCGACTGATCCCTCACGACAATTCATATCTGAGTGAATAGGCGCGAGTGCTATTTGCTTGACAAACGAGTTGTATAAGTAGGGGAAGTCAACCTTGTATTCTGTTTGTATTGGATTCCTGATAATGATCCTATCTAGTGAATTAAATTCTGTGAAATCTTCATATTCCGGATTGACGGCACTCTCCTTGAACAATGGTTCAAACTTGGGACCACCAGGTACGGCCACATTTAAGCTCTTCGCTGTAAAGAGCTCTTTTTTATCAAATGAATGGTCAGTATGGGTCAACAAGGGTTTCGATATATTGTACAATTTGTCCATCGTAGCGGCATCAAGGTTCCAAGAGCGATACGAATCCCCATTCACCACATCAGAGTCATCCACTAAAGGCTTTTCATCATAAAACCAATCCTGTAAATCGTCCATCTGTTCAATTTCGCCTGACTTGATAGCTGCTGGCGGTTCCACATCTTCAAAATTTTGTGTCCAATCCAAAAACTGTTCCTCGTCATCCAAAGGTGGGAACCTCATTCGCTTGAAATGTTTTCTATCTCGCTTTTCTCTCCGCATCATGTTCCATGTAGCTGCCCATTGAGCAATGTAGACGGGCTCGATTACTCGAGGAATTTCATTGACAAATGTAATTGCACCTGTTCGATGATACAACACCTTAACTTCTTTTGTTTGTTCCCATGGTTGGGGCATGTTTTCCAACAACTTTAGTAATGCATGTGGTAGATATTTCAATGCCCCCAAGTGTGATCGTTTGTCGGCATTCACATTTCGCAGACTCAAATCAGCATGATCAATCATGATTTTCCTTAAATGTTGCGGTGGCATTTCAGGTTTTGGACCCGCCACACCAGCTCCTATCACTGGTTTTCTTGATGGTTTGTGTCTTGATCCTTGAACCTGGCTCCAGGTTCGCTTCCCATTAGATTCATCTTCCGTGGAATTGAGAATAGATGTTGGAATGGTTACTTTAGGAGATTTCGTACTACTTGGTGGAGGTGGAGGTGGCGGTGGTAGTGGCGATGGTGGTGGTAGCTGCTGCTTCGATATTTGTTTATTTGCAGTTGATGATGGTGGTGGTGGTGGTGGTGGAACAGCCTTTTTAGAAGACCTTTCTGATTTTGGCGACGCTTTCTCTTTGGCCAGTGGTGGTGGAGGTGGTGGTGGTGGTGGTAAAGGTGTCGACACGGGAGAAGATACGTGTTTTCTTTTCGTGGATCCATTCCCATTTGCCAGTGTCCCTGGCCCTTTCTGTGGCGGTGGAGGTGGTGGCGGTAGCTTGCGTCCCATGTGTCACTAATTGATTAGGTTACCTATTAAAACTGTAATTGTGATGCCTCTCAAAAATAACAAAAAAGCTTTGGCGCTACCTCGTGCTCATTGGTAAAAATTTGTGATGTGCATTACAAGACACGACTAGAACCCTCTACTTTAGGTTAGGGTGCTTCACGGTAGATAATGCGGGAAGGAAAGGTTCCATGTATTTTACGGAAACGCCAGTACGGTTGATAGCATAATAATCTCGTATACTACAGACTCTCAAAACTGCACAAGAGAAATTGACTCGTCTTTACGTTCTCTACAGTTCCATCATCGAGCTCCCTGTAATAATTGGATTCACTGCTATCGCAAAACGATTGTACCGTGGGTTAAAGTGTATCTATTCTTGTTACTGACAGATAAGTGCATGCCTGCATGGGTAGCGAGAAGCAAAGACTACCAGGGAATCTGTTCAAAAGAGTGTAGAACTGGGTTCGTATAAAGAAGACTGGGCTTGGATTTTCTCATCAAACCCTTATCCTAAACAGGAGACTGTATGTTGTCATACACTGAGACAGAAGTATGTGGTCTGTACTCATTAGGATGTGGGTATTTCTGTACTGTTGTAATTGTAATTATAATTGCGGAAGGGTAAAAGAGTGAGCGAATTGCGGACGGGAAAATCTGACAATCGGATTCTCAGGGCACACAGTTTTTCCCCAGTGTGATCTTTCCAAGCAAACCCTTATAGGTACCTTCCCATCATACACACACACACACACACACACACACACACACCTGACTCAATAGGGGGTTATATTTCCTAGAAACCTTTTATCAACAGCAACTACCACAACTGGCAAGGACACTAATCTACACATCTATGGCTATGTCTGCCAACGTGACAAACTCCACACTTATAGATCTTGCTACAGATAATGACACTGACTTTTCATTTTTGAAGCTAATAGAGTCAGTGGTCGAGGCCATTTGGGAACAAAGTAGCCTGTCGGAACTCAATAATGATGCGTGGTCAAGATTTGGTGCGATAAGTACTTATTGTTGTTCTGTATACGGCCTCGCCTGTTTGGTGATGGCTTTGATTTTGAATAGGACATTGGTCATGGCCTCCACCAACAGTATTCACAATCAACAAGTGGCCATCAACCGACAACGCCAAATAAGTGGGAATAGGGGATTGATAGATGCCTATAAACGAGCCACGAACTTGAAAAAGGTTAGCATTTTGAGTTTTCGAGTGGGTATAATAATGATCCTACTATACCAGATTTCGAATGTACTCACTGCATTGAAATTAAATCAGTTTTTGGGGTTAACTGAATCATCGAGTATAAAATGGTTTTATAGTCTTATTCCAGCAAGATTCTTCACATATGTACCGGAAAAGTTTGCTGAAACAAAGTATATGAACACACCATCGAGGCAAGTCATGATTGGACCAACCAGTGACATGTATTGGCCAATTTTCTTGACTTTTTGCTGTCTGGCTTTTGTTGAGACTTTTATTGCTTGCATTCAAGGTAGAAAACCATTTACTGAGAGTGGAATCACCATTTTTGAACATTCGTTGGCTTTTCAAGAATTTAGTACCAATTCTGCTTTTTTCTTTAGCAATTCATACAACTACAAGAGACCAACTGAGGTGTTGTTGATTACGTCACTTTTCCTGATTTTGAACCATTTGAATATACACGTGGGAGCAATACTCAATGATAATAAGTATAGGTTGATTCCACTGGCCACGCTTGGATTGGGATATTTGGCTTATTTCATCAGTAGTATATGGAAAAGGAAAGTTTTCCAGTTTCCAATCATTTTGGTCTTGACATTCACACCACAAGTTTTGATTCTATTTGTCATATTTGTTAGTTTGACGATATTAATGACGGCAGTGGCTGTCAATGGGTTTAGATTAGAAGGTTTAAACTATGCAAGTTTTTTTCTGAATCTGAATGGAGGAGAGCAAAGCGAAGACAATGTTGGTGAAAACGAAGTTGATGATGAACAAAATATGAATTCGCTTGAAAATATTAATATCAAGTGGAGTGATGATTTTTACACTGCATTATTGAATTTGGGTGTATTGGCAATAACTCTGGCGGGGAAATCCAGCTACATCAAAGAGTTGAGTCTTGTGACTTTGGATAATGAGACCTGGGTTGAGAGAAGTCTTTGGCAACAGGTGCAACTGGGGCAAACATCTCATACCAATGAAGCTAGTTTCCTAGAGGTAATGAAGCAGAAAAGGAGAAAGGGATATTCAAACTTGATAGATACCCCTACATCTAAGCTCGTTACACACGGTGAGTCGAATGCGGAATCGAATCACGCTTCCCGCGAAAATCCATATCAGTCAAGTAGCATATTCAAGAGACGGTTCTTGTACTTGAGGAGGATTGTGTTTGACTTTGCTCAACTAGTATATGGTGTTGTTGCGAGCTTCATTTTACGAGGAATCCCTGGATTTTTTCTGCTGGTGTTCAAAAGGGGAGGAAGACTGACGAGAAATATGAGACGTGACGGTATCTCAGGTAACGGAAGCCACGGCTCGGATGTACTTTCAAGCAAGCAAATACTTCAGCTAGACAATTACACTGTTGAGCAATTGGAGCAAAATTATGCGGCAATTCTCGCTGGGACGGATTTACCAAACATTGACAACTCTGAGGATTACGTTGGTACTCAAGAAGAGTCAGATTACGAATCAGATGCAGAAGTTATAGATCTTACCACAGATGTCAACAGCAGAAGTATGAGTCGGGTCAATGACTATGCTATTTCGTCGTCACCTTTGCATGAAATATTTGACAGTGAAGGGCTCAAAGAGTTATTTGAGGAGTCAAATGAAACGTCTTTACAACTAATCAGGGAACATTTGAACTATGAAGGAAGATTGACACGGTCAAGATACCACAAGTTGCACCAAAACACTGATTCAAAAACAGATTTTGATTCCAAGGATGAAAGTGAGAAGCTCGTGGAGTTGATTATTGCCAAAAGGAGTGAGAACAAGGAAGGATTAGCCAAGGAAGGTCAAAGGTCTATGGAATGTGTCATATGTCAAACAAATATGAGAGAAATTATCACTTGGCCATGTAAATGTTTTGCCATTTGTGAATCTTGTCGATTGAGCCTTGTGAGTAAAGGGTTTGAAGGGTGTGTGTGTTGCAGAAGGGATGTTGAAGGCGTTTCCAAGATATATCTTCCTTGATTTAGAGTGGACGCGTGGAGGCGTATATATATATATATATGTAGGTATGTACATATATATGTACAGTACTTCGGGATTCAGATTTATTTGAGTAGGTGGTATTTTGTGGTGTAGATTGGGCATGGTGCATGAATGTCGTGAGTAATTAATTTACGACACGACACCGAAGTTGAATTATTTTTATACAACCCACACGACATTGATGTTAAAAGAATAGAGAGCTAAACAGTAAAGAGAGAGACACGCTTATTTTCTCTCACTTCATAAAACTTTTTTTTTTTTTTTTTGCCCGTTTTTCTCCTATTTTTATCAATCGACACTGTAAGTGCAGAAGTAAAGTAGACGACGACGACGAAGAAGAAGAAGAAGAAGAATAGGAGAAAAAAACCAGCTTTAAAACAACACGTACAACTCAATTTGATAGTACCTTTTGCAAACACTCACCTATATTCAACCAATCCATTCATTAAAGTATTCATTGAAGACACATCACAGCTCGCTCACACATACTTGCCATACTAAGTTGACATTTGCATTTACCTTTCATGCATTAGACAAGTCCGTGAATAGACCCCTTCCCTCGATTATACAACCATAATAACTAAAACAATGACGTCGCCGATCTATGCCACCACTACCACCACCACAACCACAACAACTACAACAACTATAATATCAAGCATTCTCTCATCTTCACCTCCACCTCCACCAGCAGCATCTCAAGCGTGGGAAATCATACAACAAACAATAGCCCAAAATGTCTTGTACTTCTTGAACCTATTGGAAGCGTTTCCAGGTGGTCAAATTATCGTAAGGTACATCAAGTCATCTTACCAAAACGATCCAGTGAGATCTCTTTTTGAATATTGCTTATTCATATTTGCATTGACGTATTTCTTCACGTCGAAAAAGAAGGAGAACAAGTCGGAATTTGTCAAGTTTTCCAAACTGGAGATTGATGAACTTTGCGACGAATGGGTGCCTGAACCTTTGGTTGAGGCAATTACTGACTTGGAAGCTTGGAGAATCAGGGCCATCCCAGAAGTCAAAGGGTTCAATGGTTCACATATTGAGCTCGTCAACCCAGACTTTGAGGAAATTTGTCATGACTCGCTGGTTGTCAATCTCGTGAAGCAAGATTTCCTTGATTTGAACAGTAATACAAACATAAAGCAAGCTGCAAAGACGGAAATTGAATTTGCGGGTGTTGGTGCTTGTGGACCCCCAAACTTTTATGGAACCCAAGATGTTCATGTCAGATTGGAGGAGGACTTGGCCAAGTATTTGGGTACTGATCAGGCTATCATTTATGGTCAAGATTTTGTCACTGCCAGTTCTGTTCTTCCTGCTTATTTGAAAAGAGGCGATTTATGCGTTGTTGATAGAAATGTGAACCTTGCTATCCAAAAGGCCTTGATTGTTAGTCGTGTGGATATTGAATGGTATGACCACAATGATATGGAACATTTGGAACAGATTTTGACCCAGTTGAAGCCAATTTTGGATAAACAAAAACCACTCAGGAGGAGATTCATTATCACTGAGGGACTCTTTGCAAATACTGGAGACCTTGCCAATTTACCCAAGATTGTTGAGTTGAAAAATAAGTTCAAGTACAGATTGTTTTTGGATGAATCGTTATCGATTGGAGTTTTGGGAAGTACTGGTAAAGGTTTAACTGAACATTATGGAATTTCAAGAGATGAAGTTTCAATAACCATTGGGTCAATGGCAAATTCTTTTGCCTCATCTGGAGGGTTTTGTGTTGGTGTTGAAGTGATGATTCACCATCAAAGAATCTCATCAAATGCATATGTCTTTAGTGCTTCTTTGCCTCCATATTCGGCCAAAGTTACATCGCAAGCTATCAAAGAAATCAATATTCTTGAACCAAAGACTGGGAAATCAAAGCTCATGACTCAACTTCACCAAAAGACAATTTTCGCCTACGATGCACTTCTATCAGGGTTGAAGGATGTGCCAATGACCATTACCTCTGTGCCACAATCACCCATGATTCATTTGACATTCACTGACGAGTACAGATTGCAATTAAACTTGCCTTTACTCTATGGGAACTCGACATTTGTCACCAAGGGGAAACCAGCCAAGTTCCTGAACCCTTTTGATGAATATTTGAACCTTGAAAGTTTTATGTTGCAAAAGATCATCGACTATGTATTAAAACAGGGCAAAATCTTGTTGACAAGAAGCAAACTTATTTTGGAGCACGAGGATTTACCTGTTTTGCCACCACAGTTACTTGTCAACGTCAATGTTGGTGTTTCAGAAGAAGAGTTGAAAAGGTTGGCTGAAATATTACCAGAGGCAATTGACGCTGTTGTGTCAAGTGTAACTAATGAGGATGAACTTTTTGAGTTGACTAATGAACTCATCAACTATTGATATAGAAATTGTGAGACATTCCCCAAAGTGAAGGGATGTAAGATTGATCGATGGTGGTGTAATGGTGTTTGTTACAGATAAATATAGATAATAGTAGCTTTCTTTAATATTAATTTTAATTTCACATATCTAACAAAAGCAATATTTTTCCAAAAGTAGTTGATTGTTGTGCTTTGAGTCACCACTCACACTTTCATGAGCAAAAGATCTGTCTCTGTGATCAGCCCCTATTCATTGAAGACAAGCTAAACTCTGTGCATCCACAACAAGCCACAGTAGTGTCATCAATATGATAGAACTACAATGCTTTATACGAGACGGCAAACTTGCGTTTTCTCAACCACACAACAGTCAATTAGGATCACACATGACGATAAAACAACCACACTGTGCATCATCAAGACACATTCATGAATAGAGAGAGAGAGAGAGAGAGAGAGAGAGTGTGTGTGTGTGTGTGTGTGTGTGTGTGTGTGTGTGTGTGAGGGGGGGGGTACAAATGTGTGTTGCGGTCGGACATTCTTTCAAACAAACAAGCGGTGGTTAACTTCCACTGTGAAAGTACCGTGGTGCGTTTTTATTCCACATATCCATCCCGCCGCCTACTGTCCCACTTTCCGCTCCCTTCCCTTCCCTTCCCCCTCCCCCCCTTCAAATCGCCCCGCTGTCGGCGTGAAATGTGACGATAGGGCGGAGCAAAACCAGACCACACAGACATTTTTGAATGCACTCAAACTCACTCACACAGACAGACACCTACAAGCAGATACCCACACGGACACACAAACGTGCATGCTACAACACCTGACTTCGACGAAACACTTTACCACATTAGATAATGGTGATGGCTGATTAATAAGTTGTGGCTCTAATCATTTGATGATATTGTTTACTGCTGCAACAATTGAATCTTTACTTGGCGATTCTGTTTACTATAGAGATTGACACACGTGTGTGGATTTTGAATGGCTACGAAATAAACTACCTAAGAGGACTCTTGTGTTGTCTATTACTCATATGCAACAAATTTCATCAAAGTGTCGCCACAGTTTTCTGTTTGGAATTCAGGCTGGTAATGGACCTTTGAATCCACAATTGCACATCCACTGAAGGGGAACAATGTGAATATGAAACACGTTGTGGTAGCATTGACGACGTTGTAGTGTTCAATCTGCTCAATATAAATACACTAGCCATCTCCCTCCGTTTCGCAACATGTTTTCCTACCTTCCTTCTCATCATTACCTCAACTCAAATCAATCCAAATCTACAATGAAGTTCACTGCCGCTTTAATCTCCACTTTCGGTTTAGTCTCTGTTGCTAATTCTAGTTTGATCCAACGTGGTTACGACGATGACGATGGCAAGAATCGCCCTACTCCAACCGACTACCCACCTCATCAACCAAAAGTAACTTCATTCCCCAACAAGTTTGCGTTGGGTGCCAAAGTCGGTGACGACATCTTTATTGCTTTTGAATTGAGCGATGGCCAGATTGAGTATGGTACAAAGAAGTATACTATCCCCTGTGTTACTCCAACTCCAATTGTTGAACCATGTGACACTGCTACTCCAACCACTGTGCCATGTGAAGAGCCAACTCCAGAACCAGTCACATATACTCACCCTCATCCAAGCAAGCCATGGAAACGTGATGGATTCGATTTCGACAATGATGATTCATGGTTGACTTTTGACAACTCCTTGGGATACGATTGGTTTACTTTGAAAAATTCAGTCTTGAGAGATTCCAAGTATAGGATTGGAGAGATTGCTGCTAATCATCAATTCCAATTTGATTCACCAGTTCAGCCTGATGCGTTGTTCAGCTCTGGATTCTCGATTGTCCATGATGACGGATATTGGCTTTTGGCTTTGAATGGCAAGACTGCATTTTGGGATTCTCCAGTGAATGATTATGGTGTTTACAAGGTCTACAATGCTCCAATCAATCCAAAATCAAGACAAATCGAACTTGTCGTTATTGTTCTTGTTTGAGTAAAAAGTTGGTCATTTTTCGCTGAAGAGTTCATTACGTGCGTTGGGTGTGTTGTTTCGTTGGCTGCTCTTGGTCTTTTTTTCTTTTGGCTAGGTCCAGCTTCAGTTCGTCTTTCCTGTTCCCCCCCCCCTAGCACCATCACTTTCTTTTTTTTTTTTTTACACATCTACAAGCAGTGTGGCTTCATCAATGCCTGGCTTTTCTATTACAGAGAAAAGAAAAAAAGTTTCAAGTTCGAATATCGTTTCTTATCCTTTTCGGTTCTTATTTATTATTTCGTGAATTGTTTAGCTATATTATTGAATATACATACAACGCACTAACAAAAGTGACCAATGTAAAAAAATGCCATTCTTTTTGGTTTACTTACCAGTGTTTTACGGAAATTATATGGGGTTCAATAGCAAGCAAAAGCTTCTTCAATTCCAGTCTTGATACGTTATCCTTCAACAACAACAATTCCAATGGACTTTCACCATTCATGTACTTCAACAACTTGTAGAAAATGGCGGTCAACTCGGCATTCAATTTACACTCCTCAAATATGATTTCATTGATCCATTTGCGTTCTAATGTGGATGCTCTTCCTGGGTCGAGGATTACGGTATCTTCGTCTTCAAGTAGCGTGACCGTGGAGGATGATTTGTTCAAGTGGTATTTCAATGAATCGAGATTGGATTTGTTCAATTTGGATCCGCTTGTACCTTCGATATCCGATTTGGACGCCGTGTTGGCACTGACGGCTGTGTTAGTGGAAGTTGTCACAGCATCACCTGCTGCTGCTGCTGCTGCTGCTGCTGCTGTATCAGAGGTGGCGGTGGCGGTTTTAGCATTGGAGTTGGAATTGTCTGCGCTTGCCACCTGTTTTGACGAATTATCAGTGCTTTTCGTAACCTTTTCATCAGCAACATATTTGCTAGTTTTCCGTCTGGTTAAATTCTCATTCTCAGTATCCTCCTCCACTTTGATTTTGATCTTGCGAGAAATCTTCAACCATATGAATGTCAATTGTTGAGTAGCGTATCCAAATCGATTCAACCATGCCAATGCCCGTATATAACTATCTCGATGATCGCGACTTGGAATTATCGCCGCGAATTGCTGTGGTTTTCGCGATTTGGGCGATAACAATTTCAAGAAATGTGGTAATGATGGCAATGTGGGGAATTTCTTATTGAATTCGAATATATCTTCATAGAGTCTTGTTGTTAATGGAGCCATGGGTGAAATGATGTATACTGAGCGGCTAGATAATGGTTGGATGATTCGTGCTTTTCGCCAATATATCAAATGGAATGCAAATGATTTGATTTGCCGAAGATCAAATTGAGGATGGCGGGTGGATAATTTGAGTAATGACTCAGTCGGTTCGATTGAGCGAATAAAATTGGAAAGAATAGAATCGTGTGAAGTTTGTACATCTCTGATTATATTTTCGGGCTCATCGAGAAGTAATAGTGCATAGTATATTACTACTTCATCTGAATCATCATCTTCTTGTAACGGTTTGAATGCTTCATTCTTTTGTCCAAATCGAGACGATTCGCCAACATTGATCAATCCAAGATTGCTTAAAGTATTGACAGTTGATGATAAATACGATCCAGGAATGCAGGGTACAGATATATCAGGTAGCGAATGGAATTCAGTCTTGACTGGTATTTGAAAAGATTTCAATTTCCCATTGATTGTCAAATTGGCAACTTTTGATGAACTAATGGCAACAAAACAATCACGAATCAATTTGCACAAGGATGACATATCTGCCAAACTGTTTTCATCTTTGATTTCCTCTCGCAATGCAACAATTTGTTTTACTTCTTGTCCAATATAGTCATGCTTCAATTGAGCACGCCGGAGAATCAATGACAATTTCGAAATGACATGATGAAACATTTCATCAATTCGATAATTGAATTCCATAGCAGGTGGGTTCATGATGAACACCAAATGAAACATGTTTAAATTACTTTTCAAATCACCATTTTCAGTTTCAGGCTCGTTATAATTGGCCAACTCGTGAGTGTCGGCGTGAGGATCAACGGGTCTACTATTTGACCGTGACCTGCCACTCTTTTTCTGTTGAGCCTGTTTACCATTTGGTCTAGGCCTCTTTTTCCATCCTCCATCTATACTATTGTGTATTGGTAATCCCAAGAAAGTTTTCCCCTCAATTGTCATTTCAAACCTGGCATTGCACATTGCAGTGGGTGGGGCCAACATTTCACACAAGTACGAAGGATCTATACCCATAATGTCGTCATTGATAGTGACGTAGCTGTTTGGAACGTTTGAATTTGATGTTGAACTATGTTGGCTATGTTGGCTATAAGCAATGCTTGTTTTTGAACCAATTTGTTTCAAATTGGCTCCGCCATCCACAACTCTCGTGTGCAGATTATCTGACCTCTTCTGATCTGTCTTTGACCAAAGCCGCTGCTTCCTCCTCTCATCCTGCAAATCCAAAAATCTCTTGAGGTCCAATTTAGTGCCCATATAGTAGTTTAAATCATCAACATCCCATACTTTTGCATCAATTCCATACAAACTTCGATCATCATCGCCAATATCACCAACCAAATGGTCAATGTTTTCATCCTCAGCATCGTCTTCGTCATCTCTATATTCGTATAGCTCATCGTCTTCGTCGTAGTACTCGGCAACATCCTGTTTCTCGTTGTCGCCAGACTTGTTTATACTGTCATTTGTTGTTTGATGATCTTTGTCCTGACGTTTGGGTCCTGTGTTGTGCTTGCCTCCTCGGCTTGAACTTAAGTTTGTTGGGTACTTATAAGCCAATTGAGGTCCACTGTGCGTTGATATCACTAGGAGGATACCTAGTAGACTAGGGTTGGGAAGGTTAAGGCTCATAAAGGGTTGCAGGGTGATGTGTAAGTTGTTTAAGGTGAGTTCAGATGTTTTTTTTGGTAGCTCAGAGTTTTAGGAGAGTCTACACCATAAATAACAAACACTATACAGGAGTCAGAACTGAATCTTTACTTGAACAGCAGCATCTGGAACTTCTACGGGGATGCCTATATCTAAATCTGAATTTGCAGTCAATTTGCATACAAAGTATTCTATAACCAAAACTTGATCTACTAAGCACTTTTATCTCCTCTTTACATCTTGTGCTTTCTCTCCTTGTTTGCCAATTGAGCAAATCTCATTTGTGGAACACCTTCGATCCACTTGTTGAAACCGGCAACAACTTCTTGTGAGTTGGCATAATTGATTTCTGGATCTCTTCCAATCTTCATCAACTTCTTGATTCCAAAGATTGAATCTTCATGTAAAGATTCGACTGAGTCTTGAATCAATTGCTCAACAGTCTTGTTGAAATCTTCGGTGCTCTTGTTCTCCCCAGTGAAGTGCTTGTTGACTAACCCATTTTGGTTGCAATCTTCACCAGAAATCTTCTTGGCCAACAACAAGGCTTCTGAAGCTTTTGACCAACCCAATCTTCTGGCTACGGTGATTGCAGTAGCACCCTCGGTGACCAATCCCAAGTTAGCAAATGGAGTCAAGATGTAAAATTTCTTCAAGTCGTTGACATAAATCAAATCACACAACAAAAGTAAAGCAGCTGATAATCCAATAACAGGACCGTTAGCAGCAGCAACCAAGATCTTGGAGTGGTCATTGAAAACATTAGTCAACCAGGTGTTTCTAGCAACAAAAGAAGCCAACCAATGTTCATGACTGAAGAGCACAGCAGGATCTTGTTGAATAGTTTTCTTGTCAGAGAAATCAGCACCGGCACTGAAGAATCTACCAGTGGATTGAATAATGGTGGCAACAGTCTCTTCTTCTTTGTCGGCTCTTTCGACAAACTTACCCAATTGCAAGTATTGTTCTCTACCTAAGGCATTCAATTTGTCAGGAATGTTGAAAGTGATGATGGCAACTTTGCCTTTAACTTCGTACGAAACACCATCTATTTCTTCTGCCATTTTTGGGGGTGGAGGGGGGGGTAGTGATTTAGTATGTGGAAACTGAGTTGTAGTCTGTTGAAACAGGACGAAAAGAAGAAGAAGAAAAAGAAGAAGAAGAAGAAGAAGAAGAAGAGGTGGAAAATAGACGGGAAAACTTTTTTGTCTTTGGTGGGGTTCTCCGCCTCTGTGGATGTGTTTTCTCTCTCTCCATCAATATTTTTCTTCTCCTCCCCCTCACCTCCACACTTCTTTCTTCCGCCCGAGACTGATGCGCACTAATCTGCTGTCGTGCGGGAATGTAGAAAGATTAGTTTGTTCTTATTCTCATTAACCGAGGAATTTGCATAACAAAACAAAAACAAAATTGCAAAAAATTATCATACTCAAATTGAACGGAGTTATAACAGGGCTCCGAAAATAATATCCCCAAAGCAGAGAACACCAGGTACCTCGCTCAACAGGGAGTAGCAGAGAACAAGTACTTACTTGAACCAGTTGCTGTTTGGTGGGTTGATTTTTCTGTAGCAACCCTCCGTCACGAAACGGTGACGGTTATAGCCAAGACAGAAGTGCGAAGATTGTAAATAACTATCTATACGTAAAGCAAATCAAAACAGACTTGTATGTTTCGTCATTTACATTCTTTCTATGATTCACCAGGGTGAAGTTTCGTTGCTGAAATCAACTCCGCCGTTGTTCTTTTGCAACTTTTCAATATATTTCATGCCAAAAAAAAAAAAATTAAACAGGTCGCATAAGTTGCAACGCCTAAAAAGACATTTTTTTTTTCAACTCAGAAGTGATTATGAACCATACCGAGAAAGTTTTGAGTGACAGAATCATGTTCAAAGCCAAGTTAGATTGTTTTATAATGCGAGTTCATCTTCCAAAATGAGCGCTAGATAAAAAACCATCAAATTTTTTTGACAGAAAATCGGGCGAATGGTCTAGTGGTATGATTCTTCGTTTGGGTATTCTCAAGCCTGAGCAATAAATTTCGAAGAGGCCCTGGGTTCGATTCCCAGTTCGCCCCGTTCTTTTTTTTCTTTTTATTTTCCTGTATTCCAGTTCTTTTTGTTGTTGCATGGTGATATCGACCAATGTTTTTCTTGATTTTGCTGTACAGTGTAAAGAGAAAGAGTGAGATAGAGTAAGTCAATTGAATTAGCATCCAATTTGCTAAATAAAGTTGTGTGAGTTTATCTGTTTTCAATTTTCAGTTTTCAGTTTTTTTCTTTTTTTTTTTTTTTGCTTTGTTTTGATTTCTTTCGGAAACAACATAGAGAGACGCGCAAGACGTTAGTGTGAGACTGTTCTACTAGGCCACTATCAAACCATCCCCCCGCTCGCTCCCCTCCGCTCCTCCAACAATGTCATTATCTCCAATGCCAACAACTGCGGCTACCCTTAGAGAAGAGTTTCAGAGTTTGAAAACCACTAAACCAGGGTCAATCACGACATTAGAGCAACTTGCGCGCGAGACAACCAATGATTCGAAATTACTACAGAACAAGAGACAAGTTCAAAAACAAGTCTTGACTGCAATGAGTCTAGCATATCTCGATCAACAAACGCAGGAGAAGTTGTTGCAAAAGATATCAGATTGTGAAAGTAAGGAAGATCTACTACGTTTCTATGATGAAGACTTTGATGAGCAGTTGGCTAAAGAGGTGAATGACTTGGAACTTAATTGGAAGGAGTTGGATAAGGTAATGAATGATAAACATGAGGAGTTGAGACATTTGGCGGATAATGTTAGCAAACGGTATTTAAATTGTGAAGAAATGCAAAATAACACCGCCCAATTGATCGAAGAATGCGAACAATTGGAACTTGAGTTTGAAGAGTTGATTAACGAAGATAATGAGGATAAGGAGTTGCTCGAATCTGCACTGAAAGTGGAGGCATTTGATACAGACCCATCACAACTCAACAGTCAGGCTAGATCTGACGTGGATGAGGATTTGAGGAATATTCATGAAATTATTAGCAAGAAAGAAGCTGACATCAGTGATGAAAAAAGTCATATTGAGTTGCTAAAAGTGCAATTGGAAGATAAAAAGCGGCAGTTGGAGAAGTTACCGAAAGATGACTTGAAAGAGGATGATCCTGTACGAAAATTTTATTATTTCTTGAGAAAATTGAATGAGTTATTGGAATTACTTTGAGAGTTGGAAAAGATGCTTTGTAGAAGATAATTTAGAAAGGTGGTTTGTTACACGTGTAATGAGTCTATACAATACAAATATGGAACCAGTGTGTATTACATGTACAAGTGTGCACGTGTAACCTTAGTATAATAACCGAGGAGAAAATGTAGGTGGTAAAGCATTGGAAATGGAAATCTATTTTTTTTTTTTTTTTTGTTTTTTGCCAATGATGACTCCACTTTTTTTTAAAACGTAGTTTGAATATACTCTCAACTATCTATCGAATTTCAAATGGTTACTACTACTACTACACCACCAACAACAACAACAACAACAAGTGCAACTTCAACTACAACTACAATAAGCGAGAACAACACCAACACGGTCATTAATCAATTACCAACTGAACATAGAGACACTAAACACCCGCAACCCTCAAGACAGGAGATTATAAACAACTTGTTAGAATTAGCCAGACAAGAACAAGCCAAAGGCAATACATCTGTTACTTCGGATAAATTGGATAAACTTCAAAGTGTACTACAGAATAACAGTCCCGGTAGCAGAAAATCTCCATTCTTACTGAAGGGCAGTAACAGTTACAATTTCGACAAGTATCAACGATTTCAACAAGTTCCAACTCGTAATTCCACAGGTAAATACGCAAACCACAAAATAAAACCCAAATTCCCACCCATCTTTGATAAGTTTGATATCGAAGAGTCTGTATCAAAAGCAGGACCCACTTCATCTTCTACAACATCACCATCAGGTCCCGCTGAAGCAAAGAAACAAGACTTGATTACTATATCTAAAAAGAACAAGAACCTTAGAAAGAAGATAGGAGGCAAGTTTTACCAAGCTAAAAAGTTCACTTTGAAGCAGCTTGAATTTATGTTTATCAATTTCCTTGAAACCATCGCCAACCTATTGGACAATTTACATCTACTTTCGAATTTGCCAATGTTCCCTCAAGCTTTGACAAAATTGTTGAAACAAACCAATAAGTTATGGGTGTTGATACTTGTGTTTTTGATAAGGAAAACTATATCCCAATTATTGAATGTTGTACGCAAAATTAGAAAAGTTGATACTGAATTGAAAATTGTCAACAACAACAGCAACAACAACAACAACAACAACAACATCGGCAATGTTGGTGAAAAGATGTCCAATGCTTCTGTCTTTTCCAAGCCTATCAATGAGGATATTAATCGAAAATATAACAAGATCTTGAAAGATTTAAAGTTTGATAAAATGATGCTTATATTTGAATTGGTGGGTAATTTCCTTGATTTGACTTTTAATCTTATTGAGTTGAGTGAGGTTGCAGTACCCAATTGGATTATGAGTGGATTGAATGTTGCTAGTATGGGCATGACTATTTACAGAATGAATAAAGACGATGAGTATATAGACGATGATATCACGGAGGATTTGATCTAGACAACAAAAAGAGATGATTCGTATGGTTTTGTATGCTAGAGCTATTCCAAATAGTTTAATTGAGTAGTTGCATATGTATTTATGGTATACAATTTCGATGTAGGATCGAAGATCAATGGATGAATGAATTATCTCACTTTAGCATTTTACCATGTAGATGGTAGCATTGAACAACTTTGTTCGCAAGAGTAGAAGGCATGAGATCTTACAACCCAACCCATCACGACTTTACAACAGATCACCAGCAACGCACAAGAATGTCAACAATTGCCACACGAATAACAGAGGAAGAACAGAAGATCAACCACATAAATGAAGAGATAAGACAATTGGGACAGAAAGTAACCAAGTCTTACCTTGAACCAATACTAGCCAAACAGCAACAATTTCAAATCAACAAGCTGGGACAACTCCACCAGCAACCACAATTACACAATAATGGCTCCGATGCAGGCCCCAAAGACTTACATCATCTATCAATAACTCAACTAAATACCGAATCCGAACTTATCCATGAGCAAATTCAAGAATTGGAGAAATTGAATCAAATCAAGACCAATTTAGAGGAAATTGAACAATTATTGTCGAATTTGCAACTATCAATCAACTCATTACTTGATTTACAGCATCTCTATCAGTTGTTTAAACAGATTCAGGATTTCCCAACTGCCAATTATATGATTTACAAACAAATTGTAAGAAAAGTTGCTGCATTACATTTACAATTTGTTGACAAATTGAATGAATATTTGACGTTGATTTTGCCGAACGAATTTACTATCCTTCACGCTTCAGCGATTGGAGATTTTAATCAGTTTGTAATCAAGAATGGATGTAATTTGAGCGTCTATGCAAACTACAGAACTAAATGGGATGAAATGATTGATGCAATTTTCAATAATCAACAAGAAGTTGACATTGTTAAGGAGGACGATGTTGACAGTGAGGAGATGGAAATCAAGTTGACTAAAGGAACTGATTTCATTACATCATTGATCAATTTCGTGAAGTTCATAAACAAGGTTAATCACCCACCAATAAAGAATTACTTGAATTCCAAAATATCCAAGTTGGTCGCTGGCCGATTGTTTCACAATGTTGAAGCAATTGTGCATGATAAGCAACGCATTACACAGTTGAATGAATTGATAAATCTTTGTGAAGAGACAAGTTGGAACTTTATGAACAAGATTGAGGGAGGTGGAACTATGGAGGAACGATTGAATAAGTTGCATTTGGAGTGGGTGATTGATGACTATGTTGGAAAGATTAGGCGTATTTTGGCTACTGCATCATTTGGCGAGTTGAAGTATGCCGAGGAAGCTATAGTGGACAAGAAATCAGAAGAGGAACCCGAGGAGAAGATTGTTGCCAATGAGGATACTGATTGGGACGAGAGTTGGGATGATAAATGGGATGAAGAGGGAGAGGAAGAAGAGGAACAGACACAAGCAAAGGAAGCTCATGAGTCAAAGCAACCAGATGATTACAATAAACAGAATAATGTTAAGATATCGCCAGTGCCTTGACAATTGGAGCAGTTGTTTACACAATTTTCTGCATATTCAAAAGATATAAAATACTTGATCATCACCATCAAAGCACTTGCATTAGTACAATATCCGTCTTTAACTTCGTCATTTGTCATGTACAATGATTTCATCAAATTGTCACAAATCACAGGCGATGAATCCTTAGTGACTTTCATGAATAGTAATTGGAACCAAGCAATGTTGACATTTATTCAAGAGTTAAAAACGTTGATATCTTCGTTGAATTTAGAATCAGATATTAACATGGAAGACGAGATTTTGGATGATTACAATCTAAATCAATTGAGTTTGGTTTACAAATGGTTTCAAGATTTGAGCGAAACAAAGCAATTTCGTCAAACTAACTTCAAAAAATTTCAGCAATTGGTTATTGACTTGGTCGATTTTGCCAACAACTGGTTATTACAACTCATATTCACCATTGATGACATTAGTGAGAACCAGTGCATGTTGTACAATCTCCTTATTGAAAATTTGAATAATATAACAATTCCAATCTTGGGTGAGATTGGCGTGTCAAAGAACTCAATGGATTCATTCAACAAGATGAACAATGTCCGGTTTTTGTTGAATAATCATTTGAAAGATATTATGGATCGATTCTATCAGGGTGAGTTGTTTGATTTAAGTACTGACGAAATGGTGAGTTTGATAAAGAGCATATTCATCCAAAGTGAAATTAGAGACAACTATATCAATGAAATTATTGAGTTTAGAAACATGAGTTGAAACAATCGAGATAAGCATAAGACATTGATGCGAGGATATATTTTTGTATATATACATATATACACACATACATATCACCTAATCCTGCAAAAAGAACCTCATATAAGCAAACAGTCCAATAGTCTACCGCCCCTTGCTATTTCTCTCTCCTAGCTGACAACTTTACCACCATTGATCTTTTTACCAGTCTTTTGAATCACATTGTAAATCAGATCGTAATCCTTATCAGTCTCAACATCAACAGTTTGGTTCTCCAATGAAACATTGTAATTGGCAATACCATCCTGTTTTTTCAACACCCTTTCAATTGCTCCTGAACATCCGGAACATGACATGGTGACGTCGAAATGGTACTTGTGTGGCATAATGGAATAACAAAATAGATGGAAGTTGGAATAGAATTGATGGTTGAGTGGAGAGTGAATATTACCGTTTGGTGGATGGTGGTGATTAAACCTTTAAAAATAGTAGTTGTGTGAACTTTGATTGACTAGTATATAGTTGGCTTATTAATCTAATCTAGAAGATCTTTGAATGAGAGAGACAGAGAGAGACAGACAGAGACACGGGTTTGACAAAACTGTGTGGATTTACCAAAGTCGCAGCATTAATCACGCAGTGTCAGAAAATCATTTGCGACATTACAACATCCTCAACTTCTGACACCTTTCCCACTGAAAGCCTCCCTAGAACTCAATCACAGGTCAGCACTATTACCAACATAAACTTAAAAATAGACAAATCTATAAATGTATAGAACTTTTCACTAAAAGTTACAAATGAAACGGATAAACATTAGGGGGCTACAGCTTTTGCTAACTCCCCCAATATCCAAGTAGATTGGTACCACCAGGTGCAACAGACGACGTCGAGCTCTACTACGCTCCTCCTCCACTACCACTGCCACTGCCACTGCCACTGCCACTACCACTGCCACTGCCACTGTGCTCTCTTCCTCCAGGGGCAACGGTACTCGTTGGCGTAGACTTTCTTCTCGATAAAATTCTTGTAAACTCCCTTTTGACATAACTTGGATAGTTTTCAATCCGTTTAATTAAATCATCAATAGTCAAATTCTTCCGAGTAAGGTATTGGTCAAACACGAAAGCAAGTTCAAACAAGGCCAGCTCACCTCCAGCGCCTCCACCACGATAAACTTCACTCATTTTCTTTCCCTTGTATTCTTCATTCATTGTTGGTAAAACCTCCTCCATCAATGAAATTATTAATTTGCGTCTATTGTAAAGTTGCAAATCGTTCATAGTTTTGATCCACGCCAACCCATACTTTTCGTCACGCTTGACGATCAATGTCCACTCTTCAACTAATTGAGTTACAGACTCGATATCTCTATTCATGACAAATTTGGGAATCAGGTCGTTGGTCTCTGGCAACGATTCAAGCTTCTGTCTTTTTGAAGATGACGTCGATGGCGGCGAGTGGGGATTAGAAGAAGACAGTGGCGACTTTTGTGAATGTTCACGCTCACGCTCACGTTCACGCTCATGTACACTCTCATATGAATGCTCTTTGTTGTATTGTTGCTTATCGTGACCATGGGCAACAGCAATATCTGGTGTAGACTGGGGAGCTTTTGCCGACTCATCATGGATTTCTTCACTATCCATACTTTCATACATGTTATCCATGTACTTGTGCTCCTCCACCATTCTCAATCTTTGTGAAGGTGCTCCTGCAGCAGTCTCTTGTCCAAATCCATGTTTTCTAGTAGTCTTCTCATTACCACCACCACTACCAATGGCCCCTTCACTGCTAGTGTTTCCCGCTCCACTTGTAGTATCGATTATTTCTGGTCTTGAGCTGTACGATTGGAAAGAAGATTTCAACTTCGATCTTGTCTTTTGTCCAGCCAAATTTCTTCTAATCACCGAGCTTGACAATTCTCCACCACTTGGTTGTTCAGATGACAGCAGCAGCAGACCTATAAGTACTGCAGTAGGGTTATTGGAAAAGTTCAACTGAGGCAAATCTGACGTCAACGAGGAGCCTGATGTAGATGCACCGGAAAGCGTATCTGCTCCGTTACCACTTCCACTACCACTTCCATTCCCGTTCCCACTTGTGCTGGATCTGCTTGTACCATGTCCTCCATTTCCATTTCCATTTCCATTTCCCTTTCCATTACCGTTATCGTTTCCTCCATTTCCGTGACCACCAGTGCTTAAAGTGCTGCCAGAACTGCCACCGCTGCTTCTACTAACTGCACTACTACTAGCACTGGCACTACTTGTCTGAGCAGAATGAGACTTTGTGCCGTATTCACTAATGAAATCCCTCACAACTTGAACATTTTCAATTTGTTTTGGCGTATTGTCCGAATCCAACTCCATATTCAAATTATGCAACCGATTCAAGCGGCTTAAAATCTCCTTTAATTTCTTTGTTGATATAGTTGGGGTATGTGAAATCACCTCATTGATGAAATACTCCTTGATCAACTCTCCTGTTAATTGGAAACTCTGTAACCCACGTTGTGAACAAAATACCGCATAACGATTGAACTCATTAGCGTATAGCTTCTTACTTTGATCAGATAGGCCCTGGAGAATTGAGGAAGTCTGATAGTAATGTTGCAATTTGTCAAGCAACGGGTTTCCCCTGTCTGGATCCAAGTCCAAATCATGAGCTAATTCCACTTGATCCGCTGTAGTCACTGTACTCTCGTGATTAGTTGGATCGGCCGTAGTGGTTGTGTTTGTTGCATTTAGAAATTTGTTCAATGTGAGTACGATTTCGCTTTCGGAAAACTCCATGTCGTATGCCAAACAATTCAATTGATGTAATTTGAGTAAACTTGTTCTGGTGTTTTTCAAATTGTATCTGCGATCACTCCTACTGGTTGAGCTACTGGTGCCGCCACTAATTCCACCACCCCCGCTACTACTGCTTCTTCCACCACTGCTCTTACTTGTTTGAAACGACAAGAATCGAGTCAAAATGTCATTATCAATCAAGAAATCAGTTTTGCCCTTGCGAGCACAGTACTTGATAAACCTCTTGATATCAGTTGCATACGATTTGAAAGTGTTTCCTGTCAAATTTGACAAGACCTCTTGAGTTTTGGGATTATTGAGAATCTCTTGATCAAATTTGCGCAATAATGATTCTTCACTAGGTGAAAGTCGATGTTTTGAGTTGCCACTCAATCCAAAGGGTTTGGTGGGCGTACTCCCTGGGCTCATAGTCAATGCACTGGAGGAGGAAGCTGAAGCGGGAGACCCTTGTCCCGATTTTAACTTGTCAAGTTTGGCAACGTTGGATTCTGTTGGTTGTTGGGGTTGGTCTTTTTCGTGTGGTTTGGAGCCGGCAACGTCTATTTGAGAAGTGATTCCCGTTGCAGAAGATGTACTGGAGGGATTTATATTTGAGCTCGAGGAGGACAGCTGGCCAACTGACATGAGCAATCCCCTCTTACTACTAGTTCTTGAGGGTGCTTCAGACTCACTTTCGTTGCTTTCGTCGCTTTCGTCGCTTTCGTCGCTTTCGTCGCTTTCGTCGCCTAGTTCCTCTCCTTCATCCTCCTCCTCTTTCCCCTTCTCTTCTTCTCCTTCTCCTTCTCCTTCTCCTTCATCTCCTTTGTTCTCACTTGTACCAACATCTTCAGTACTCTCTTTATTCTTCTTCGCTTCACTCATTGACTGCATCATTTGTTGTATAAATTGTTCGCCTAAAATTTCATTTTGTTGTTGTTGTTGTTGTTGTTGTTGTTGTTGATCTTCACCATAGACAATTTCATTCATAAAGTATAATTTGTTGAGGGGTGATCGAATACTACGAATTGTATTTTCACTCAAGAAATTTCCACCACGCTTCATCATCTCGTATCCAATTAATTGTTGAGCTAATTGAGGAGACACTGGAAAATTATCCATGCCTTTAGTGGCACAGAATCTAATGTATCTTCTAATTTGATACAAATACTTGTCCTTGGTTTCACTTTTCAACCTCAGTAAAGACGCGGCTGCTTGTTCATTTGTCAATACTTCGTTTTCAAATTTTCCAACAAGTCGTTGTTCAGCTTGTGATATGGCGGGGTTCCTAAAGGAGAACGAAGGTTCAGGTAGTGGACTAGAGGGGACTTCTATTGGCTGACTTGATGTTGATGGTAAAAGTTCTGTTGCCTCTGTTGCCATTGGCGGTGGTGGTGGTGGTGGTGGTAGTGGGGTTGGTTGATTCAAGATGAGACTTGAGAGACTCTTGGACTGGGAATCGCGTTCTCTTTGCACTGGTTGCTCAATGTTTTGCACCTTAGTAGCAGCAGATTTTGCCACATTTCCAGCCTCTTGATCTGTTATGACAATTGATGTTGGATCAGTGGAGCTACTTTGCTCTAGTTCGTCTTCTTTCTCTTGGTCCATAACTTATGTAATGTGACTGAGTGATTGACTGTGAATGATTGGATTGGAACTGGAGTACTTTTCAAGTATATATATATATATACATTCGAAGCTTAAAAAAAGTACCACCGATTTCCTTGTTGTCAATTCCCTGCTGCCCTTCCCAGTGGGATCACACTCAATAACCTATTCAAAACCAAGATTTACCACTAGCAAACACACACAGAAACAGAAAAAGGTCACAAGAACAAAAAGGTTGAACATGCAAAATGGAAGGATACGTTGGTAATATAATAATTTTTTGATCCACAAAGATGTTAGTGCCATATACCGTCGAAAAGACTTCACATGGAAGAAGCAAAGAGACAATAAACGGACAACAACAGAGACTGAGCGAAGTGAACAGAAGAACTATAAAACAAGGAAAGACAAGTTGTTGTTGATAAATGGTGCATCCAGGTAGTTGATTCTACAATAGCTTAAACGACAATTGGTCCCAGCGGAACAAACTAAACGCCATGAACATCCAAAGAAGACAACATTTGGTTACCTATCAGCATACACGGCATTATAAAATCTATCAACTTTTCAAACAGTGATGTATTTGGCAAAGGAAGTCTTGTAGGAAGAAAAGGCATAAAGGTGCTGGACTTTTTTTTGGAGCACGGAATAAGCTTTTATTATTATATTTACTATTTATTATTATTATTATTATTATTATTTCACAATGTATTCTGGAATTGTGATAGCCTCTAATCTTCTGTTTAGGCAGCCTCAAGTGTGGCAAAAACCTGCTCTAAACAGCAACTCCAAAAATAGTTTACACCAGCTGTGATATAAAGTATTATACCTCTTTGTTAATGTATAGTGAATTTTATTTTGCAACAAGAACATAAATTTGGTGGTTTTTGTTTTTTGTTTTTTTTTTTCTTTTGTTTTTTGTTTTTTGTTTGTTTTATTTTTTTTTAACTCTGGCGGTTATTTTATTGACCTTTGCATAATCTTACCCAAAAATTTCATTTCACAAACATATACACAATTTATAAACATTATTTATATTATTATTAAGTGAACGGTAATTAGTTCTATCTTTAAACATAAGCCCCTCTTTTAGTCCACGTGCAGAACTACATACAAGTTTACAACTTTATATCTCTTTTATTGTACTTCAACATATATTTACATGTGTATGTTCATGTCTATGTCTCTATGTACAAGTCAAAAAAAAATAAAAAAAAAATAAAAAATAAAAAACGAGATCAACTCAAACTCCTACAATCAATCACCTCCTTTTGAAATCCTCGGCAACAATGTTTGACTTTTCGCACATTTCTCTAAACACAGACCCATTGGAATTGAACAAATTCCAAGGCGTATCAAATTCTCGAACTGATCCTTTATCCATCACCAAAATCTTGTCATAGTTAATAATCGTCTTCAACCGATGGGCAATACACAATATCGTACACGACTTGAACTCTTGTGCAATTGTAGTTTGGATCTTGTCATCAGTCCCGTAGTCCACCGAGGATGTGGCTTCGTCAAGAATAATGATTTTGGCATTTCGAACCAATGCTCGTGCAAATGAAATCAATTGTCGTTCACCAAGTGAGAAATTCTCACCTTCGTCTTCAACTGGTTGGTATAAATGAAACTTGGGCAACTCTACTTCTTGCAGCTCAACTTCTGATCCCTCTTTGCCTCCAGATGCAGCAGTGATACTATCCTTTGAGATGGCCCTTGCCTTGGCAACTTCTTCAGTTGTTAAAATACCAGACCGGCGCAACGATTCCCACAACACATCATCGGGCTGTTCACCAAAAGGGTCCAAATTAGATCGAATGGTTCCATTAAACAAAACTGGATCTTGGGGAATAATCGATAAATGCGAACGTAAATCCTTTAACCCAATAGTAGCAATATCAACATCATCAATACGTATTGACCCACTATCCAATTCAGAAATCCGGTACAACGCAGTCATGATTGACGATTTCCCAGCTCCTGTTCGACCACAAATACCAATCTTTTCCATGGGGGCAATCTTGAGTGAAAAATCCTTCAACACCAATGGTAATCCTGGCCGATACTTCATATTGACATTTTTGAAATCAACAGCTCCATATTGGGGCCAATCTGGAGGTGGCTGACTCGAGTCAATCTTGTATGGCGCTTCTTGTTCAACTTTCAAGGCATAATGGATTATCCGCTCAGCTGAATTCATATCATTCTCAACAAGAGTAAAAGTTCTCACTAAATTCAACAATTCATTGGCAACTTGCAATGTATAAGTCATCAATAACCCAACTGCTGCCGCATTAATTGAAAACACTCGATTGACACAAAGCAATGACACAATCAACACAATAAGCTCGGCAAGAAGATCCAATTGGATACCCAACCATTTCTGATTAGCATTAACGACAAATGAAGCCTCATTGGCTTTATTCAATAGCAAATCTCCTAAATCAGCAAACCTTGACTCATCCTTGTACGCCTTGATGGTATTCATACCACTCAACACTTCATTAACATTGTTGTACACAAAAGATCGCAATATAGCCTCCAATCTCTTAACTTCTCGATTCGATGCTTGGTAGAAGTTGGCAATCAAGAAAAACAACACAAAGATACCGGGGATAGCACAAGCAAACCATGGTAAATAGATAATGATCAAGATGAAAACACCAATCATCTTGGCAATGGCAGTGAAGAATAGACGCAAATTGTCACTAATTTCATTATCCAACGCATCAGTATCTTTGGTGAAACGATTCAAGATTCTCCCCATTGGTGTAGTATCCATAAAACTCATTGGCGCATGCAAGATTCTCTTTATGGCCATCAAATTCAAGTGTTTGGAAGATACCGTAGTTCCATGAATGAAAAACACAAATGTATAAGTAAGGAAGATGACCCACAAGACGTTAAACATGACATAAAATCCAATATAGAATCCATTTGATTTACCATCAAATTTCTGTTCGATCCAAAACGATAACCAGGTATTTGTGAAGATATCACAAAATGTAGCAAGTGTTAAAAGCACGGCAAAAATGGTAAAAAACCCCCAAGGAGTTAATTTACCAGCCCCATATTTCAAGTATTTGTGATAAACATCAAACTTGATACTGTTTACAGCACGTTCTTCCTCGGTGATGATTTTACCTTTTGTTGCATCCTTGTTGTGATTGTAATCCTTGTATTCAACATCATTGTCCTCCATTGAGTCATTGTTGTCACTATCAGACTTGGAAAAAATCCGTGTCCTTCTTCTCGTCAATTCTTGAGAAGTATCAATGCCAGATTGATTTTGCAGAAATACCAGTACAATTTCACCGGAATCTTTCAGCTCCTTGTTTCCCAAATCAATCTCATCCACAATTTCTTCCACTTCAACATCCAAGTTCTCCTCCTCGATATCTTCAAGCTTGCTAAACTTCATCAATTGATTAAAATCGTTATTTCTTGCAATCAATTCATCCATCTTGCCCACATCAATTGACCCATCTCCATTCAAAAACACAATCCGATCAGCCAGTCCAATCAAGGACAATTGATGGGTGGCCAACACTCTAGTTTTGGAACCCAAAAGACCCAAAAAGCAATTGTTCAAGATATGTTTCCCAACTCTTGCATCCACTGCACTCAAAACATCATCCATCAAAATAATCTCCTTGTTGGCATAAACAGCACGTGCTAAATTGATTCTTGCCTTTTGACCTCCAGATAAAGTGATTCCCTTTTCTCCAACTTCAGTATAATCGCCACCTTCCAAGGAATCCAAATCAATATTCAAAGCACAAGCATATATGACCTTGTCATAATACTCTTGGTCAAATGGTTTACCAAACACAATATTTTCTCGAATTGTGTTATTTTGAATCCAAGGAGCACCACAAAGTAACAAAGGGCCGTTGATGTCGACTTCACCTGAATCACACGACATGAACCCGGCAATGGCACTGAGTAATGATGATTTCCCCGAACCAACCAAGCCGGTAATAACAATAAATTCTCCTTTGTGGATTGTCAAGTCAATATTCTTTAATCCGGGGAAAGATGTAGCTTCTTCTTGTTCGCCTTTGTTGTTTGCTTTACTATTGGGAGATGTTTTAGGAATTGTGCTTAGCTCGATGTCATTCAGTGAGGTGGACGGAAAGGAGCTCTTGGTATCCTTTCCTTTCTCTTTTCTCTTCTTTTCCTTTTTGGCTTTCTTCTTATCCTTTTTATCTTCTATCTCCTCCTCCTCATCCCCATCCCCATCCCCATCCGCCTCATCCTCTTCCCCTTCCTCATCATCAAACACATCCCAACTAAAACTAGCATCTTTCAATGCAATGGCCCTCTTGTCACTTGCATCATTTAACTCGCGATACCCCTCATAAGGCTCTTCTTCATCAGCCGACAATACAGCTCCAATTCTTTTAAACCCATTAATCATATCAGCAGTTGTTGACAATGCTTGTGGAATAAAAAAAACCATCAATCCCAAAATTTCAAATGTTGAAACTGAAGAAAACATCTTTGCCGGAGAACTAGTGGATCCTTGAATGGCATACAATATCACAAATGCAATCATTGAACAAATACCAGTTAATGTCATGGCCAAGGAGAAGATGACATTTCTCAACGTTTGAATTTTCAAAATCATATCAACTTCTTCACCACGAACTCTACAAACATTTTCATGGTATGGATGTTCCCACAGGTAAAATTTAATCATTTTCAAGTTGTTTAAAATCTCCTTCATAAAATTGACTCTCTTGTCGGTGATTTTACTAACTGCATCTCTGTATGCAAACAACTTTTTGGCACCAATTGAAATGAAACCTAGGAAGATGATGAAGATGACAATACCAATCACGGCAGAAACTCGAATGTTGACCACCAAGATGACAATGGCAATGGCAATAGGGATAGGTAAACATAGCAATAAAGGTTGAAACATGACAGCAATCTCAACTCGTGACAAATCAGTAGTGATAATACTGGTCAACTTACTTTGAGGAAACTTGTGACGCGATTCAGCATTGAATTTAAAAGCCTTATTCAATACTGCTTTCGTTAGTAAAGCTTTGATCAATGCACCCATCAGTTGACCAATGTACATGAAATGGTTAAACAACAAATTACTGAATAACATCATGAAAACAACACCAAGAGAATAACCAATACCTTGGCCTATGTTTGTATGAACCCCCAAACTCCTCTTTTCAACAAATTTGATCAATTCTTTGGTCAACAAGGGAGAACAAGCAATTCCACTTAATGAAAAAATGGCAAGAATCAAACCAACCAAAATTTGACGTTTAAAAGTGAGAAACAAAACTGTGGCAATGTTCATGGGAGACAAGACAAAATCCTGCAAATCTTCTTCACGAGACTTGGACAGATCTTCAACAGATTCATTCCGTTCTTTGCATTTATTGGCAATATGAGCAAGATGGGCCCGTTCAGTTTCGACTTGTAAATAAGTGACAAAGTAGTTGTAGAAATGTTCCACCTTCATGTCTTCAGTCAAGATCCATAAATCATCTGGTTGTAAAGTTCTAGTGTAGCCAATTGTCATTAGTGGCGAGACCCACCAAAAGAATACACGGTATAGGATGTTGCTTGATTGTTCTGGGTAGATTTTACGTTCAGAATCATCCTTAGGTATGGGGTAAAACTTGTTGCGGAATAGGAATGTAAGGATACGCTTCTGTGGCTTGTACAAGTCGTTACCAATTTCCAAACTTGAATCATCCATGGTGGTGATTGGTGATTGGCGTGTGTGTGTTGGTTTGTGTGTGTGTTTGTGTGTATGTTTGTGTGTGTTTGTTTAGCTTGTATGTTGGATCAAGTGTACAGTATCAGTAGTAGCAATCGTTACAGCAGCTGCAGTATTACTATGATGATGGTATTAAATGTGATGTAAGATGAGATGGTGTTGTTTCTTTTGTAATCTATTTATACACATGGGTAAGCTTGTGGATACACTTATGGGTGGAAGTGCTGTTATTACCACTACTACTACTATGAATAATAATAATAATAATAATAATAATAATAGTGTTGACAACCACAATCTAAAAAAGAAAAGACAACAGTAAAGTATTGATGACTCAACGGCGATTTGAAAAAACAAAACAGACAACTGGTTGAAAAGACATACACATACAAATTGTAAGACAGACAGAGAGAGAGAGAGAGAGATATAAGCGTACGGCTCCAAATTTTAGTCCTTTAATTAAAAATTGTGACCCAATGCAAGAAATTGCCGTGTATTGGGATGGGTTTAACACATTGTACATGGTTTATAAAAGTATATACAACTAATATGTATCACAAACAAAACCAGGTGATAATAATAACAACAACAACAACAACAACAATAATAATAATAATAATAGCGAAAAAGAGAGAAAAAGAGAGAGAGAAGAAGAGAAGAGATAAAAAGACGGAGTTAGAAACAAAAATCACGGACGGAATTTCGGCATTTCCATTTTTTTTGGTTACTGTTACTGTTACTGTTACTGTTACTGTTATTGCTGCGTAATATAATGTATATACACATGTTTCTCAATTTTAAATTTGGAATCGGAGTTTAGATCATTCGCTCATTTCTTCTCCTTTTTTAGTACGTATCTCCGTATACACCATACTATTACTTTATACTTTATACTTTTTCGTATCTCTAACCAAATTAGGGGGAGACTGAGGCTGAGGCGGATCTTAACGAGAGTAAATCTACACCTTTCCCTCGCCCCCCCCGTATTTGTCCGATGTTTATTCCGACATCGTTTTTGCACTTTCTCTGAAAGACTTCTATCGCCACCCGTAATCTTCTCTTAGCCCATCTTGACGGTCTTTTGTTTTCAATCTAGAGACTCAAATTTTGCAAGACAAGACATCTTTTATTGCATGGCCATATCACCTTGAATCTCATCTCCCACACCACACCACCTCACAAGTTAAAGTATGTGCGCCATTCAAACCATGTCTCATTTCCTCACGTGTACACACCACAAGGCTTGAAAGCATCTGCACTCACCACATCTCATCCACATTTTCACTAACTTGCATAGTCCCACCGACCTCATCTATCAACTTATCGACTTCATTAATCTTCCAACTTTCTTTCTTCATTTGACAAATTACTCGTAGTTTATTTCTAGCTTTTTTCAACGAAATTTCAAATTGGGCAACTGACGTTTCATCATTGTTCAACAGTGACCCATCAACACAATCTTTCAATTGGTTTAAATGAGCTTTTATCGTCAGCTCTTCCTTCTCCCTCTCCTTCTCCCTCTCCTTCTCCTTCTCCCTCTCCTTCTCCTTCTGCTTCTCCTTCTGCTTCTCATCATCACCACCACCACCAACCATACTTATTTGATTCTCCCATTCCTCAATCAACCCTTGGATATACCCTACTATCAAAAACCTTTGAAATCCAGTCTGATATCCAAATTGTTTACCTTCGAAATACTGTTCTTTTGCTGATTGTTCAACTCCTTCCTGATATCCAAGTTGATATTGTTCTTGTTCCAAATTTAATACTTCGTCAGTATCTATTTGGCATTGCTCTTGTGTAGAGTTTCGCACTGCATCTGTACTGATTTCAATATCTTTCACATCCATATCACGCGGTATCAATACAAGACTTTGCTGACAGAGAGGAATTGTAAATAAACCTTTTGGACTGACGACTCTTCTGTCTCTTTCTTTGCACTTTTTCGAGAACATGCGCGGGAAATTTTTCAAACCATCGCACTCCTATAGTAGTACTACTAAACAGAGGCAATGAGTCTCTCACGTGAAAATGGATACAACGTGGATGAAAAAGATCGGATGAAGGGCATCGATGGAAACGAAGTTTATCGTATGGAAGCCGCTGGTGATGTTGATTTCGCGTCTAGTGATGGCTCCGATACATCAACTTCAGACGAGGAGAAACAAGACACCCAGACCAACTCTCTTAGTAATCGAGATGAGAAGGAGGATGATATGTTTGCTAGTGAAGACTACAACAACGGTCAAGAAAAGCTACAGGGAAGAACACTGGTCTTCGAAGAAGAGGAAGATGACGATGACATGTTTGCCAGCGAGGATGACAATACCATCAATACCAACAATAACAACAATGTAACTACAAGCACCACACAGGCGCCGAAACAAGTTCAATTTGCCAAATACAATCAAACCGTGCATCAACACCCCCAATCAAGTGGCGATTCCGCCGACTCATCCGAACTTGAATCGGAAAACGACGACGAATCTACAAATGACGAATACTACATCAATACCGAAGAATATACACCTTTCCAAAACAACACCACTAAGAAGAAACGACAACCGAAAATTGAAGCATTCAATATGGATCAAGAAGAAAGAAATGGCCATTTCAACAAGGTTGGAGATTATGTTCCCAACGCCATAGATTCTGACCTGGACAAGCCTCAAGATGAGGATTCGTGGGCTATGAATATTTCCAAATCCGATATACGTAAAGCCAAACTTGCACAACGTCAACGTGCACGACAACAACAGGTAAGCTCTAGAGGATCGCTTGATGCAACTGCCAAGATTGTTAATACGGATCCCGTTGAAGTTATTTACGCGTCCTTGATTGATTTATTGGAGCCAGTTGAAACACCAATGGAAGCGTTGGCTCGACTAAATGCACAATTGAAGAAGAACATTAAAAAGAATAAGCGAGGCAAGGTGAAGCGGCGAAGTGATACAGGCAACGACACTACTGTGAATGAACTCGACTCTTCAATTGTCAAGCAGAACATTTCTCAAATCACTAATCTTTGTTCAATTTTGATAAATGACAAACATATGGATGATGATGAGGAAGTTTATGACATGACAAGAGAACAATTTATGAGGAGTTACCAATCAGAAACAGGGCATGAGTACAATAAAAGAGGAGGGGATGCAAGGACAACCAACTTGAAACGACCACGAGAAGAGGACGATGACGACGATGATGACGACGACGACGATGACGACGACGATGACGAGACCAATGGGACCCTCACTACCACACGCGGTGAATCAGAGAAAGCCTCCCTCAACGAAACTCCGCTAGACTATGATGCGGGTGATGTGGATTATGGTGAAAAAGTATGGGAATTTAGATGGCTAGATGATGAGACACACGCCATTAATGGTCCATTTTCCAACTATGAAATGTCGCATTGGAAACAACATCATTTTGAAAACAATGTCGAAGTTCGTAAATTGGGTGAAGCTGACTTCAAACATATACAAGATATAAACTTTTGATAATTTCATTGAGCAAATAAAAGTGCAATAGCACCCGTTTCGAAAGACCCCTCTCCAAATACATTTCACATCAATCAATCATCATCATCCAAGAAATCAACAATTGGGAACCCCACGGACTTGGCAATAGCTTCCGCCATGGGCCAATCCAAATTACACTTCCATCGAATCCTAGCAGCCAAGATATCAGAATTGCTAGTCTTGCTTAAAAACCCCAATGAATACAATGTAGCAATTTGTAAATTCAAATCAATGTTTTTCGTCAATGTAAAACAACTCTTTTCTGCCAATTTCTTATTTTCCAATTCAATAATTTCATCTCCTAGATACAACAAGTCTTTAGAATCCGATTGGTTGAGGGTGATTGATGAGTGTTGATAAATTACTGATAATATGGCCAAGATCCGTTCCAAATCGACATAATTTGCCGTCAAGAGCCGCGAATCAATGTCGTTTTTCGACATATGCCCTGCTGTTGTTCCCCCGTTGCCATTGGCGCTGTTGTTGAGTCGTTGTCTCTTTTTCGTACTGCCTCGTTTCTTGTACTTGACTACTTTGACCTTGGAGTATTTGTGTAAATCATTGCGTTGATTGCCATATGATGCCAAGTATGCTGCTAGAAGTATAAATTTGGAATGGTAGGGCAAGTCATGCACGTTTCCCAATCTCACAGTTTCGTCATCTCCTGTTCCATTATTTCCACTGCCATTACCAAGTGTTTGTCCCGCGTTATCCCCTTCGCCATCTCCTTCATCGTCACGTAAGGTTCTGTAGTCAGGAACCGACGAGTTACTGATAATCTTATCACTGTTGAACAAGTCAATATTGTGTTTGAAAATCTTGACAATCTCATTGATCGAATACATCCCCATTTGTAATGGCTCGATAAACTTATCCCACAATTCAACAATCAAATGCTGCAACATAACCATATCGGATCCAGTATACAGGAAATACAGATCAACGACAAACTTGACATACTGATTGTAAAATTCTTGCTTTGCCGATTCCAAAACTTTGTCGTTGCCATCGTCTTCAACAAAGCTACTATTCTTCAAATGGCACAATTGGGCATCTTGCAAAATTTTAATCACTTGTGTTTCGGAATACGGTTCAAATTCAATTATGGGGTTGGATAAAGTCACAACTTGTCGAGGAATACCACTACTAAACACAATAACCACTGATAAATTCCGCACCGATGAACATTCTCTCATTTTACTAAATGCCGAGACAAACTCAACACAATTGTCCAAACATTGATCAAATCGGTCCAATACCAACACATGATGCGCTTCATACTCAGTTTCGTCGAATAAAGTCTCCAACGAGGTTAAAAAGGAAGCAAATTGGTCAGAAATAGCCAGCGTTAGAGCCACAACATCAGTAGCTCTTAGTGTGTTGAGTTCATCGCCTCCGTCTTTTCGTATCCTTGTGAAACATCTCTGTAGCAACATTTGTTTCGACACACATTCATCACATGCCACAATTGTATGGTTCAACTGCATGGCGTTGAGAAACTCCTTCACCACGAGGGTTTTGCCAATTGGCTTGTATCCGTTAATTAGTACGCATGAGGAGGATAGGCTTGGGTCTCGATTGATGAATGCATTGAGGGAAGCGATCTCAAAGTCACGTTCTTTCACTTTCAATTTGAGGTTGGCAAGCTCCTCCATAGTGAGACTCATGGCTGAATGAGAGAGTGTCGTTTTGCTGCACCTTGCTTTGGTTGTGCTTTTTCCATTTTATTGTTGATGTTTTTCTTGTTTTTTGTTGTTATTTTTTTAATTAATTATTTTTTTTTTTTTGATTACGCTTTTCGTGTGTCAAGAAGGATCTATTTTCTATCACTATAATCTTCTACCTACACCAACTCCTCCAATGCGCCTTTCAAAAGCTGCATGTTGTAAAAATTACCAACATTGGCAAATACTTGTACACGTTGGTCGACCTTATTGTGATCAACAGTCTCAACCCAGTTACCAGAGCAAGTACAAAACAAATCCAAATTGCCCTGTCTTATGGACCCACATTTCTCACATTTCAAATCTTGACTGTAAAAATCAGTAAACAACTTCATCAAAACGGCAATGGTTTCTTCTTCCAATGCAATCTTGTTGTAAGGGCGATGACATGCTGTACAATTCCAAACATTGTTTTCCTCGTCTCGACACAAATCAACATCTCTGATATGATTGCAGTAATCACATATGACATGTGGCAATTTCAACGACGTGCTTGGATTGACGAAATTAGCCTGTGAACTAAACTCCTTGACATCAAAGACTTGTAGCAACTCCTTCTTCAATAAACGTACTTCAATATTCCGCTTTTTAGATAAACTGAACACGGCACAAATGAATTTAACCAATTCCAAAACTGGATTCTTCATATGCAAATGCGATCCGGGCAATGTAGGAAACTCATACTCCTTTTTAAACTCTGGGTTGATGATCGAGTCAATTTGTTTACGATACAACTTGTCAATCCTCTTTTGCAACGGTTTTCTAAAAATTTCAATCACTCCATTATCAATATCATCAGCCTCTTGCATCTCTTGCGTTTGCTGCAACTTCTTTTGTCCATTCAATATGTGGAGTATTTGTGTAACCCTAGGCGTGCCTGATTGAGTACCACTGCCTGTCAAATTTTTCATCTTGTACTGAGACAATGCATCCAAAAAGATGAATATCCAATCCTCAAATTCATTTTGGAAAACAATTGGAAGAAACTTCTTTATTTGCCAGTAATTCTCCACAACAAGGTCTTGAGTTTCTTCACTAGTAATTTCAGCACAGCTCCTTCCACCATAATTGAATTCGTCCATCCATATCAAGATGTCCCAGTATTTGACAATTTTCAAGTCGAGGAAATTGTAAAGTGGCTTGGATCGAGCTGCCTTCAAGATGTACTGTCCATAAGCAAACGAGTTTTCCACGGATACTTTAGATGTTTGAATCAACATCTTGGCCCTATTGGCAAATACAACTTGTGCTCCCATCCTCTTGAACTCGCTAACCAATTGCAACAATGCTTTTGAACTCAAGTTGTGCACATGGTAATGCAATGAAGGGTCGTACAAGAATGAATCTTTCTTTTGAACCCACGTTATCAATGCACTCATGACAAAGTCAGCATTCACATTGTTTCCAAGAGCATCATCCCACCAATCTTTGACCATACTTCGCAATATGGATAGTGCTGGCGACGAGAATGAATCTTCGGCAAAAGTCGAAGCACCATTATTGCTATCAAATTGAACCCCATCTTCAGCCAAATCAGTCCCTTCAGCTTCATTGATCAAAGCACTAGTCAAAATGGTGTTGATTGTCAAAGTGCCGATTTCAACTTCTAAACATGCAGTCTCATAAATCTCAGGATTATTGATTACAGGGAACTCCAACGACTCTGGACTAATCACTCTGTCCATTTCAAACCCTCCATGATCAGGTAATGGGTTTGGCGACCACCAAAGTACAATATTGTTTTCAGTTAATCTCCGAGCATACTCCACATCAATCAAGTACCCAACTTTTTCAATTTGTAGATTACAAAGTGGGACCCGTCCATACTTGGACAATGCAATCATGTTCTTAATCCATGAGCCCAATGCAAAATAGTGATTCATCACTCGCTTCGAAATCAACACTTGCCATCCAATCGCCGGAAGCGTGAGTTCGCTAATTGACATTTTGATGGTTGGGAATTCCAAAGTTGCAGTCAAGAGAGGGATAATCTTTGTGATGTATGGTGATTGTATTGCTAACAATGCCTTATTGCTTCGACTTTCATGAATCTTGCCAATGGTTTGATTCAATTTCTTCAACAACTTCAATTTATCGTGATAGTACAGCACTTCAAACGCCATTTCATCCGGGTAGTCGATTATTTGCGACATCTTCTTCAACTTTTCCCTCTTTGTGTCAAACACTTCTCCATAGATTTTGGAAATATTGTTTGGCAATTCCTGGGCATTTGCCGTCGGTTTCAAAACAAGCATGGTGCTTTGATTATCCCAAGATTTGAAAATCGTATAGTATTCGTAACTATTGGTCACAATATGAAGAAGGTAAACCACATCCATATCAAATTTGTTCAAGTAGGTATCATTTTCCACCTTCAACAACTCTTTAACGTTGAACCCATTTTTCAAACCCTTACCAAGCGCTCCAACTTTGGTGTCATCGAACCTGACAGTATTTCCCAAATCAATGACTGCACGCTCAACCGGTTCAACATTTGCTTCATAAATACCCAAAATGTTTGAGCTTTGAAATACACTATCAACATCAGCTATCTGATCTTGATACACGGATTGAGGCATGGTGAATTTGTACAAGTTTGTAGCATCGTGTGAATTTGGTAAAATGGCATTTGATTTTTCAATTTCACAACCAAGTATAGCCTGTTTTGAAGTGAGTGGACTCTTGAACGAAGCATAAATTCTCTTTGGCACATGGAAATTGAAGGTGTGTATTTTCTCTCCTGCAGAAACATACACTTTCAAATCACCTGGCTTCATAGGATCCTCCTTATACTCTAGAATTTCCCAATTACTTCCAGCAATGTTTTCTGCTTGCTTTCTCATCATACCACCAACAGTTGACCTTTGAGCGCTTTGAGCTTGCGAGCCAAAAAGCTTACGCCTTCTTTCTCTACCTGATGCTTGCATTGTCCATTTCGCCTTTTGGAACTGCAAAAACCCCGCATAATCTTGTGTCATATCAGGACACGTTCCGTTTAAAATGGCTTGGTTCTTTTCTTCTTCTTCGGAGTCATACACCAAATTAGCTCTTCCTGCTTTCCTTTTTTTCAACCGAACTGTACTCATTTTAGCCTTGACTGCACCAGTATCAATTTCACCAAAATCTTCAATGTCCTGCACCTTGCTTTCATCCTTGGTTCCCGCATTGAAGAACTGGGCAATCGACTTTTGCTGTTTCGAGCTTTCTCTGTTCTCAACTCGTTTTCTCAACCAATCAGGGTGGGGTACTCGTGGCACTGGGTTCTTGACGTTTTGCAATGCAGCAGGAATTGTGATGATTTTTTGCACCACCGACGCCAATCTCTCATAGTAGTAATCCCAGTCAATCACATCCCTCGGACTGAATTTATTCAATGATGGATCTTTGAGCCATTTCTTCATGAAAATCTCCTTCTTTTCAGATGAAAAGATTGATACTGGTATTGCTCGCTCAGTGACGGGGGCACCAATAGGCTTTGCACTGATGATATACTTTGTGGCCAACCCTGCATCCTTAACCATTTCTTCCCCTAAAAACTCACCCAACCGTCTTGCAGTGGTGATTGATGTGGATTTTTGATCCCCATACTCAGCCAAACTCTTTGACATACTTCTGTTTTCACAAATAAGCTCGATGAGATCCTCATCCTCCAACATTCCACCTTTTGTATCCAACACGTCAAGCCAGTTGTTGGCCACAGTAGCCACGGCTTGGTAACATGATTCCAAGCTGTCACCTTCCAAAAACAACTTGAATATATCAGACTGGAAGTTTTTGATCAATTGAAGTTCACCTCTTCTCTTCAATTCGAACCCCTTCAATTCAGCCAAGGATCCATCATCATTGAACACGGCATATCTTTTCTTCAAACCCTTGCCCTCTTCCTTTGAAGTTGGCAAAATCATTGCTTTGTAAGGACCATCGACTTCAAAAAAGATAGAATTGTCGGATCTTGTCTTGTACTTGAACGTATCCGGATCAGCCAAGTCTTGATACTGGTGGTTGGTGAACCTTTCATGAACCAAATAATTCAACATGGAGCACGGATACTCCAAAAAGATCTTTTTGCCATCTTTGCATTTCAAATTAAAATTCTCGGGGAAGCTCTTGGGTAAAATACACCAAATACCATCAGTATCCAACTCCAAAGGTCTACCAATACGCTCAACCAAAGCTCTAGCCATTTGAATGATTGTGGCACCAGTCAAACAAGTAACACCTGCCATCTCCATCGAGTACCATCTCGAACCTTTTCTCATAACATATCCGTAAAACGAGTTCAAAATGACCTTGTGTGCTAATTGTAAGGAATCGTACAACACCACCATTTTGTTGGCATCGTCCCTTGCTGCTTTATCATTGCTGTCAATTTTATTGACTTTCCCCTTCCAAACTTTCGCCAATCCTTTAAACTCATATCTTCTATCTCTGAAGCTTCTCACAGTATCAACGTAAAACGGATTCTCTCTTTGACAAATGATAGCCTCTCTAGTCACCACTTGACTCTGCTTCACCCTGTGATACACTTTTCTTGAATAATCACTAACTCTTTTCTTAATCGCCGATGCCTGCTCAGCATATGTAAGCTCATCAAATGTCCTGGGCGGCAACCAAGGTTTCTGTCCCGGGAATTGTTCATTTTGCAACGTTCTCTTCATCATATTGTACTCATTCATCTCTGCTGGATAATATTCACCTCTCCAAGACCAAGGGAGTCTCCTATCACAATTTTTACCTGGTCGGTTGAAATCACATGCAGCACAGTCCTCTTCTGATTTCATGGAATCCGGTTGTAAACGATTAGAAGTCATGATGTTGGGGTACATTGATGCTACATCCACATGGTAAATCAATGGAACTTCTTTTCTCACTGGGTTATGCTTCATGTCCAATAATGTCTCCTTGATTTCATTATAAACCTCCTCAAAATTTTCCACATCTTCCATCTTCTTGCCATTTTCAACCTCAATGCAGAACTTGATAGAGTTGTGTAGGCTGCCCAACAACTCGTCAATAGCCGTTGGATCTATTTTAAAGTCGGTCTCAATATCACTTCGAAAAACACCTGCTTCCAATGACTCAACATGGCCACCGACATATGTCTCCGACTCCAAAAGGTGACCGTCATAAAATCTCTCAATTGGTTCTGAGTGTTTATTAGGTAACAAAATGTTATTTTCGTATGCTTGAACTGATAGCAACATTTCACACAAGGTTCCAGTACCTTTCCGCAAAACTTCATCTGGATTCAATGGGATGATGGTACACAACGAAAAAATGAATGGATGGACGTACTTGTAATAGAGGTAGTAAGTTGCAACAGCGTCGGAAACCGAATACTCCGACAACAATTGTGGTTTTTCGTAAGCATACGGTGTCATTAATTCCGGGTCCAACTCGGTTGGGTTGTAACCCAACTTGGCAGTAGTGACGGCTTTCAAACCTTGTGATCCTTGAGGCAAGTACGAGTCTCTCTTCACCCATCTAAAACAGTCCATATGCACACAATATTTCGACTTGTATTCACCTTCATTATCTTTGGCAAACCCAATTTCATCAAACATGTCCAAGTCATGCACTCGAGCTCTATTTTCAACAAATGGCCAATCAAAAAAATCACCATTGAATGTGGCTATAACAGTAGGTCTTGCATCTCTGATGTGTTCAAAAAACCTCATCAAAACGTGTTTCTCATCCTGTTCGTTGAAAATCGTAAATAGTCCTGGATATTCAGGCTTGGGAGTGTACTCGAAATCTTCAATATCTTCTGAAATGATCTCTCTATTGGTTATAAGAAAACCCTCTCCATCAATCATGTATGAAATCATCATTACTTGGTCGATCTTGGCATCAGGGAACTTCAACGGTGCTTTGGTGGTTTCGATATCAAATGCCAACACAACCGGATCTGGAAACACAACTTTCTCCTTATCCTCGATAATGTCGACTTTAGAGTGTTTGGCATAAACGTGGTACCATTTACCCACACGCACTTGTTTATCAATGGATACTCTGACATGATAGGGGACGTCATACTCCTTTATGTCACTGATTAGCTGCGACGGGTCAGATGCATCAACGTCATTGCTATAATTGAACACATCCCTTGATTCTCGATTCATTTGATTATCTTTGATTACAGGGGTAAGCAATCTTCTTGCTGATAACAAGTCTTGGACATTATGGAAACTCAATTTAATCAAATTCTTTTTCAACCCAAGCAAGTGATTCGGTAGTGACAAGTCCTCCTTTGTAACACGTCCAAAACTCTTGACATTACACAGTTCCAAGAATTTCCTCATCCACTCTTCAACTTCCGATTCGTGTCCATTTGCAACCGTTTCAATAAAGAAATACGGATCGTATTGCAATGTTGCTTTGAAACTGCCCCCTTCTTCATCCAAAAAGTAGTAGTCAACTCCAGAATACTCCGTCAAATAACCATCACTGGGTATTGTAGTGGCATGCATGTTGATCAACCAACCTTTACGTGGTTTATTTCCGTCATTTTCTCCATGTTCAAAACGGTCAAATCCCATTAGCGAGTCCATTTGATCTATCCTGGCAACCAAGTCTTTCTTCTGAATTGAGTCTGTAAGCATAGGATTGTTTGCTTTGTATGGATCTTCGGGTTCTTGGTGCTGCCGTGCTCTATACTGACTTGTCTGGTACGTGGATCGTTTGCTGTCATTCTTGACAAATCTAGCAGAGGTGGAGCCTTTGAAAGCAGGTCTGGCCGATGACGAGGAAGACATAATGAGTGTGATTGTTTTAGTTATGCAAAGTTGTCACTGGTATAGTCCCCCCCCTCTTTCTGGTGATCTGTGAGTTGTGTCCTAGTAAAGAAAACTATTTGCAGCACGGATTAGAAGCAAAAGGATGATTGGTATGCAATACAACGCGAGAAAGCGAAAAAAAATAAAAAATAAAAAAAGAAAGAAAATTAATTTTCTATTTCGTTGGATTAGACGCGTCAGTCTTTGTACATTTAGCATTCAATGAGAAAGACAAAACTGTAACAAGTAAGGTACAGTCAAAGGATTGACTTCATCACCTCCATGGATCATTAGTGTCTGTCACTGTTGAATGTTGCACTTATGTGCTTAGCATGTATTTGAAACGTGTGATGTATGAGATGTTCACAGTTGTATGAAACTATCGATACGCAACAACTACAAATTAACCTATCTATTCCCAACTAATGCAAATACATTCTCCATTTCTCAGCCTCTCTATACTTTGCTATGTACGACTCCACCACCAATACCTCACTTACTCATGTAAAGGAATATAAATCCTTCAATAACCACAGAATATACAAACAAGAATTGAATTCTCATCTTCCTTTGAGTACTAGTAACAACCGAGTTATTGTGAACTGTATTGCCACCGCTAGTTTGTGGTAAGATGATGTACCTCAACAGTCTCATTAAAAACACCGAAAGGGAAAGGATGAATCCCAAAACAATCAAATAATAAGCCCATCCCAAATACTGCCCAATTGTATGTTTCAAACACAATACAACAACAATTGACACATACTTGTAGCTGGAGAAGCTAATAATATCATAAATCTTGATTTGAGAACAATTTAATAAATATAAGCCAACTTTGAACACAGCAACATCCAACACTGCAAAAGCCAATGTTTGAGAAGCCAAGTATCCAAATAGCTGTGGGTGGAACTCTCCACTCAAACCTTGGAAAGCGGCCCACAATAAAATATAAGTGACAAATGACATTATTGGGATGTATAAATCAGGGGCATTGACATCGTACGCAGGAGGCAAGTATTGGCCCAGACCATTGTCCTTTGCCAATATTCTAGTCCAATCTTTGTGGCGAAATGGGAACAATATAAGCAAGATCTTTTTCAATACATAGGAGTTACTAACTTGGAAATAGTACTTGATGTCACCCGAAAATGAGCCAAAGTTCTCTTGAATGTATTGGTTGGACTGTTGGAACCCAGATCTGGCAAATTGGGAGGCTAGAGCAGCAGCTGGATCGTTGAGAAAAGTGCCAAACTGTGGCTGACCCGGCTGTGAAAATTGTTGTTGTTGTTGTTGCTGTTGGTGCTGTTGTGCTGGCCCAGTGCCAGCTGATGCTGCGGCTGCTGCTGCTGCTGTTGCCGGAGAAATTGGTTGCGTATAATGAGGTTGTGGATGGTGTAAGTTGCTACTCAGCTGTGGCTGATATGAATCGGCTGCATACCCGTACGGATTAGACATGGATGTAGTGTTGAGATTGTGCTGTTACTAGAAGTTGCCTTGATTGATCTACTTTTTTTCTTTTTCTTCTCTCCTTTAGTAGTTGTTTCTGCTCGTCAATAGTTAAGCATAGACTGCGCATTTGGGAAATGTATTGTAACTATGCGAGTATAATATTGCCATAATTATGCGCTACCGTAATATATAATTGCTATTTGGATATTGATCATCAGCTGTACACACGGCTTTCGAGTCGATTGCACAGCCACATTCGTGTGTATATACACTCAATGCTTGTCTCGATTTCTTTCAGTTACTTTTTACCCCCGAACCAACTAAGCACAGTTTGTGTTGATTATGAGAAAATGATCTGAAATGGGTTGGTATACGTTTGATAATAAGTAGATTATCCCGCCCCTTCCCCCTTTTTCTCATTTTCATTATGAATAGAGGCCTATTGTTATAGTAGCTTACTCTCTTATACATATACAGTTTTTGGTCTGTGTGATCTGATAGATATATATGTTTCAGTTTGAAGAAAGAAGTTTAGTATATATATATATATATGGTTTATAGTTGCTACATATATATATATATTTATATTTATTACTGCAAAAACGTGTATATATGTTATGGTTTTACTTTTACACAAAAGAAAAAAAGAAAAAAAAAAAAATTATACAAAGTTAACAGACAGAGAAGTAATTTAGTTAACAGTAAAGTACATATTATAATAACAGCCTTTTCTCTTTCTCTTTCTCAATCATATACCAGATATATTTATATATATATCTTACTTCTGTAGATTGCTACAAATTTCGAGAATTACAACAACACATATCCTGCCCAACACCCACCCAATACTCAATTGCAACTTCTACCTATTTTCATCTTTCCACTTTTCACTTAGCAACTCAAACGCTCCAAAGCATAATTCATCATCATCATCATCATGGCTCAAGTTCAAGGAAAAGTTTTTGTCGTTTCAAATAGATTACCTGTTACCATCAAAAGAAAAGAGAATGGCTCATACGACTACTCCATGTCGTCAGGTGGGTTAGTCACTGCACTACAAGGATTGAAGAAAACCACCGAGTTCCAATGGTTGGGATGGCCCGGTTTAGAAGTGCCCGAAGACGAACAGGCAAAAGTCAACAATGACTTGATGGAGAAATTCAAATGTACCGCCATTTTCCTCTCCGACACCATTGCCGACTTGCACTACAATGGGTTCAGTAATTCCATCTTGTGGCCCTTGTTTCATTACCACCCTGGTGAAATGAACTTTGATGAAAATGCATGGGCTGCATATATCGAAGCCAACAAGAAATTTGCCGTGGAAATCTCGAAGCAAGTGGAGGATAACGATATGGTGTGGGTCCACGACTACCACTTGATGTTGTTGCCGGAAATGTTGCGTCAAGAAATTGGCGACCTGAAGAAAAACATTCGTATTGGGTTTTTTTTACATACGCCATTCCCATCTTCGGAGATTTATCGTATCTTGCCGGTGAGAAAAGAGATTCTTGTTGGTGTATTGAGCTGTGACTTGATTGGATTCCACACGTATGACTACGCCCGCCATTTCTTGAGCTCGGTGTCTCGAATTGTCCCCAATGTCAAGACTTTACCTAATGGGATCTTGTACCAAAATCGATCAATCAGCATTGGTGCATTCCCCATTGGTATCGACGTGGATAACTTTACCGAGGGATTAAAGAAACTGGAGGTCAAGCAACGTATTGCACAATTGGAACAAAAGTTTGATGGAGTTAAAGTCATTGTTGGTGTCGATCGTTTGGACTACATCAAGGGTGTGCCTCAGAAATTACATGCATTTGAAATCTTTTTGCAACAGAACCCGGAATGGATAGGTAAAGTTGTTCTCGTCCAAGTTGCTGTGCCTTCAAGAGGCGATGTCGAAGAGTATCAGAGCTTGCGCGCAACAGTGAATGAGTTGGTTGGTAGAATCAATGGTCAATTCGGCACGGTCGAATTTGTACCTATACACTACATGCACAAGTCCATCCCCTTCAATGAATTACTTTCATTATACAACATCAGTGACGTTTGCTTAGTCAGTTCAACAAGAGACGGAATGAACTTGGTCTCGTACGAATACATTGCATGCCAAGAACAACGCAAAGGAGCATTAATCTTGTCGGAATTTGCCGGCGCTGCTCAATGCTTGTCGGGAGCCATTGTTGTCAATCCATGGAACACTGAAGATTTGAGTGATGCCATAAAGGAAAGTTTAACCTTGCCACTGGAGAAGAAGGCACACAATTTTGAAAAGATGTTCAAGTATATTTCAAAATACACTTCGGGGTATTGGGGAGAATCATTTGTTAAAGAGTTGTATAAATGTAGTGGCGACGTGAAACCAGATGCCAAAAAGGATTAGAGATCTAGAAAGTTAAAGTCTGTCTTGGATAGTACACGTCTGTATACAATTTGTGTATAAAAAGAAACCCTGGAATGCAAAAAATATAGAATCATAAATAAATAAATAAATAAAAACAATCACCATTAATCAAGGTACTCGTGGTTTAAATGAAGTATGTTCTCCTCAGACAATGGTAAATACTTTTGCTGAGGTCTTTGCTGCTCCTGCTGCTGCTGCTCCTGCTGATTCCTCTCCTTCTCATGCTTCTCCTTTATATCAACTTGTTTCCTGCTATACCCACTCACATGCGGACTCCTTTTCACCAAAGTCGTCTCATGCGGCACATTAATCACCTGAGGCCGTATACCCAAAGTCCTCAATAAGCTATTATTAGCCAAAAACGACACCGGTGTAGACGTGGCAGATGTGGAAGACGTGGCAGACATTGGTATGTTTGGTGGTTGTAATATTTGACTCTCAGTGTAAAGCGCAGATTGCGGTAAATGACTAGCCTTGTGAAAGAAGGGTTGTTTTAGCAAATGTGCTTCCGCGCCTTGCTCATCTTCTGCTTCTTCGTCATCCTCCACATCTTGTCCTGGGTAATGTTGTCGTTGTTGTTGTCTAGACTTTTTTTGCAATCTCTTTTTACGGCGCATTCTAACAGCTCCCCTCGCACCTTGATTTTCCTTCTCGGATCCACAATCATCTCCATCATCCACAACTCCAGCCTCTTGTCTGTATTGACTAACATCTGTGTCGAAATTCTTGGCTGAGTCAAATGCAGTTCTCAAATAGGGCAATTCTTCCGTTATGGAGGACTTGTACATGCTACTGCCACTCAACTCGTACTCATAGAAATCTCGACTATCTCTTGATCCCCCTGTTGCATGACCAGTTCCAGATCCTTGTCTGCCGTGTCTCTGTTGTGTAATCGACCGAACCATGGGTAATTGCCCTTGGAATGCAGAAGCGGCAGCTGATGAAGTCATGGAATATTCCGAAAACGTATCTTCAAGCCCATGAGAGTCTCTTCCTGAGGTAGAAGACGTGTCGTCGTCAAAGCCAAAATGCAAATTGGATTTAGGAGTTGATTCAGCGTTATGATTGTGATGTTGTGAGTGAGTATGTTGTTGGTGCTGCAGCTGCTGCAGTTGTAGTTGTAGCTGTAGCTGTAGCTGTAGTTGTAATTCCTCATCATGCTCTTTGATCCTCCTATCAATCATCTTTTCCATCTTGTACTTCTCAAACATCTTTTCCAAATCATTAATCACGGCAAGACACTCATATTTGGAATCATAATCATTAGCCAAAATAGCATCATTCAACTGTCTCAACAACGTAACAATAAACGTCTTGTAATAATTGATTGTATCGTCATCATCATCCTCGTCATCATCCTTATGCAACATCTCCAAATCTCGTCCAATCAAAATTAATTTCGCTTTCGAGTACGAAATCGACAATTGCTCCACAATCTCATCCTTCAACTTGATAACACGCAACAACAACGACGTCAACATCGTCCCTTCATCAGATATCAAGTCCAGTACCGACAAGCTCCGCGATGACTTGCTAATCAAATCGATATCAGCAGTAATCTTGGCCATTTTCCAATTCAATTCCGTGCACGCTTGCATAACTTTATCAGCTACACCAGTATTGAAAATCTTGATTCTATCATCACTGTTTTCGAAATGCGTGTTTGAGTTGTAGTCTAGTGATAGGAACTCCCAGCTTTTGAACTTGAGTTGGATCTTGTCCAAAGTTTGCAAGATTATGTATGTTGTTGAACAAAGTTTGTTTAATCGACGTTCGGAAATTTCCTTTATTAGGTTGGCAATTTGGTTCGATTTGTTCTTGTCCTTGTTGAGATTGGGGTCGCGGACTAGTGATAGTATGGGATCTCTGAAGTTGGCTATGTCTGTCATTTGATGTTGGTTTGGGTATTATGTGGATATGCAAAAAATTTGAAGAAAGTTGAGCAGAAATGAAATGCTAAAAAATGAAAGAAGGTGAGCAATATACGTAGCAATTGAAAGCGCGGTATGCACGTTTGAGGTGGTGACTGTAGTATTCTTCAAAGGTAATGCAAACTATGGGTATTTGAGTGAAAAATGATGTGAATGCTGTTGTGTAATGCAAACGAGTTGTTTTTATTTTGATATAAATAACTAGAATAAACACCGGAAACTGTTGAAAGTGTGGCTTCTAATTTCGTAGGTGGTTGGATTTTACAATGACATATGTGTATGCTGTTATGCTAGAAATGTTTGTAGAGAGTAAGCTAGTCTAACGAGGTATCAGTTTTTGATATGTTCAATAAATCTGATGATATAAATTTCAATATTCGGTCCAATTTCTCTTTTTCTCTCTCTTTCTCTTTCTCTCTCTCTCTTTTCCTGTCTTTTTTTTTGTTTTTGGTGTTTGTTTTTTTTACCGACATTTCCTGATTGCGCGCGTCCACCATTTATTCCATTATAGACGACATTTAGCAAGACTGCGCAAAATGAGTAAAACAAAAAAAATAATCAGTCCACAATCTTTTGGGCTAATACTTTTTACTGACACTTTATTTACATAATCCAGCCTCCAGTAGAGTGTAATCGGTTGACACCTAAAAGCTCTAATTTTCTCCTCTCATCTCATTTATAACTCGCTTGCAGTGGTGAAAATGAATTTGTGACTATGTCGTGCATCAATCAAGCCCTGTATTCACAGATAGTGCAAAGAAGCAAGTCTCGCGCAGAATAAGCAGAAGTTATGTGACGTAGTTATTATATTTCACCTTATCTGAAACTAAATAGTTTGCCTTTATCTCTCAAGACTATGCCTTCAACCCTGCTTCAGTTAATACATCAGAAAGTCGCGTCCTCGGTTATACCACAGACATTTTGTCGAGTTGCATAAAAAGTAAGCCAAACGAAGGGTAACCGGACTCCACACGCAACCCAACATTGGGAGAGTACTGTGTCGTTAGCTCATTCAAATTGTCTACGTTCATTACGCTACATAATCAAGATAATTTCCCCATCCTCCATATACATTCATCACCATCTCTCTCGTCTCTAATGTAATCCTTTCTCCTTTTCAATCTTGTAAATCATATCGCTGTACCAATCCTCCAAGCTCTTACTCGGGTGCAACGCCACTATTATCAACGTCATGTTGTCCAATCCAATACCAGTGTAGTTATTAGCCATGGTCAAACTGTCATTCAAGACATACTCAACAATCTTGTTCAATTTCCAACCTAGTACCAATTTATCCCGTATCAATTGGATTAGCTGGTTATTTTTGAAGCAGTCCCATATTCCATCGCATGCAATAACTATGAATTCGGGTGTTGGTAGTTGATTCATGTCGAATATTAGAATTTCTGGTTCAACCGTTACTTGGAAAAGCTCTGGTGGAATGTGAATATATTCATGGTCAGATATTTGTAGAGAGGAGAAGGCGTCATTGCAGTTCAGATTCGGTATGTCTTTGTTGTTGTTGTTGTTGTTGTTGTTATCCTTATTCAGCTGCTCCTTCTCTTTCTCTCTTAGCTCCTTTTGGCCCTTCTTGTACTTTTCCGTTATATTATCAAGAATATACTTGTTCAAGGTTGACGTGAGATACGGGGTCTTGAACTTAAAGTCCCCCACTGCTCGACTCAATGCCAATATCTCATTGACTCTGTTATTAATCACATACCCATTACTATTCTCTATCCGGACCCTTTCGCCAATAATACTAGGCTTTTGATCAAATGATAAAGTCTTGGCATTTCCTTCACTGGTTGACAATATGCACCGGGAGTCACCAGTGTTTGCAACAAATATCTTATTGTCAATGATGGCAGCCACTACACTGGTCGATCCACAATTGACATAGCTCTGAGAATTGGACAAATCGTTATCCATTTTGAAAAATGAGTCCTTTAAAATCTTTATTATGGACCTGTTGCCAATCACATTCTTTTTTATCTGGTTACTCTGACTAGCTTCTTGAAGATGAATAAGCTTTTTGAAAATGTGCTTTGTCAAATGATGTGACAAATATTCAGCACATTGCTGTCCACCGTGTCCGTCAAATACTCCAAATACTGCAATTGTTTCATCCTCATTGATCTTGGCGTCGTGAGCGTCTTCCATATTCATACGATACCCTTGCATGGATCCAATACAGTATGAAAGTCTAGTATAGGCTTTGTAGTCGACATTCTTGTCCTCAATTGGATGTGAAAGTAAATGTCCCATTGCTGAAGCCGATAAAGCGGTGTGTTATATATCCAGTGAAATCTGTCCGTTTCTCAACTTTTGGTGCTGTTATCGAAGGATAAGTAACTAATTATGAGCAATCTTAATTAGTACTTTTCTAGTTTTCTTTTTTGGGTCTTTTGTAAGCGCTTGATAATTTTTTGGGTTGGGTTTAGAAGAGAATTATGACATCACCCACACACAGGTATATAGAGCAGGATCAGCATTTCAAACTCTCAAGAAAACACGATTATCATTGTAGTCAGGACTTTGTGAACCCTTTGGCTTGGCAGCTTCCTCACTGCCAGTACAGAGGATAATATGTAACTATTTTAAAAATTGTCTACTCGAGTTATTTTTGAGCTCTTTGCTTATAGCAGTGTTGAGAGAGTTTAGAATTGAGCTGTAGCACTGGCAACGACACAGCAATCGCCTCAAGCAATATATCGCTACATTGTAGTTGCAATAGCAAAAGGACCAATTTCCAATTTTGGACAGATACTAATGAATGCGCTACCTGCTTTTATCGGCCTATTCCGCAAGGTTCGGCGAAGCGCTCAATCTGCGGAGAAGTAATTTCCCACACCAAAGCAAGCAAAGCAAATCCACGACTACATCTTCAACTCAACAAACACAATCCCACCATGATGATTCCAATAATTAACAAAAACTCCACTTGTGGAGACAAAAATTACAAACCACCCACAACGTTCCCCATTGGACCATTCAAGAGGTACAAACACAACCCCATAATGAAGCCCGATCCCAACGTTGAATTCGAATGTGCATACTTGTACAATGCTACAGCCATAGTGATTGATGACCATGTCGTCATGTTGTACCGGGCTCAGAACAAAGCCAAACTTTCATCCGTCGGCATTGCTTGGTCCTCTGATGGCGTTAATTTCCATAAACACAAGAAGCCTATCATAACCGCTACTGAACCGTATGAGGAAGGAGGTGGAATTGAAGATCCTCGTATTGTGAGAGATCCAGAGCTGAAATTGTTTATTGTCACATACACCGCTTATGATTTGCACACTGCCCGGTTGTGTGTAGCTACAAGTGAAGATTTGTTTCATTGGACTAAACTTGGCCCCATAGTTCCACCAACTTGGACCGATATTGCTGTCACTAGTAACGGCAATCGAATCCTTCGTAGAAATTGGCTGAAATCAGGTGCCATATTCAACGAAAAAAGTAAAGATGGGAAGTATTACATGATTTGGGGAGATTGCCAATTGCATCTTGCAGAGTCGAGCGACTTGATACATTGGAACTTGACCAGTAACTCTATCAACACCAACATATTTGCCAAACAAGTCTTGTCCCGTGAAAATAAATTGATTGAAAGTGGGCCAGCGCCAATAAAGATGGCTGGCAGTAACAATCAGTGGATATTCATCTACAATGCTGCAACTACTGGAGGATTCGATCTACCTCCAGAAACGTACACGGTTAATGCCATGTTGATTGATTATGATAATATCAAACAAGGCCCCGTGGCTAGATTAGAACATCCCATATTGAAACCACAACTGTTGAATGAAATTGAAGGGCAAGTAAACAAGGTTGTGTTTTGTGAAGGGATTGTACAGTTTAAGGGACACTGGTTTTTGTATTATGGACAAGGTGATTCCGAATTGGGTGTGGCAATAGCTCAAGTGATTTAGTATATCACTTGTGATTGCGTATAACGCTTAGATATTTTAGATATTGACAATCTTTTCTTTTTTTTTTTTTTTAGACAAGACCTTTTATGATTAAATGTTCTTGTGGGCAACAGTGTGACTCGAGTTTTACCTCTTGTAATTGTCAGAGTTGCGTTGAATCGACTTTGGGCTCCCTCTCTGAGCAAAGTAGTTGCACTTCCTCCTTATCTTGCACTTTGATTTGAACTAATGTGCACTACCTTTTTGGAGTTTCACAAAATACTCACACAGTTGCACACGCTTTAAAGACTCCACATATTCCTCCTCCTACTACAGCTGTCGTATTCATTAGCAAGAACACTTCTTGATTCAAATCAAACAAGTCTAATTGGCCACTTTACACTGCATGGCTTACATGTGTTATGCAATCGGGAAAAAATGAGTCATCAGGGAAAGGTCTACAAAGTCCTGCCGATTTCAAAACTTTGAAAAGATTGCAGAGTCAAGCAAGAAAGGATGATGAGTTGTTAGCTAGCTACGAAGGGCAGGTCAATGGCATATTCAGTATTGCTGCTGTGTTGCAAGACGGAAACGACAACTCGAAATCAAAGGCTCACGAACTTTACAACTCTTTACAAAACGACATACCTAAGCCTTCGCTTGATACCATTACAGCATTGGCGATTCAATTGAGCAAACTAAGGACTCTAGATGCGAAGTTACGAGTTGACTCAATTAATTTTGCAATAAAGCAATCTCAAAAGAAGGTGGATGGGTTAAAGAGCCAAAATCAAGAAGTCGAGTCTCAAACTGACTCAATTCGATTGAAGTTGTTGCATGAGGAAACGGAACTAATAAAATCATATTCAAACAAGTCAGATCATCTTACAAAGGCTATTGATGAATTCCAAGTGACCAAAATTGCACAAGTTGAACGTCAAGCAAAAAAGATTCAGTTGCAGCAATTCAAGGTGTTGGTGGGCATTGCATTGCAAAGAAAGGATAATAAACGCTTGTACCTCCATCACCAGCCAATTTTGAATCTAGATGAGTTTCTTGGATACAACCTTTCAGCAATCAATCAGTTTCTTGAGAGGCTCATTGTCCTACAGAATCAATTTGCACATATATTCAACATCCAACTACCACATTCACGAGCTTTAACAAAATACTTACCTGACACCAAATTTTTTGATCTTTTGAAAAGAAAAGAGGTGATGATTACAGGACAAAAAGAGTCCATTGCAGATGACGATGATGATGATGATGATGAAAGAGAGCAAAGAGACACTACTCCCATGGGCATTGATAACGTTTCCGAAAAAGTGATCAAGTTGGGGGATGCATATCAGCTCCCATTATCTTCCAAAACGCTAAATTTTCAACGACGTGCTGCACGATTGTCGTCGTCGCCAGTTGAGCCGGTTGAGCTCAATAGTATACCCATTATTCGACAAAATAGCACAAGCTCATCAGCGGTTAGAAAGATTACCATCCCCCACAGGATCATTAATAAGCCATTCAACAAGCTCTCGATAAAGGATTTCCTAGAGTTTTTGATTGTGATTGTGAGAATAATTGCCAATTTTCAAGTGTTGTTGAATATTTTGGCTATTGACACCTCGGTGTTCACTATTGCAGATTGGTGTGATTTTGAGAAAATTTTGGGCAAACTTGCTAATGCGGATGATTCAGCTGATACTATTGAGTTACCCTCTATCTGTACCCCGGTAGCCGTTAATTCAAAGGGGACTAGTGCAAACACTCGTGATTTATTACAGCAAGTATACAAAGCAATAGTGAGATCAGCTTTTGCTCAAAAGCATCACAACAAGGCACTTGCTTTTCAGAATCTCAACTTCAACAACTTGTTTATGAATGAGTCCAGAAGCAATTACGGTGATGATGAATGGGATTTAATTAGTGAGATATTGTAGCTTATACTGTGTGCGTATATACATATAAGTATATATATATTGTCTTATGTATTGGTGTATGGATGTAATTAACTTTTTTGCTTTTGTTCGCAATAATTCCCTCTGGACAAAATTCGACAATTGGCACGTTTTACTCAAGTCTTATCAGAAGACAACTCCCCAACAGTTCATCAAGCTTTTTCACCTACCGCCACAAAAGTAGTAAACAATCATTGTTTCCATTCCCCTATAGCACACTGCACAGCCCTTCTTATCAAGATGTCACTCTCTGATAAAGAATTGTACGAATTGAATAAAAAAGCCGTCACTGAGGGTTTTAAAATAAGTCCTAGAATCAATTACAACACCGTGGGTGGTGTCAATGGTCCCTTGGTTATTGTTGATAATGTGAAGTTCCCTCGTTTCAACGAGATTGTCAACTTGACTTTACCTGATGGGTCAATTAGACAAGGTCAAGTTTTAGAAATCAGAGGTTCGAAAGCAATTGTTCAAGTTTTTGAAGGTACTTCAGGAATCGATGTTAAAAAGACTAGGGTTGAATTCACTGGGGAGAACTTGAAAATACCAGTTAGTGAAGATATGTTGGGTAGAATCTTTGATGGGTCCGGTAGACCTATTGATAAAGGTCCCAAGATTTTCGCTGAAGAGTACTTGGATATTAATGGATCACCAATCAATCCATATGCTCGTATTTATCCTGAGGAAATGATCAGTACTGGTATCTCTGCCATTGATACCATGAATTCGATTGCTAGAGGACAGAAGATCCCAATTTTCTCAGCGTCTGGTTTGCCACATAATGAAATTGCGGCTCAGATTTGTAGGCAAGCAGGTTTGGTGCGTCCAACCAAGGATGTTCATGATGGGCATGAAGAAAACTTCTCGATTGTGTTTGCGGCAATGGGTGTCAATTTGGAAACGTCGAGATTCTTCAAGCAGGATTTCGAAGAAAATGGGTCGTTGGAAAGAACTTCATTGTTTTTGAACTTGGCTAACGATCCAACTATTGAAAGAATCATTACTCCTAGATTGGCATTGACTACTGCTGAATATTTGGCTTACCAAACTGAAAGACACGTGTTGACCATTTTAACTGATATGTCGTCTTATGCCGATGCTTTGAGAGAAGTGTCTGCTGCAAGAGAAGAAGTGCCTGGTAGAAGGGGTTATCCTGGTTACATGTATACCGATTTGTCAACCATTTACGAAAGAGCCGGTAGAGTCGAAGGTAGAAACGGTTCTATTACCCAAGTGCCAATCTTGACTATGCCTAATGATGATATTACCCATCCAATTCCAGATTTGACTGGTTATATCACTGAGGGACAAATATTTGTTGATAGACAGTTGCACAATAGAGCCATCTACCCACCAATCAATGTGTTGCCATCATTGTCACGTTTGATGAAGTCGGCTATTGGTGAGGGAAGAACCAGAAAAGACCACGGCGATGTATCCAATCAATTGTATGCCAAGTATGCCATTGGTAAGGATGCTGCTGCCATGAAGGCCGTTGTTGGTGAAGAGGCTTTGTCTACGGAAGATAAGTTGTCGTTGGAATTTTTGGAGAAATTCGAAAAGAATTTCATTAATCAAGGTGCATATGAAAATAGAACAATTATTGAATCCTTGGACCTTGCTTGGTCATTGTTGAGAATCTACCCAAGAGAATTGTTGAATAGAATCAGTCCAAAGATTTTGGACGAGTATTATGGTAGAGATAGAGGAGATGATGACGAGGATGAAGACGAGGATGTAGACGAGGATGACAACAAGAAGAAGGATACATTGATTGACGCTTAGAGAAGTCCCATTAGTTTTCATATTCTAATGCACAAAAAAAAAAAAAAAAAAAAAAAAAAAAAGTATTTCCATTTTTTTTTTATTTTTTTTTTTTTTTTTTTT